GTGACGGCGATGATGAACAAGACGCTGTCAGTCCACTCTTTCAAAAAAAATCATCAACGTCAGAGTCGAATTTCCCTCTTAGGAAAACAGGTACTCGCTGACTCGTGCTTAAGTAGTCCGCTCATTTAGTCACTGCTATGTTAATTTTTCTGTGTTCACTTACTGTTTAAAAAATACATTTCTTAAGAAATTAATTATGATGATATTCTGAAATTCACATCGCAGTAGCAAAACTTGCGGGCTGACTGTGCGACACTGCTCGTGGAAGTCTTTAAATTAGAACGAGTGACCAAAAAGGCGCCCCACCCCTTCAAGAATTACGTAGTTACTTAAAGAGACTTCGATAGATTATTTGCAGTGGTGAAGACAACTGCTCGATAAGTGAGGGGAACAATTGATTTCAAAAGGACTTAATACAAAAAAACATGCATGTAAAAATCAAATCCCTCCTCCCTTATCGTGCTGGCGACACCACCATAAGAAATGTTTTCTTGTAGCTTTGTCTGCGCATAAACTTTAGAAATGAAAGTTTATACAAGACATTTTTTATACGTGTGTGTCCTCACATGTCGTTGACGCCCAACACACAAGTGGAGTTGTTTCAACATTATCGCAAATATATGAAGGTTTATGTTATATGCAGTGGTTAACCCAGTCACCATGATCATATGAACCTTATGAAAAAGTAAGTGTCTTGCCAAAAAAACCCCACTAAACCAAGTAGTGATGATGAGCTTTTTTCAATCCTGAGAAATACGTAAATGAAGCGAATTGTCATTGAACTGTAGTTGTTGCATTTCTGGCAGTAACATGACCACGTCATTCCTGCTATTTTTTGCAATTTATTTTTCGTTAAGTTGCTTCATTGAAATTGCAAAGTTGTGTTTGACGATTGTTTACATTACATTTTCGTTTCATTTATTCTTCAACAGTATTTTTTTTAATTCTACACATTTCTTCAAATTTGACTAGCTACAAACCGATTCACGATGATTTTCTGTGGTGCTACTTTTTTTGTGTGTCGAAGATCAAAGTAAACATGATTTCACGTTTTCTGCAAGCGTCTATGTAATCACATATTTGATTTTCGAAACAAATACTTGCAGTCGTTTTCTTTGCTTAAATGTCTGACTTACGCCTCTGATGATAAAAATTCAGAATGGTGAAGATGTGAATCATCTTTTCTTTTTCCTGTATTTGATTGGCTGATATCTTTCAGAAACTAGTTTATAGGATAACTAAACACGATCAAAACCTTTTTCTTCCGCTTGTATCACAAACTTAAGTTGGCTATTGTTATCAGTATTTTGGACTATGCGATCTTGTCCCTGTTAAATTTCGTGTTCATGTTCATCTTTTTGTGTTGTCCAACGCATAAGCTATTACATGTGCCGAGTTTTTGATGTATGCTATCAAGTATTGTTCTGTACACATTTTAAAGTGTTTTTGTTCAACCTAGCGTCCGAGCCCAATCTCAAAGCAAAATCAAAACTTCGAGCCAGGGTATCAGAACATCGTTCTTATCTTGGTTGCATGGGTAATGCTGCTCTTCCCCGTCGTCGTGAGAGGAACGGCATTAAATCTGGTAAGCTTTCGATGCAATTCTACGATTTTTGAAGTGCAATGTCGCGTTTCGTTTGTCGTGTATGTTATTTTATTTGCGCACAGTCAAATTTGAGACGGTTGCCCAAAGCTTACATAGCGCTATCCACCAATGGATACGATTTTTTCCGACTGTTTCGAAAATGTCTTAAAAAGCAAAACGCTGCGGTTTGAATTGGTCAATCGGAATGAAATAGCAATTCAACGAAAACAAAGTTTTGTTATGGTGCGGAAAATTGATGCAAACTCCAATGGACAGCGCCATCCCGCTGCCTTCGTGCAATCTTTCCATAATGTGTTCTTAAACTGTTTATGATACCAAATTTTACCGTAATGTTTTCTGATTGATCGCAAAGAAAATTCAAAATGACTCAATAACTTTTTTAATAGAATTGTGTTATTTTATTTCTTTTTTGGAGATATCGCATCATTAGTAGTTTTTATTGATCGTCGGCATTAAAATCTCTAACTTTGACATTTTAAATTCGTCTGCTTATATATTCATTAAACTGTTGTATTGTGCATGAAATGCTCTAACAATGTGGAAAATTGATGATGAGCACTTTAAATTTCTATTTCGCTTTTGAGGGACCTAGGAAGAAACGTTCGTGTTTTATTCATTCCACAAATGAATTTTCCGCAAGCGAGCATTTTTGAATTATTAAAAAACTGGCTGTTTTAGGTCTGAGATTTGTTGTTGCAATCTTAACATTTTTTCAAGTTTGCTTACAATCTCGTACCCAGGTTCCTCTTTGCTTCATCGAGATGTGAGCGTCAAAGGAAATTACCTGGGCACGAGGGTCGGTTTCCTTTTAAATCTTCTCTTGCAACATTGTTTCACTCCAACTTTTTTTCAAACGCTGCCATACACGTACCAATAGCATTTGTGAAAAACCTGAGCGTCTTTATTTAGCTCCCTTCCATTCCCATTTGTTGCGAACTGCATGGAAATGTAATTGGCACGAAACTTGTACTATATATTTGCAATTAGCATTTCAGTGAATAGTTATTGGACGTTGTATTTCTCGTATTTTGCTACCCTATTATAATTTCTGTGGCATGGTTATTGTACTTCGTATATCTCTTCAACGACTCCAAAGGTTGTTATGTCGCGCCAGCTAATTTTCGACTTAATCGTGCAGTTTGTTTGATGATGTTTTAACCTATAACACTGAACTTTTATGCTATTGCAAGACTGCGCATGCTTCTACCACATGTTTAGTGTGATGTTGTGTGATATCACTTTCGATATTGGGCGCTTCTAATGGCATTATATATATATGTATATCGTGAGGCGTGGCTGCTAAGTTTTTTATTTAAAAAAATGGCGTCGATGCAAGCAACACGTGAAATCGAACGAAACATTTCCATTTCCAATTTTCGCATGGAAAGGACACTGGACATCTTTGGCAATTCTCGACAGTTTAAACTGCTTTCGAAAACGGATTAAAAAACTCTCAACGTATCGTTTAACACTTAAACGATAATCAATCACAGGAGTGAATGTGTGAAGACGTGGGAAGAACAAGCGTTGTCACTTGTCAAAAATTTCCTTTGATTACCTCTTCATCTAAAGAAAACTGCAATGTTTCCAGACTCGTGGGTGTATTATGGAACGTGCACGATCTTTATCTAAGTTTGGATAATTTATAATTTTCATGCAAATAAGTAGTTACATAATTGAGCGTACAACCAGCTCCCTATGCTCCACCGACTCAAGTTCAGAATAATGCTCACGCATTATTTTGATCGAGCAAGCCAAATGTAATCGCTATGTAATCAGAAAGCAACCGGTGCAAGAATATACAATTCATCTTTTCGGTTGTTCGTATAAAATAAAACAAACTCCAAACAAACTCCAAAAAACAACATCTTGACAAGTCAAGATTCGAGTTACATTATCTTGAGACAAGATTTAAAAGCAATATTTCGACTTTATCATAATAGCAATGCAGGGAAGACGTTTATTGGAGAGAGTCGTCTAATAGAAACTCGCGCTTGAAGGGGAGAATTTAGAGAGGGGTTAGCTTGACGATGAAATAAAGTCGAAATACTGCTTTTAAGTCTTGTCTCTTGTGTATATAACTCGAATATTGACTTGTCAAGATGATGTTTTTTTGGAGCATATTTCATCTTACATTTCTTTAAATTGTCGGTATAGTTCATTCTTGAAAAACCATGCTGAGAATGTGCAACACTCTCTTCATTTTGCCCGCAGTAAGAAAAATACCGAAAAAATCAAATCGTAAAGAAGAAAACAGCTTAGCCGAGATCGATTCGCCGAGAATTAGCCGAGAACATTTTTGGTATTCTGTACCTGTTTTTGCGTGCTTTGCAAAACAAAAACGCCCCTTCCATTTATGTATGCACACTATTACTTGTTATTTAATTGTTATTTCGCTTCGATCGGAAAAAAAATGTAACTTGTTGTGCACGATTCACTTACGCCCACGCCGACTAGTCCCACGTCACCGACCTCGATGCCTAAAACATATTTTGAAATTTTCGTGTGCTATCGATGTTATCAGAGGAGGTTTTGTATTTATTTGCTTGTTTGTCCAATTGGAATGTACTCGTCGAAGACGTGCTGCACACAGGCCAGAGATTACATACGGTACACACGTGTTTGAGGAAAGTCGTCGGCAACTCTCATCTTATTCAACGATTAACGGAATTACGAACGCTTAAATTGATACCCGCCACTTGACGCGCAGTCGAAGCGAGAATATATACGTGCCGTGTGCCGTACGCGTGCATATCGATGTTGCTGAGAGTGGTTGAAGAGCTGCAACCTGTGGAAATGTCCTCGGACACTGAACAAATGTTTGAATTACTAAAACGTCGTTTGACATAAGGATATTTCGAGAAAACTTTCTCTGTTCTACGAACAATTTTGCGACGCTCTATTGAGGTGATGAATTTATTCCGTGTATTTTGTGTATTTTCATACATTCATTATAAAGCAATTTATGTACCGTACTCGCGTCCAATTCACTTGAATGTGTTGCACGAACACTTTGCAATGAAGCTTTCCTATTATTCGCCCGTCTCACCTCCGACATTACAAGTCGTGATATCATTTGCCGTTTTGCTCATGGCTCCCCCGTCCCCTGTACAACACTGATCTCTAATAGTAAATCAACGGTTAAGTCATCCGACGGCTAAAGCACGCAGCATGGTGTAACCGCTTCGTTATTGTGAAATAAACAGGAAGTGTGATTTTCATTGGAGTGCAGGGGTTTCTATCTGCCATCTCGGTTGTAAGCTACAGAAATTGGACAACTTTCGTGTTAACAAAAGAATATGCTCATGTTACATGTTTGTAAATGTAGATCGTCCAGGTTGGTATAGTCCTGAGAAGGACTGTTTTTGTTGTCGTTGACTGACGTTTCGACAACCTTAGCGGTAGTCATCTTCGGAGTCAAATGATGAGTCATACTCCCGGGTACAAACAATTTACTTTAATATACTCATGTGTTAACACTCGCCATTCTTTGCAGGGTTTTAGCGATTTACTGCGTGAACCGTTGATTTTCAAAACTAGAATATTTTTATAATATTGGAAATTTTATCTCGATAGAAGATTTGCCATACGGATACGTTTGGCGGAATCATGGGGAAAAAATTTTACTTCAGGTTTGCGTTATGCTTGGTACAATGATGTACGTTGGAATCTTTAATGTACTGTACTTAATGGCTTTACAACCCCTAATTGCTGACTGCTGTTGGGATAAGAAAATATCGTTTTTCTATTTTTAAGTTCGTTTCCTTGTTGTTTCACCTCCGCGTTCTTTGTTCACGTGGTTGAAACATCGATGCGCAATTGGTTTTGTTTTACGATTTCTTTGTCATCCAATCATTTTCGGTCATGGTTTGTTGTGTGTTTTTCGTGGGCAGTTGGTTCGCCCACGCAATTTTGGCCTCTAGTTCTTTCGTCCAAATAATAGTTAATGACTATTGCTTTGTTTTGCGCTTCCTTTTTCGTGGTTTACGCATAAAGTCGCTCATGTGGTATTGTGAAATCTTCTTCGTTCTTCCGAGAGCACGAAGAAAGCGCACGTTGTGTCGAAGAGCGATATTTTGTCTCGGCATCGTGTTGAAGATCAACGGTACGATGTAAATCGTTTTGCAGACGCACAGTCGATGTGCACTTACGTTTGCTTTCACACCTCCCACGCACTGCCAGCATTTAGACGTAATGAATATTACATTTTGACCAATAGGAGACGACGAATGTGTGCTTTTTACGTCGTGCGTTTCCCACATCTTGACTTCGTCATGTTCGCAATAACAACAGTTCTCTCGACCAGTCTGATCAACAAATGCCTATGACCGAAGGCCCTGTTCAAAATAGCCTATAGTTTTACTGGCTATTTGTCTCGTTCTTGTGCAACAGCGACATGGTGTGGGCGGATATTCCCAATTGTTGCCCTAACAACGCTATAGGTGCACGCCAGCATCTCTGACAAAGCTGTGTAGTTAATTGTTCGAAATATTTCCCGCTGGATATTTCTTTCGTTCTTGGGCAAGTGAAAGAATCCTTTTTCTCTACACAACGAAGATTATCATAACTATAGACTTTGGAATTTGACGGCCTCGCGAGCACTGAAATAGCGCCATTTTATTCGTCGTGGGCAGAATATAAAGCTACAACCTTCTTGGCGCATTTCGTTCTGTTTAAGTGGAATAATGGTGTTTTAATGAAAACGGGAAGACATTGCCACTGTATGGGTTCGGTTTTCCGGAAGTGCTTAATACGAATCGTGTTCTCAGCGTTGCTCGTCTAAGTCTGTTTACATACATCATATGAACGAGAAAAGGCGAAGACACCGAAGGCCTTTAGTTTGAATTATCACATCTGCACCTTGTGCGTGGCCATTTATGCGACGAGTCTATGTATAGAGGAGAGGAAATGCGCTACAATGAAAGCAACAATCGGAGTTCACCCTCTCCTACGCTTCGAGATCAATTGCTGCGTAAGCTTGTCGAAAGCCGTTCAGGTCAGTGATTTACTGCAAGGGAGAACCGCGAACGCCATAAAATCATCATGTACATTATGTCGTGTTCATGTTTTGTTTGTCAATAACCATCGTTCACATACACGCTGTGACGTTACTAACATAACATTGTCATAATTAAAGCAGACGTGTGTCAATATATTGCATAGTCACTTCAGGCGAGTGTCGAAGGAAAATAACGATATCTGTGAACGGGCAGAAATATTATTAATTAGTAGGGATATTTGTAGTTTTATGGATTACTCGTTTCGTCGTATTTGCTTTGCCCATTCGTGGCTAGCTTTCATTTAATTCGGATTCGGCCTCAAAACGACATTTGTGTATTAAATGATCGACTCGATCATTGTTGAGGATATAGTGTTGTGTTCACTTTTCACGTAGATAGCCGAATACGAAGTTAATATTCGTGTTATGTTGGCTCATGGCATCGCTTGACGAGTTGTTTGCAACCTGTGGCTTGTTCGTCGACTGTATTAAAGCGTCGTTACAGCTCGAGGGGAGGCACCTGGTTCCCTTTTCACTATATGAATATTCCTATCGGATCTCAATGCTGTCAATAAAATCTGCTATTGTCGTCGATTTTGATACAGCTAATAATACGTCGTAGCGCCTTTTAAAATCTGTGAATAGCTGTGCCGTTCAAAAATGTATTTCGGTCTTATGTCATCGTCGAATAAATCGAAATCAGGAAGCTTTTCGAGTCTGAACCAGTTGCATCCCCCCTACATACATTGACACCACAGCGTTACGTTGCTCATTGAATGAAAAACCACTACTTGCTCTAGTTAATTGCAGTTAGCTAAACATGGTGGGCGGCAACAACAGTTACCGGCTTAATTGTCGATAGTCTTCTTATATTCCAAATAACACAGTCTATCTACATTTTAGCATTTCTTAAGACACTACGGCATTGTATCAAGTTTTTTGGTGACATAGCGTAATCGCTCACATGATTTTCAATTGTCAAAACAACTCACATCTGGCAAAGATGCCAAGGAAGTTCTCTTGTCCGCCGTCATTGACGTTTTTCCTTATTAGACTAAGTCTTGGAAGGTTCAGCATAGTTTACCGATTCTATGGTAACGACCTTTATCGAATAAAGAACGCTTTTTGTTGTTGGTCTACTGAGACAGAAAAACCGTTCATATTTGTCGTCTTTCTCTCCGCTATATCTCCCCTCTGTCTCCTTCATACACCGACAAATGCTTTGCAGTCATTTAGTAATACCTATGGTTTCAGTGAACTCTTCATGACGAGCTCGTGATCGTCACAATAGATATGGGCACCCAAAATAAATATAGACGCTTCCGTATGTTTTAGCAATTTGCTTATACCATTTATTCATTACTTGGGTAACAATGTGTGCAATCTTGTTCTAGCGGAAACGAACAGCAACATGGACTCCTCCGAAAGTTCGCCAGCTAACTCGCCAATTCAATTTTCACGTGCGGGGGAGTCCCCTTGTAGAGAGGTGAGCATTCCATTTTGTATTTGTAATTTATAGTAAAATGTTTCTTTTTGAGAAATTTCTTTTTTTATGTATCTTGAAGGACCGTGTTACCCCTCCGACGTCACACGATGCCAGACACCTTGCTCCCTCCGACGCGCAGCCCAACATTCGCTTTGGAAAAGCTCCCACACTAGGAATACCATATGTGAGTAGCATGAATACGTATATTTCTGCGAGTTCTTCCATTTTGATGAAAAACAAAATACTACAACTATTTCTCACAAAACAGTGAGAAATAGTCGAGACTCCCCTGTGACACAGACGTTTTCCAATATATTTTGTATTTTGAGATTCAGTTTTCTTCTCACCAGGGCACCCCTATCTCTTTCCCTGCTGGAAGTTTGCCAAACCTTCAAGCTATACCAGGCGCTGCGAATCTTGAGCCTGCGCAATTGAACCAACTATTACTGAACTCCGCATTGGCAAGCGGCATGTTCCAGCCAAGTCCTGAGCAAAGACAATTTCAACATCGGCTGCAGAACCAAATGCTAAGTCAAGTGCTTTCCGAAGGAATTGACAAAGAGACGGAGAACGGGGTGAATGTAGCCGCATTACGTCAGGCGCAATTGAAGGCACTCGCATTCACGCAGGCGCAGCATGCCCAAGCTGCTGCCTTAGCTAGTTCTGTTGCGGTAACAGGTTGTGCTCCCACTAGTGTAAGTGGACAGCCTAACCCGTTACGGCGCAGTCCTCAACTTTCACCGGCTAGTGGCACTTCGGTAAAGCGACATAGACCATTGCGGCAGACCCAGTCTGCGCCCGGTCTGTCGTTGCCCGCTAACCTGCACGCCCAACAGCAATTTCAGCAACAAGCGCAACTGTTGCTGCAGCAACACTATCAGGCGCAGCTGTTGCGGCTGCAACAGCAGCAGGCATTGCAACTTGAAATGCTGCGGCAACAATTGGGTCAACAAAAGTTCGAACAGTTGCTTCTTTTGCAACAGCACCAATCCCATTTGCAAGCCGAACAAGATTCAAAGTTAATGAAAGAACGCTTAGAAGCGCACCAGACTAAAGACTTAAACGAGCATCTTGCTCTATTGCAACAAAAGCAGCATGCGATAAACGAAGAACAAGAAGCGGGCGTTGTCATGGAACAGTTGAAAAGACAACATAACATTCAGCAGCATGTTGTACCGGAGCGCATTCACACGCATCAACATAATGCACTCGAAGCTAGCGCGCCTGTACATCGCCCTCTATCACGGGCGCATTCTTCACCGATTGTCGTGAGTCGTATTGCTGGGCAAGGTGCTTCGACAGGACTAGTGTACGACACCCTAATGTTGAAGCATCAATGCACGTGTGGTGATGTAAGTTCCCACCCTGAACACCCTGGAAGATTACAAAGTATCTGGGCAAGACTTCAAGAAACCGGAGTCGTTTCAAGATGTGAGGTAAGCAGACATATCTGTATATAGCTTTCGATTTGAAATAATTTATGTTCTAAACAGCTGTTTGAGTAATAAACTCTCTTTTGACCATTCACATACTGCTACGTATAGTCCTTCGGTTTAGCCGTTTGAGTAATAAACTCTCTTTTGACCATTCACATACTGCTACGTATAGTCCTTTGGTTTAGCTGTTTGAGTAATAAACTCTCTTTTGACCATTCACATACTGCTACGTATAGTCCTTCGGTTTAGCCGTTTGAGTAATAAACTCTCTTTTGACCATTCACATACTGCTACGTATAGTCCTTTGGTTTAGCTGTTTGAGTAATAAACTCTCTTTTGACCATTCACATACTGCTACGTATAGTCCTTTGGTTTAGCTGTTTGAGTAATAAACTCTCCTTTGACCATGTACAAAAAGCTTTGAATCTAGTTGAGTTGCTGGCTTCAAACCTTGGATGGAGTTAGCCTTCCAGTTATGATCAGCTCAATACATAGCCTATAAAGTACAACACGTGAAACTCTAGTTAGAGAATTGTGTCTCTTTATATTCTATTTTTCAGCGAGTTCGATCAAGAAAGGCGACGTTAGCGGAAATTCTTACTGTTCACAGGTAATGGTTTCTCTAAATGCTCTCCACATGCCACGTTTGATTGCCATTTCATGTGAAGTTCTTCCAATTATTTTTCCAATCTGTCGGTTTGCTTGATTTGCAAGTTAATGTAACCATGGTATGTGAAGTTCGCGGGAAAAATAAATAGATGTTCTCTGTTGTAGTGAACAACACACGATGCTCTACGGTGGAAGCACACAGCTGAGATCAAGAGGACAGAATGGTAATGTACATCGACGTGTACTTTATATGTGTTTCCACGGGTTGGTCTGAATATGGAATGTTACGAGAGTTGAGAGACAGAGAGAGAGAGTTGGATGAAATAACACGAAACTTCGGAACTTTAAATGAAATGCAACCAGTATTTGACCCACCTCTCACCACTTTTCGAATCAATTTAGCCTACACCTGTTCATGTTCTCACTCGATGGCGGTACGAAAGTTCAACTGATATAGATTGGAAGAATGTCATTAACAGCTTTTGCAAAATTTGATGCTTGATTAAAACATTTTCCATCACCGACCATTTTTATAGCAGTTACAATTATATTCAACTCTTATTGTTCACCTGATTTTGACTCATAGTTAGATGTTTATACTGGACTCTTTGTCATTGTAAGGTTTTAGTGTCTCCTGGTAGCTTTTTCCTTTATACAACGTTAGTTCGTCGCACAGTTTTTCACGTTTCCATCGGTTGAAAAGCTCTAGACCTGAAAGTAAGAACTTCAAAGAATAATGAACGTAATTGGTGTTTTATATTTGGTTGCTCCGATTTCCATTTAACCCTTAAATTGCCTGCATAATTGCTCATTTGAGTTGCAGACGGTTTTGTGATTGGTCGTCGTGTGTCTCAAACGGCAAATAAAGCGGCGAACAGTTGCAAAATCTGTAGTCCGGAAGAGATGGGAGTAAAAATTTTTTGTGTACTTCTCGCAGGTGACATGACGACCTTGAAATGTTTTACAACGTTGCCATGCTCCGGCCTTGGAGTTGATGCCGATACGATATGGAACGAAGCGCATAGCGCCAACGCTGCACGAATGGTAAGCTCGTTTAAACAAACCGCCAGTTGTGTTGGTGATACATTGTTTACGAACTACGTCTTTTTTTCTCCGTCCCATTATGAGCTCTGCTGACAAGAAAACTTGCTGCTAGTCAGAGCAAGACAATATCTTGATAATTCGTATTTTTCGCGAATACACGAAATAGATTCCGAATCAGATCTCTAACTAGTTATTCGGCCGTGGCTTTGCACTGTTGGATTAAGGGTTATCGTTGTTGTGTTTAGGGATTTATTTCGCGTATTTGTAGAACACGGAATTATTGACCTATATCAAGAGTTTCGAAATTTTTCACTTTGTTAGTAGTTCATACTGCTCCACTCATCAAATTTAAATCATGAAGTCGTCTTCAATTTTTTGCAGGCCGTCGGCTGTGTCACTGAACTTGCCTATAAAATCGCCTCGAGAGATCTTAAGGTGAGATCTTTATGCGATATTGAGATAGGGAGAATGACAACACGATTCATATCAAAGTTGTAATATATTGATGCATTAGTCAATTGACGTCATTAATACTTACTATAACAAAGCTCTTGCAGGCTCATATTGTCTCGAGTAACTTTAACCGTTTGTCTTTGTTGGCAAGAGTGGTGACGTCACTTCAGTTTTTATCACCGTTCAGTTAAACTTTTCTTTACTTTTTTACAAGCGAATTAATTTGATCGATTTTTTGTGCAGAATGGTTTTGCCGTCGTTCGTCCACCAGGCCATCACGCAGAAGCACATCAAGCTAAGTAAGTATGTTCAAAATGAATATACCCAAGGGTATTTTTTGTTCAAAATTTTTTGCGGAGCGAAAATTACTCCTATTACTCATGAAACGTTTTCCTGTAGATGGACGCCTCGTTATTTGCAATGTTATTTTTCGTCGCCTGTTATTTTCGTTCAGTGTGTTTTTGTTTCGTTCAGTTTCTACTTTTGATGCATGTATTGTTTTCGTCACGTGATGCATTCAATGATTTCTTTATCTCATACCTTTGTTGTTTTTTTTCACGTGATGCATTCAATGTATTCTTCACGTGATGCACTCACTAATTTCTTCACGTGATGCATGCATTGTTTTCTTCACGTGATGCACTCATTGATTTCTTCACGTTATGCACTCATTGTTTTCTTCACGTGATGCCTTTATTGATTTCTTCACTTGATGCATTCATTGATTTCTTCACTTCATGCTTATGATAAATTTATCGATTTCTTCATTTGATATGTTCACTGTTTTCAGGGGATTTTGTTATTTCAACGCTGTCGCAATTGCGGCCAGATTACTTCGCTTGCGAATGTCCGTTGAAAAGGTTCTCGTTATTGATTGGGTAAGTGTACAGTCACGTGCGCCAGATTGTGTTTGTCACCTGTATCAACTTGCTAAATAAACATGGAAGTCGAACAGCATTGATATGCACGTGACTATGATATTTCCCAGTAAATTCTTGTCTTTGATTAATCATAAGAACGTATTCAAATGAGCACGTAACTCTGAGTTTTATTTACCACGCTAACGTATCAATTGTGATTTTTTCTTATCAAGGATATTCACCATGGCAACGGCACGCAGCAGATGTTCTATGATGATCCCCACGTACTCTTCATATCCATACATCGTCATGACGACGGTACTTTTTTTCCTGGGACTGGAAAACCGGAAGAGGTATGTCGAATGAGCGACAACGCATTGGGCATTTAGATTTATTACAACCATTGCACACACTGTACCTGCTGAACTGTTTACATCCCAAAAATTGAGCATGGTGCATTATAAAACAATGTGCACAGACCGTACCCTGCTAATCCCTATGCATCTCGAATGCTAAGCATGTGCGATGTATTATTCATGGCCGGTTGCACGAAGCGTGGATAGCGTTATCCATTGGATAGCAAAAATTTTTAAACTTGTAAAAAAGGTGTTTCTATTTTTCTTAAAACAAAGAAATTTTGTTATCTTTGAAACGATATTTTATTTAAGTGATTGCACGGTTCAAATCGTATGTTTTTCTCTCGTAAGAGATTTTATGAACGTTTAAAAAAAATCATAGTGGATAACGCTATCCTGGCTTCGTGCAACCGGCCCCTCATGATCTTACTAGTCAACTATTACTATTTTCAGTGCGGTGCTGGCGTTGGAGTTGGTTACAATGTTAATATTGCTTGGAATGGTGGTCTTGGTAAGTTGTTATTTCACGAGACTTCTATAGGGGTTTGCTTTGTATAGGGAATTCGACTCACTCCCTTCTTTATTCCTATTTATCTTCCTTATTTTTTCAATTTTCCATGTTTGCTTCCAACATCGAGTGAAGATAGAATTTGGTCAAGGGATAAGCTTCATGTCTTTCTGTACTTCGTTGGCATTCATTGCCTCATATCAAGTGCAACTACGTTAAAATTAAACTGCTCCACTAAAAAAAACAAAACCTTGTTTCACGAACTGGAAGTTTGTGTGTGTGTTTCAAAATATTTGTGCGCTCGAGCTTCCCTTTTTGCAGCGACCTTTTCACGAAACATCGATGTTTTAGAAATTTGCACCGTGAAACGAGTTTAGATTGGCTAGCACCTATCGTGCTGCAAGTTGATTTCTGTTGTGACTCCGTAGTTTACAAAACTAGTTTTACAACCTTTATTGTATCAATTAACTGTGGATTTCGCACCGTTGTGTTAATAGCTACAGCTCACAAGCTTCGGCTTTGAAATATAGTCTTTTCTTTCACAGATCCCATGATTGGAGATACTGAATATCTTGCCGCGTTTCGGTAAGTTAGTTTTTTCAAAGAAGTCTCGCAATTATGTCTCCGGTGGATACAATTTAACCTGTAGTTAAAGTTATGAATTGCAATGTTATTACTTAAGGCAATATCGATACAACAGGGGCCGGTTGCGCGAAGCTTGGATAGCGTTATCCATTGGATAGTACATTTTTTAAGCTTGTGGAAAAAGGTGTTTATATTTTCGTTACGACAAAGAAATTTTGTAATCTTTAGAAGCAATATTTTATTTCAGTGATTGCTCACTTCACACCTTATATTTTTCCTTTTTAAGAAGTTTTTTAACCGTTTAAAAAAACTTGCTATCCAATGGATAACGCTATCCATGCTTCGTGCCATCGGCACCTGATACAAGTTGAAAGTTAAAGCTATTTGCATAGATTTTTAACTGGCGTTATTCCATTGTTACTAAATTTCATTAGCATTTGCTCAATAGCTAAACGCGAACCTAAGTAAAGAATGCATTCTCCTACTTTTGACTTTGAGGAATAGTGTTCCATTAACCATTGAACTGACTACCTAACTGGAATGCTACCTTCAGATAAAGATGCTTAAATACCTGCATGAAGGCAAGTTTGAAGGAAATTCCTTCACTTCACGTCGTAATGAACTTTCTTTTTACCCAACGTATAAATATTTGGGATACTTATTTTGCTGACTTCAAATTTTGACGATTAGTATCATTCCAGGCACACTCTGTTCAATGCGTTTAAGCCTTTTATTTCCCAATTGAAACTACGTTGTTTATTCCATACGTTTTATTTCAATTCATCAGGACAGTGGTAATGCCTTTGGCTCGAGAATTTGCTCCCGACATTGTACTTGTCTCCGCTGGTTTCGATGCTGCAGGAGGACACAGTCCTCAGTTGGGGGGATACAATGTTTCTGCTGCATGTAAGTATTTCGTATTTCATAGCACTTTCATAATTGATGCAACGCGCTGTGCTCCTAATACTGATAGGACATTGAGCGACAAGCCTTGCGATTATTGTCCTTTTGCTTGGGAGATTTATTTACAGGGGCGCGCTTAAGATGGGGGCGGGGATGTTGAGCGGGTGTAACACTCCCCATAACTTCTGAAATATGTCTAAAAAGTCGGTCCAAATGTTGTTACTGAACGAAAAAAGTCGGATCCGTTTGGGAAAATAACAGGATAGTTTTGATTAAAACATCGCACATCATATGAAGCACACAAAAAGCAGGGAATTAAATATTCCGTATTTCGAAATTTTCAAAAACGTTGTGCATTTTAATGTTTCCTTTCGTGGTCGTGTGTCATGTAGCAAGTCCCGAGAAAGAAAAATATTCAATTAGAAGAAGGCTCTACCACTCGACCACTACAGCTTACATTAAAATGTTCACTATCATTGAATTTTACTAGCATTTCAGATGCGCTACTTGTCAAAGATGCGTTGCTTTATTGATTTCAATTAAATAAAGTGGCTGTTCAGATCACTAGCTTTTAGAGTTGCAAAAAGGCTTTTTGGCAAAAAACAAAACCGTTACTTAAATAAACGATTGCCAAATCACTTTAAATCACACACATTGATTTCAATTACATCTCAACTGTTTGGGAAAAAATGGTCAGGCGCTGAATAGTGTGCTGTCTGTAGTGTGAACTATAAAATTGCGTGAAATCTAATTTAAATGTCCCACAGCATTATAGCCCTGTCAGTCTCATTGCATAATGACTAAATGGATGTGGATTGTAACTACTAGAGCTCCAAATTTCAGTGAACATTAACCTGAGCTGCTGCAACTTGTGAATGTATATTCTTTGCCAATAAATGTACATACGTACTTTTCTTATGACAATTGAACAGCGAACTGCCATTGCCTGTTGCTCTTTTTTTCCATACTTATAATCATATTTTGTTCAAACATGCAACTTTGTCTTTTAATAACTCACGCGTGTATGTTCCTCTTTTAGGCTATGCATACATGACTCGACAGCTGATGAAAGTTGCCAATGGTCAAATTCTCTTGGCCTTAGAAGGAGGGTTAGTCGCGCTTGTGATGTTTTCATAATATTCTTACGTCATGTTTAGACACGTGACAAGATCTTGTGAACGTAAGAAGTATAAAAAATTACAAAAGTTTTCGGACGTTTTTTTCAGAATTTTATGTTGACGTAAAACACACGTCAATACCAGAAAATAGACCAGGATAAGGGTCTTGATAAAATGTGTTATGTAGCCAGTACAAACACAGATAACCATCTTTTTCTTTTATAAAACAACAATAATGCGAAACAGATAAATTTAAAACAAACGTTTTAATTTTTCCTCTTACCTGTAGTCATGATTGATTTGCAAATTCTCTTTGATCAATTTAATTGATTGATCGGTATGCCCAGGGTAATGCTAACTCAGCTATTCTTGGCTTGCCAGCTACGTCATAGCCGCCATGGCGGATGATTTTAACAAAGGATTTTCCTTATTTACAATGCAAATTTCATCCAACAGGACGAGCATTCCATTGTTTTCTTACTCCCAGGAGAATGGTTGCAAGCCACCAATAGACCAATCAGTGCACGCGTTTTATTGTTGTTATTTTGTAAACGATATTTAAGGCCTGTTTCAAACGTCGAGCTCTACTTGAGCCGAACGGGTTTGAAACAAAAGATAATGAGCAATTTTATCCGTTTTCTTTTGTCTTTAATGCGTTCGACGCATGTAAAGTTCGACGTTCGAAACAGCCCTAACCCATATGTTCACAACGACGAAACAAAATGACATTCAATTCACAAAAAATTATCCAGTGAAGAGTTAAAACACGACAATGGGCAGTTTCGTTAAGATAATTCATGTATAAATTGCTAATTAGAATGAACGTGACAAGTTACATAAGTGCTATCCTATATTCGTATTATTGATTATCTATAAAACCACGTCACGTGGGTTATTATGGAATGGTTGATTTCATATGGTAAAATGCATCTTTTCCATGTCTTACCTTTGAAACACGCGTGGTAATGTCGAATTTTCTCGTTCTTAGATATTCTCTACCTTCATTGTGTGACTCTGCCGAGGCCTGCATGCGTGCGTTGCTTGGAGATGAAGTAAGTTCCACCAATCATGTAATGTGGACTATTTTTAATCAAAGCTTGGGAAGGAGGAAATGTGGTTACTGGGTACGGTTAAGTTCCTCTTACTTTGTCAGTTATCGCATTTCCTCTGTTTAGACTTCTCGGGGATTTTTTTCTACTTTTAAGTGGAGATTATTACAAAAGAGAGTGGAACTGAGTAAATTTTCTGGCAAAATTGCTAATGCGTATAAATTAATGTAACACACGCTTCAATAAGTACCCAATCCAGTACGTAAGTGCATTTTGAAAAAAAATATGTTCATAATATATTACTTCTGAAATTTTGACTCCAGGCAGGTGACTTTATTGATTTGTGCATTAGTAAATTTCAAACGAGTAAATCTTTACATCAGCGAACAAAACTTAATCAGCATTTGTATATTGTTATGATTTATTTAATGAAATAAATGGAAGGAGGATGGTACTTCAAGTGGGGGTTTACTAAAAGGAGGGTTAAAAGGGCTGGGGGTTGAATACAGAAAATATGGGATTTGCAGTCGATTTAAGCCTAGTTCACATATAGTTGTAATTGTTGTAATTCTGTCGGCGATGAAGGTTTACAGCAATTACAACTATATATGAACGCGCGTTGTACTTGTTGTAATCGCAGACAAATCGGGAGCTCTGCAGAAGTTGAACTTTTACAACAATTACAACAGTCGCCGACAAAGAATGCCATGTGTACGCTTGTCGGCGATGGCATTCATCTTTTCTTTCGATTTCTTGTACGATAAAGGATCAAAATCCTTTGACCAAACCTTGCCATTGAGAAAGCTTGTCTCAAAAACCTAACCCGGGCGTATTTTATCAAATGTAGTCGATGAGAAGCCACATGTGAATTTGATATTAGTATGCAAATATCACTTGAATTACAACAATTACAACTATATGTGAACGTGTAGTGCTGTAAATCGGTTGAAATATATTGCCGATCAAATTACACCAATTACAACTACATGTGAACGTGTAGTGTTGTAATTCGGTTGAAATGTATCGCCAATGAAATTACAACAATTACAACTACATGTGAACGTGTAGTGTTGTAAATCGGTTGAAATATATCGCCAATGAAATTACAACAATTACAACTATATGTGAACGTGTAGTGTTGTAAATCGGTTGAAATATATCGCCGATCAAATTACACCAATTACAACTATATGTGAACGTGTAGTGTTGTAAATCGGTTGAAATATATCGCCGATCAAATTACACCAATTACAACTACATGTGAACGTGTAGTGTTGTAATTCGGTTGAAATGTATCGCCAATGAAATTACAACAATTACAACTATATGTGAACGTGTAGTGTTGTAAATCGGTTGAAATATATCGCCGATCAAATTACACCAATTACAACTATATGTGAACGTGTAGTGTTGTAAATCGGTTGAAATATATCGCCGATCAAATTACACCAATTACAACTATATGTGAACGTGTAGTGTTGTAAATCGGTTGAAATGTATCGCCAATGAAATTACAACAATTACAACTATATGTGAACGTGTAGTGTTGTAAATCGGTTGAAATGTATCGCCAATGAAATTACACCAATTACAACTATATGTGAACGTGTAGTGTTGTAAATCGGTTGAAATGTATTGCCGATATAATTACAACAATTACAACTATATGTGAACGTGTAGTGTTGTAAATCGGTTGAAATATATCGCCGATATAATTACAACAATTACAAGTATATGTGAACTAGGCTTTAATAAAATGAGGAAGCGAAATAATTGGGCGATTTCAGCGAGAAGTACTTCCACATCGCGAGGGCAACGTAAAGGTTGTCCATGGAACGTACTCTCCAATAACTTCAGTTGAAATATAATCACTTCATTGCAACAGATCCCGCCCTTGGCTGAAGAACATTTAAGAAATCGGCCAAACAGAAACGCGACTCTGTCTTTGGAACGAACACTGGCTGTTCACGCCAAATACTGGACGTCGTTGAAACGTTCCCAAAATCAGGTTCAATGCTCCATTCTCGAAGCAAGGATACGCGAAAAGGAAGAAGCGGAGACAGTGACGGCACTAACGTCGCTATCGCTGCAAGTCGCTAATGGTAGTGTTAAGTAAGTGTTTATTTTTGTATTTGATCTTGAAGGAAATTTAGTACTGTAGTATATGAAATGTAGTAGGTTTTTCACCCCCGCTATGAGACGGATGAAAAACACGGTGGATTTCACGTGTGACATGGGAAACTTTTGCAAAATGGCCACCCTCCCCTCCCATTAGATAAACGCAAACACTTGCTGAAACGGCTTTCAGAAAATTGTTTTGAAAATCAACTGTTGCAATACTGTAGGTGGCTTTATGATGTCTTTTTTCCCTTTTATTTTCGTAATGTTGCTTTCACGTGGCTTTGTTTCTGTATTTCCATTTGTTTCTTTTTTCTGTATTCTCGCTATTGATGTTGACATCTAAAATTCAGACTGAAGCTTGACAGAATCTCTGCAGAAGCTTCGGAAAGTTTCCCCATATATGCAAAATCTTTCAAAGTTCATCACGGATATATTGGTCCGAACATCCTAGTATTAACTGCCTAGTTAAATTCTCACAAGGCGGTCGAGCAACAAATATTGAAACGGGTACATCCATCCCCTTGCATTCATGTCTAAAACATGTTTATGAGTATTTTGCATGTGACTCTGGTATCTATTGCCTCTTGTGTCTCATGTATCTTTTGTCTCAGCTATCTTGTATCTCTGAATCTCTGATATCTTTTGTCTCAGCTATCTTGTATCTCCTGTATCTTTTGTCTCAGCTATCTTGTGTCTCATGTATCTTTTGTCTCAGCTATCTTGTATCTCTGATATCTTTTGTCTCAGCTATCTTGTATCTCTGATATCTTTTGTCTCAGCTATCTTGTATCTCATGTATCTTTTGTCTCAGCTATCTTGATCTCTGATATCTTTTGTCTCAGCTATCTTGTATCTCATGTATCTTTTGTCTCAGCTATCTTGTATCTCATGTATCTTTTGTCTCAGCTATCTTGTATCTCTGATATCTTTTGTCTCAGCTATCTTGTATCTCTGATATCTTTTGTCTCAGCTATCTTGTATCTTATCTTTTGTCTCAGCCATCTTGTATCTCCGATATCTTTTGTCTCAGCTATCTTGTGTCTCATGTATCTTTTGTCTCAGCTATCTTGTATCTCATGTATCTTTTGTCTCAGCTATCTTGTATCTCTGATATCTTTTGTCTCAGCTATCTTGTATCTCTGATATCTTTTGTCTCAGCTATCTTGTATCTCCGATATCTTTTGTCTCAGCCATCTTGTATCTCCGATATCTTTTGTCTCAGCTATCTTGTGTCTCATGTATCTTTTGTCTCAGCTATCTTGTATCTCTGATATCTTTTGTCTCAGCTATCTTGTACCTCTGATATCTTTTGTCTCAGCTATCTTGTATCTCATGTATCTTTTGTCTCAGCTATCTTGTATCTCTGATATCTTTTGTCTCAGCTATCTTGTATCTCTGATATCTTTTGTCTCAGCTATCTTGTATCTCTATCTTTGTCTCAGCCATCTTGTATCTCGATATCTTTTGTCTCAGCTATCTTGTGTCTCATGTATCTTTTGTCTCAGCTATCTTGTATCTCATGTATCTTTTGTCTCAGCTATCTTGTATCTCTGATATCTTTTGTCTCAGCTATCTTGTATCTCTGATATCTTTTGTCTCAGCTATCTTGTATCTGATATCTTTTGTCTCAGCCATCTTGTATCTCATATCTTTTGTCTCAGCTATCTTGTGTCTCATGTATCTTTTGTCTCAGCTATCTTGTATCTCTGATATCTTTTGTCTCAGCTATCTTGTATCTCTGATATCTTTTGTCTCAGCTATCTTGTATCTCATGTATCTTTTGTCTCAGCTATCTTGTATCTCTGATATCTTTTGTCTCAGCTCTCTTGTATCTCCGATATCTTTTGTCTCAGTTATCTTGTGTCTCCGATATCTTTTGTCTCAGCTATCTTGTATCTCTGATATCTTTTGTCTCAGCTATCTTGTATCTCCTGTATCTTTTGTCTCAGCTATCTTGTGTCTCCGATATCTTTTGTCTCAGCTATCTTGTGTCTCCGATATCTTTTGTCTCAGCTATCTTGTATCTCCAATATCTTTTGTCTCAGCTATCTTGTGTCTCCGGTATGTTTTGTCTCAGCTATCTTGTATCTCCAATATCTTTTGTCTCAGCTATCTTGTATCTCCAATATCTTTTGTCTCAGCTATCTTGTGTCTCCGGTATGTTTTGTCTCAGCTATCTTGTATCTCCAATATCTTTTGTCTCAGCTATCTTGTGTCTCCGATATCTTTTGTCTCAGCTATCTTGTGTGTCCGGTATGTTTTGTCTCAGCTATCTTGTATCTCCAATATCTTTTGTCTCAGCTATCTTGTGTGTCTGATATCTTTTGTCTCAGCTATCTTGTGTGTCCGGTATGTTTTGTCTCAGCTATCTTGTATCTCCAATATCTTTTGTCTCAGCTATCTTGTGTGTCCGGTATGTTTTGTCTCAGCTATCTTGTATCGCCGTTATCTTTTGTCACCTGTATATCTTCTCGGGTAACTGGACTCTGAATATAAAGCCTCGGTCACACTGCACCCGATAACGATCCGATAACGATGCAAAAAATCGCTCGTTATTCAAACTCTTATTCAAACTCTGTCGTCATAGTTTATCGTAATCGTTATCGTTGAACAGTGTGACCGAGGCTTAAATCTGAATTTTTGTAATTATTCAGCAATGAAATTTTTTTGTGCAGAACACCATAGCAAAGTCTTCTATCTATTCAGGGGCTCCGACGTCACAATGGAAGACATGGAAACGTGAAAGTCATGATGCTAGCAAGATCGATCCACGAGGATCTAAAAACCCGACATCATCGCTCCTCGCTCTGCTGGATCTCCAATCGTTGGCAGACCCAGAAAAAGTCTTCGATATTGTGTTAATTGCTTATATACTGTACTTGGCGACAATCTGAGAATATTTTCGTTCGAAACCTTTTTGTTTGCATATAATTTTAACGAATATCTAAAATTTGCGGGGAGCATGGATTTCAGGTCTGGCAATACGACCAGCGTACAACGTAATCAGTGGACATTCCGGAAATGTGGCCGGAAACTAATTCGATACCTTGGGCTCGCAACAACAAAAATTACGTGAAAGGGGCTTGCCTGACATCAGCTGCTTCTAGAGTTGATGCGTTGTGACTCGACTACACCGTTTGCAAACGTCGTAGCAAGGAAAATGCGGTCTATAGAAACGTATTTTGACGGATCCAAACCTGTTCAGTTTGACAATTTGAGCGTCGTGTCGCTCGCATGATCATTGTTGAAGAATTGAACCAGCAGATAGAAATTTAGTACAATTGATGAATGTAAATTACTATTGTATATATTATGCAGTTATTAAAGAAAAAATTTTTGTAGAAAAAATTGTAGTAGTTGAACGAAGGGCATCATAACACTTGGAACAGAAGCGATGAAAACGCACGGAACAGAGCGATGTTAAACCACATATATTCGCGATATTATACATGGGACATTTCATGTAAATTGAAAATAATAGAGTAATGTTCATGTCCTGAAGGGAACATGAACGATCCGATGCTTTTGTTGTATCGTAGTGTGAAATGCTCAATCTCAATTTGTCAGAGGGGCGTCGCGACGATCATGAGACGGGACTAGCGTGTATCCATCTTTTTGTTTCATTTTTAGAGAAGATCGACTTTGTGAGGTCGTTTTCTTTTTTCCAGCTTTATTACTACTTTCCTCGTCAGAGGAACTCTCACTGGGAGGATAGCCACAAGATGCGCGTCTTTGTAACTTTAAATGTTCCTCGAGCGTACTCGGCCTCTGCTTCGGAGGTTTTTTCTTCTTGAAATTTGGTCTATGCAGCCACGTTCGCCACCTGCAGCAGAGGACACACCGGACAAGCAACGTCAAAATCAAACTGAATAACATGTAGATTTCACTGAACTGTATTTATAATAGTAGAAGCTACTTTTAGGCAAAGAGCCTACACATATATGTTTATCAATGTAGATCATCCAAGTAAGTGGAGTCATGGGAAGGAGTGTTGTTGTTGCTAGTGTTGGTGGTGGTGGTGGTTGTGTTGGTGGTAGTGTTTGTGGTGGTGCTGTTGTTGGTGGTAGTGTTGGTGGTGGTGGTGGTGGTGGTGGTAGTAGTGTTGGTGGTGGTGGTGGTAGTAGTGGTGGTGGTGGTATTGACTGACTTTTTGACAATCTCAGCGGTAGTCAAATGACCCTGAAGATTACTACCTTTAAGGTTGTAAAAACGTCAGTCCACACCAACACCAACAGTCTTTCTCAGGATTTTACTAACATGGACATGTAACGTTACTCTCGAGTTCCAACCATCAACTTTATGCCTACACTTGAAAGTACACGTGTATCTGGAAGTAAAGTCTAGCATGCATGTTGGTACACTGTTGAATTGAATTTACTTATGAGCCGTGCGTTTGCGTGTGTATATTTGAGGCCAATAATTGGGACTGCTTAAATTCCTGGTCTTCTTTATCGGGAAGTAGCATTCCTGTTTCATTCAATTCAACTAGTTACCAACAGTACTAGTTACGCGTTTATTATTCGAAAAGTGCTGATGTATGCAAGTGCTGAACATGTTCTCGAGCTGAAAGCGATAATACAATTCAAGCGAGCGCTAAGGCTTCTACGTCATACAGTGGAACTAAGTTTAACTGTGGTATAGCATACCTGTTGTTTTTCTTCAGGTGTTTTGTTGCGCTTGCAATACAAACAAATGACACCAGAACAGCAGCAGTAATAGATGCAATGACCAACGATGTGTTCTTGACTTTAGGAACTACCCTTCTCTGACCATACCTAGAACCCAGTCGCCGAAAAACTCTGTATCGCCTTTTTTTCGTTATGGTACCATTTTTCCCTCCACAAATTATGATACCTCGGTTCCAATCTCCTCCAATGAACATCGTTCCATCTTGTAAAAGATTCGTTGAATAAGTACTCATATGGGGAGGGGGGGTGGGGTGTAAATAATCATCCGTTACAGTACGTTTACAATAGTTACAATAAAACTTAAACAAAATGCAGCATTTTTAACCTGGAGCGTCACTTCTGGCTTTTGATAGGAGATAAACATGATTGGTTTTCCCACGAACGCTTGTGGCGTTGCACATTTTGTGTGTTGACTATCCTTGAGAATTAATCGTCCTCTGTCTTCGTACATTTTCATCCTCTCGATGAAACCTTTTTGGCCGCAGTCGCAACGAAAAGGGTTCGAACTTATCTTTCTAAACCAATCCAAGAAATGAAGTACAATAATCAAATCAAAAAATATTCGCAGTTGTTCGCAAGGAAAGGTAGAAAGCGACAGCACAACGGGATTTTTTCAACGTTGTTTCTCGATGACAATAAAACCAAAAGGTTCGATATGAACATATACTTTTGAAATGCACTTACATCTCTCGTAGTAGAGGGTTATGCTTAAAAACTTTGCTTGGCAAAATGGTTATTTTATTTTCACTCAAGTCCCTGTAAATATAACGATGAAGATTATCTTAGTTGAGATGATCTCGATTTAGAAGTTTAACACGATAGAACGTTTCAAAAAAAGGCGCAATTTTTAACTTACAGATATTCGAGATTCTTGTATTGCTTCAATCTTTTTGGATTCACTCTTTCGATCGAGTTTCCTCTTAGAATTCTTCAACGAATGATAAGAAACGTATTTTCAATTCAGCTTGTTAAACTTTTGCGTGCCTGTCAGTCCCATAAGCTGCCTTCAAAATTCAAAATACTAAAGAGAGTGAGAATATCTTACAGTCTTTTTACGTTGTTGGCGAACTTCACCACGGGAACAATTTTCAAGTTTGCTTTTGGACATGCTACGATGCTGTTGTCTTGATAACATTTACAACCAGGTGGACAAGACTTATGGACGACAAACACTTTACTTGCAACTGCATAATACGAAAGATGGCATATGAGAATAAGTATTCTCATATTTATTAGTAGTTATCTTTAATTTCTTTCAACATTCTTATCGCTCTACGAAGGTTCTTACAGGTTTTTCCCACCAATATTTCATTAATTAGCTCGAAATTGATAATTACCTATAATTTATGCGTCATAAATGTCTGATAAATTCAATTAAGCGTCACTTTACTCGGATGTGTTGCGAAATTTTTTAAAATAGTCGTCATTTACCTTGCGAAAAATACGATTTTTCATGAAAAAAAACCTTTACTGCAACGACAAATGCGTCGTACATACCCGTTAGATAACCAGCAAGATTTTGAAATGACGTCACTTCCCTCGATACCAGGTTCCGAGAGATCGTCACTGCGCAACCTTTTAGCTAGAAGCAGGTAGGAGAGTGTTGGATATGGTCGGATTTGTCACCGCTTTCGTTGAAAATAATCAGTTTCACCTGTCGTGCCAATAACTTCTGTATTACGAAAGGTTATTTTCATCAGGAACCTTTCTATAAATTGTGTGCAAGAAGATTTGTGCCCTACGTCGTTCATTTGTAAACACGTCGTTGCTATATGATTAGCTGGAGCTGAACATGGGAGACTATTACGATATCCTAGGCGTTACAACGGATGCCACAGAACAAGATATAAAAAAAGCGTAAGTAACTATGTAGATGAGCACTATGTTTTGCTTTTACAACGCTCTTTCATTTGTCGGCGTGTTTCGCTTTCGTTTATTGAGATTCGTTCATTGTCTATTCTGTAAAACCTGTTAAAGTCCACTAGCTTGGAGTTATGTATGGTAACGATATCGTTTCTTTTTTCTGTTGATTACCCGAGTAATCATGTGCCTTTATGCTACTGGCATTTAAATTTGCTTGAGAAATTCTAACTGGCACCTATAAATGGACCAAGTGCAAACAAAAAAATATTTAGATTTATAATTAAGTTTACCAAACATTCCTGCTAAATTACTTCAGACATTAGGTGTATCATATTTGATCTCACTTGCCTGTTTGCGATGAATGCCAATACATCAAAAAGGATAAAAAGCCACTGACCCTATAGACTAATGAATGACCTTTAATATTTAATATGATATGCACTACTAAATTGCCTCTGTTTTCTAAATTACTTGGAAATTTCTTTAAATAAAAATGTTAACATTGTACAAGTTTCAGAACAGTGGCCATTTATGGTTCGATATCAATTTCCAAATATTACTTTGCAACTCAAAGTCCTATCATTTATTGTAGGATGTGAATTTGATGATGATAATTTATTATTTATTGAAATCGCAATTGAATGATGTCTGGAAAAAGAAAATTTTGCACCTTCTTACAGAATATATATGAACGATTTGAAAGTACTTTGTGTAGTGTGAACATTCACTGCATTAATGAGGATGATAGAATTGCCTGGCAAAATAGGAATTCGTTAAAAAAAATTTTATTGCCCAAAAAGATCTCTTAAAAGTCCATTGATACGATGAAGTTGATGAAAATTCATTTAGTTGAGAAGCAATTAGTCTGATGATGTCTCAATTTAACAGTGAGACTTTTCTTGGAATAATGTCAAAAGGCATCGCAAAATCGGTGGGGGTCTTATAAAAGTTCTGTGGTGCAATCATGTTTGTATAAACAATCACGTCAAATGCATTTATATCATGACTTGTGTTTGGAATTCAGTTATTGCTGCTTACAAAGCATTTCGACATAAGTAATATGCATGATTGAGCAAATCTGTATGATAGAATACTTTGAGCAGAAATCTGATCAACAGAAATGAGGTATTTCAATAGGAATGTGATCAACAGAATTTTGGTATTTCATTAAATTCGATCACAGTTCATTTGAATTACACAAGTGATGTATGTCCAAAACAAGCATTTGAAAAAGGAACATGGTTGGTCTGTTATCATTGTAGCTGGAAAGCACAGATACTACTTTTTTTTCTTTGTATAGTTATCGAAAACTCGCCCTGAAATGGCATCCGGACAAAAATCCTGACGACAAAGAAAATGCATCAAAGATGTTCCAAGATATATCCGAAGCCTATGAAATTTTATCAGACGGTTTGTAATGTATTTTTCCATTCGAATACTGCTAGTTTTTCATTTGTCCTCATGATCTGACCAACCTACAAATTGGTGTAAGGCTCCCTTTTGTTCTCTCAGGTGAAAAAAGAGCAATTTATGACAAATATGGTAAAGATGGTTTGAAAGGTAAGCTGAATGTGCGCTCTTTGGTGTGTTATGGTTGGTTTGCAGTGTGCAAATTTTTGAAGTCGATACTCACTTAAATAGACTCATCTTACTAGCTATACACCGCTACTCCTGTGAAATTAACTTATTTTTACCGCGCTCTGTGCATGGTGCTGTGCAAACTACGGAGGTTTCGCCTTCGGATCACTGTTCGGCTGTTTCACATTGCGGCTCCGGTCGAAAAAACTCCGGCGACTGATCCGGTTCAACAAGCTTCGGCTCCGATAGAAAGTTTCCTTTTTTTTACAATTCGTGGAATTTCAAAACAACAAAGAATTTTTCATGTGAAAATGAAAGCCCTTTTTCTTTTGGTTTTATATTGTGCGAAGTGAATTGTCAAATTTTTCGCGCCGGGCATCCCTCTACGACGTTTTGGTTTGAAAGATGAAACAGTGCTGTACGTTGTAGAGCGCAGATGAAATATGACCGAAATTTCTTATTAAACTCAGTAAAAGCTAGCTTGCCGATGTTTCTGTAAAATTATCTAGTTGTCAATTAAATCAGGCGTCATGCTGTCTGATGTATGGAAAATACTTTACTGCTATAGAAAATTTTACTTGAAACTTAACTAAAATCCCTTCACCCGAGATTTTGCTTGTACCCTCCAAACTCCGGTAGGCTGCACTAACTCTGCTTCTAAAATAAGAAGTTGATTGATGCGACCATTTATATGTGTCAGTAACTCTGGTTTTTGTCATATTCTAGGCCATGCATCAGGTGGAAATGTTCCAGGTGGATTTCAAGGATTCCACTTTAGTAGTGCAGAAGAAATTTTCAGGTATTTTGACTCTCTTCGTGGGTAAGAGAATTGGGAATGGGGTCTGTGTACCTGGCCACTTAATGACCGACAAACCTAGCTTCTAACAACTTTAACGAGACCCAACTCCATCACTTGTGCGAAGAAAATCCAACACTATTGCTGAGAACGTACTTAGCTCCTGCGACTTAAATTCATGTTCACTGCTCCGAACACGTAAACTGGACGAATCACTAAAACGTCACAAACCACTAATATCGATGCGGCCTAAAGTATGATTTGGATCGCTTACTTGCAGTCTTTAGAAGTACGTGTGTAGTTGACCGACGTACGTAATGCAAACGTTTGCGAACAAATGACAACACAAACTGCAATCCACTGAAGCTTTTATTAAAAGGCGAAAAACTCTTCAAATACCCGGCAACTGTACACATATTAATGTCCTTCGACGTGAAATCACTGTTCACTTGATCCTGCACTGATTTGCACTAGAACTCGTATTACAAGCACCAAGTACTCAGATAGCAACTCTCACTACCCACATAGAAGACATCATGCAGTTCCTGGAGCTTTTACTCACCTCGACTCACTTCCAGTACAACGGTTCTCTTACAAACTATTGCACGAAACTGCAATCGGTTTCTTGGTTGCTGAAATTGTCATTGCTACCTTTTTCATTGTGCTACGTAGACGACACAACATCAGTACTTTATGTAGATGATGACATAAATACTCACATCAACAAACAGGACATGCAGCCATATGCAATTTACCAAGGGCATCAAAGCAAATGGAACTCTTCTCTTGACTGTTTGGTAAAAACATAGCAAGCAAGAAAGTACCAAGTACGAGCCCCCAGTCTATCGAAAACCAACATACACGATAACAAGATCAATCATCTTACAACCCTACATCAAACAAAGCAAGAACATTAGCAAGACGTGCACAACTCATATGTTGCTCAGTCAGATTTAGTGGACGCTTTACACAACTAAAGCAACTATCTAAAACACGTTTTTGACAAGAACTAATACAATCCGATTTCATAAAGCGCACCTCTTGCGAAGACAATGAACATAACGCAACAAACCACCAACCAGAGCAACATCAACCACACCTTATATTCTTAGGTATCTTACGACCATACAACATACCTATTGCACAATAACTGATTGTGTGATTTAAGATAGACGTTTTACTGTGACAAATAGAAATGAGGAATTTTGATTGAGCTTAGTAGTAACTTTGCTTGAACCAAATTTCGTTATATTTTATTCGTCAAGATGTTTGATGAACAACATATGTAGCCAAGAAGCTCAGATTATTTCATCCATGTTAAAATTCAATTATTGTGGTCAATGTGAGTTTTGAGAATGTTATCAAAATTAGAAAGAAAGTTTAGTGTCATTTTCTTGATTAAAATGTAAGGTTTTTCAAAACGTGTCATTAATTAAGTTTGTAATGACTGATTGATGAGGAAAGTTGTTTGTGAAGCCAAGCATTTATGGACCTTGAATAACCGTCTTATTATATAATATGTACATTCTTCACATCGAAAATGTTTGCACCGGTTGCACTTAAGGCTATTTTCCTCTCCGTGGAATTTCAAGCGCGTAATAGCTGATACCGCGCGTGATTGGTAGATGATGTCGTCATTTTTTGACAACCAATCATATTGCAAATTTGATTTCGCGCGCGGAAAATTTCGCCTGGTAGAAAACGGGCTTTAAAGAATGTAAAATAGAGTGACCTGGTCGTTCGTTGTTTATCTTTGGACACTTTTACCTACGTATGTTTTCGTTTGTTTGCGTATAGGAATTTCTTTGGTGGAGATTTGTTCAGTAATTTCTTTCGCGATCCTTTTGCTGACATGGACGAAATGAGGAATGGAGGTGGAAGAAGAAGAGGTAATTTGCAGTTCCATATCTTTTGTGTTTTCGTGTAATGTAGTGTGCCATTTGAAACACGTTCTCTTTGTTCTGCCATTAACGCAAATCCCCTATAACCCCCGCGCTTCTGGGATTTTCCCATCTGAAATCAATGGTGTATACAGCAGGGATTTTTTACCGGATTGCTTTGCTTTGTCAGCAGCTGAAGCTCAACGGTTACAAACCAATCAATGATTATTCAGCGCAGCTTTTATTTTTAACGATCAATTAAGAATTTACTAATACAGCTAGAAGTATGTTGTCAATGTAGCTAGAAAATAGAAATCACAATCCAGCCGATAGCGTTATCATTTATCATCGTTGCAATTTTTGAGCCATCAGCCGGACCCCTATAAATTCACCACTGTTTGGAATAAGACACATGAGTGCCTTTGAGTAAGTGATTCTTCAAACCATCCTTTTTTTGCCATACGTAGTATCCATGTTTTTCAAACGACGTGAAGTAATATTAATTTTGTGAGTTTGGTTAAGGACTCGGAAGTTCCATTGAAAGAGAGAATTTTATTCAGTTTTTATGTTGTTGTTTTTTAAGTCTTCTCTACGCGTGTACTCACTATTTTAGGAAGCAGAAGTCGCTCAACACACACAAACAACATACGTGATTTAACTGGCGATTTCTTTGATGGCGACGGCGGACTTCTTGGCTTCAGAGGTGGCTTTGGAGATGCTTTTGGAGGTGACTTTGGATTTAGTAGCTCGTTTGGTGAAAGGTACGTGTTTTGTGCAGGAATGGGTTTATTTTGGGGCGTACCCTTCCTATAGCCTTTGTTTGAGGGATACATGAGGGGTACAGAAGATTTTTCCTTACTAGATACAGATGTACCAGACATGGGTAGACAGATTATTGGGAATATGTTTATGTTGTCTAGTTGTTAGAGTTGGAGGGGGACACCCCATCCCGGAACGACCACGGACAGCCTGGCTCAAACGTACGCCACTGCCCAGGTGTTTTACCTGAATTTTTGTTTCCTTCATACCTTCTTCTCCCGGTTGAAAACCAAGTTTTTCTTGGAGCCTACTTACGAACAGTGTTATCTCTAAAAAGCACGACAAGCCGTTTTATTTTGTTTTTTTCAACATTTGTCATTTGTGTGTGTGTGTTTTTTCAGTTTTGGTAGCGGTTTTGGCGGCCTGACAGGTAATCGTATTTGGTATACAATAATTTTTTTCTTTTTCAGTCTGAATTTCAGATGTTTTAACGTCTTTGTAGGAAATGTCCGATCTGTAAGTACTTCTACAACAGTGAAGAACGGAAAGAGAGTTGTCAAAACAAAGTGAGTGCGGTAAACGATTGACTCCATAATATCACTGCGTGAGTAGATAAAGTAGATAGATACATATAGATTAACTTTATTGAAACACAGTGGCGGATCTAGGGTACGTCAAAATAAATTACTGCAACACATTTTGGCGTGTATTTACATTTCTAAGTACCTTAGAGGAAAATCCATTGGTAAAATTGTTTTAATCTAGAAATTCAAAACCAATAGTGTTTTTCTGAAGGTACTTTGAATTTAAAATTGAGCAGCTATAATCTATTTTGACGAACGCTGGATCCGCCTCTGTTTAAACACATTAGCCTTTTCATCAAATGCTCATTTCCAAAAGGGATGTGTGATCTATTTAAAATTCAGAAACTACTATGTACCAATTAATGATTTTTTAATCAAGCTTACAATAAAATTTACGAATATCATTCTAATTACGTATTAGGTTAGGGTCGATGAGGAATGATTCGTATATCTTTCAAGATGTTGACTTCCAAATTTCTTGAGGTGTATCTGGCTCCGCAATTTAGATCCACCATATCCAAAATTTTTTTAGGAATTCAGATTTCTGCCTTTTAGTTCAAGGTTTTGTTTTCGAGTCCCATAGATTATAATCATGAATGGTATTCACATTTTGGAAAACTTCGCTCGATCTTTAAAAAGCTATGCAGTTGACTATCTATTAAAGACAGTAGACTTTATAGTAAAGCAAACTACAAGAGGAGAGGCTTATAGTTACAGTAGGCTGGGCAAGAAGTCTGGGGGTATTAGTTTTCTTCATCCTCTTCTCCCAACAAAGTTTGTCGTAACAACTATGCAGCTTAAAAGGGGCAATGCTATTGCATTCGCAAATTTTCTGTCAATAAGAAAGACGTTGCTTTAAAAAACTGTCGGAAATCGTTCAATTACTAGGACGATTATTTTAAAAGACACGTGAGAAAAGCATGGTAAGCAATATGGGCATGGGACTATGTCATTGGTGTTTAAAGTCCGGTAGCCCAATCTCTCATGAATAGAATGTGCAATATACTTTTCTTGTAACCTACAAAGGGAGCCAAATCAATAATTTTCATTCGACGCATTCACCATCTTCAATGGAGTAACTTGAAATTGTAGAAACGTAAGAAAAGTGTAGTGTAGAATTTCAAGATTTTATGTGCGCAGTAAGGGTGCGCGCAACATGATACTGCTTGTCAGGTCTGACATGCAATTTTTCCAACGACGTTTTATGGCTTGTTGTCTGTGCCCTGTTAACGGTCCCCCACCCAACTGAGTCCACCACTGAAAAATAACATATTTTCATCATCTTCAGGATTGTCGAAAACGGGAAGGAGACCGTCGAAGAGAAAACGGACGGAGTGGTGACATTTAAAAGCATAAATGGCGTCGAGCAAGACTTGCCCAGGCTTACGTCAAAATAATTGTCGATGTCATATAGTGCTTAATAGCTCAAGTTTGCAACTGTAAATTATTTTAGAATCCTTATTATTAACCGGATGTTTTGTTCTTTCGTAAAATCTCAATGTACCACACTAATGCTTGTTAATAGTTCAATTAATATATACATTAAGAAGAAGACTCAGTTTTCATTTTTGAATGTTCTTTACTTGAAACGACCTTCAAAAACTTAAGCGCTGTTCTCCGATGAGGATTAAAGAAATGCAAAGGGCGGAAAATTTGCAGCGAAAAAGGTGAAGCTTTCTTTTCTTTGAACGAAAAGATTTTCACTGTCAAGAACATGCATTTCAGCGAATACTTCTGCAAAAAGTGCCGAACGTTTTGTCAGTGATGTGTTATATCAAAGGCTGTTTTGTCAAAGTGAAATTTATTAGCACGCACTAAAAACTGGCGACTTTGAATTCCGTCAGACTGGGAACAAGACAGCAAGTTAAGAATGGGAGCATTAGTTGTTCCCACGGTACATCTATATCTATCGAAAGTTAAGTCGTTATTGACTTGTGGATTTGCTGAAGTAAGAAAAAAATATTCTTCAACTACTTTAACTGAGTAAGAAATATAAATCTAAAAGAATACACATTTCCAAAATACGAAAGTTTCTCAGAGTAAAGGCTAAAGTTTTCACAAAGAACTCGGATATTGGTCGTACCTTATCCGGAAACTGTCGTCACTCGCCGGAATCCACATATTTCCGACAAAATTACGTGGCACATGTGACGCGCCCTCGCTCCACAAGTCGAAACCTGTACGGCTGTTGTTCAAATTTTGTTCCTTGAAAGAAAAACTAAAGCTTGTGTAATCTTTGAATTGTGCTCGCTACGCAAAGCCACGTATCAACAGAGTATCTTCTGCGTATTTTGATTTATAATAGAACAAAATAAAGTCGCGATATTCGCTCGTATAGTTCGACTTTCACTATGGGAGCCTTCGCTAGCTTGTTCAAAGGCTTATTCGGAAAGAAGGAAATGCGAATACTAATGGTCGGTTTAGATGCGGCTGGTAAAACGACAATTCTTTATAAGCTAAAGCTAGGGGAAATTGTAACAACTATTCCAACTATAGGTAAGCAGCATATAATACACACTGTCTTTATTCAATCAATGAAAATACTCAATCTAAATAATACCAGAATACTCGTCGCCATGTTTAAAAACTTTAGTGATGAACTGTAACGAAATAGATTGCTTTTCATTCAATCCGTCGTATTTTTTTTCAGGATTCAACGTGGAAACTGTCGAATACAAAAACATAAGCTTTACAGTTTGGGATGTCGGTGGACAAGATAAAATCAGACCACTTTGGAGGCACTATTTTCAGAACACTCAAGGTCTGCGAATGAACTACTTGAAAGCATTTTTACACGGTCTTACTTCATTGAACCTAGGTTTAGTTATAATACGTGTAACTTTGATGTTTTAGGTTTAATCTTCGTCGTCGACAGCAATGACAGGGAGAGAGTCGGGGAAGCGAGAGAGGAGTTGATGCGAATGCTAAACGAAGACGAGCTTAGGGATGCTGTTCTGTTGGTTTTCGCCAACAAACAGGTAAGCTGCCGTCGGTGTACGCAATAGTTTTTCTTTTTTTATGTGATGCGAGTGTCACAACGCTGACTTGTATGTACAGCGTAACGGGAAGTATTTATAACTAAACTTCTTCGTTCGGTGGTTGCAACGCTTTATTTTACAAGCCATTAAGTGGAGGACCTTGCTACTTCCTTTTATAACAGTTTGGTAAAACTTATCAAGTTGTCTTTTACACGTTCTTTCCCTTTTCTTTTCACAGTTCAATTAAACAGTTGCTAGTTCAACGAGGACTTACGTAATCTATATGTTGTGTTTTAAGTGTACAGAAACATTAAAATCTTTTCGGTGGTAGTTTCTACATAATTTCTTTAGTCTTCAGCGACGAGACTTAGAGCAGCTGACTTAAAACTTCAGATTTTGGGTGAATTTTTGTCATAATGAGCAGCAAATATTTTACATTCTGCCTCACTCTGCTGGAGATACATTTTGAAAAAAAAACATTTTCATTGCGAAATACTGTGTTCTTACAATACAAATAATCAGATCCAAAATGAGTTGAACTATTGAGTGATTTCAAACGATTTATTTGAAATATTAAATTGTGGGATTACGTCTGCGAAACAACTTCCTTTCAAGCTGCTACACAATGGAACTGAATAATTTTTGTTTGTTAGCTTATTTCAAAACCGAATCTATCACTGCTTGTTCTTTGGGTAGAAGCTTGTTCCTATCAGGGGCATCAAAATAAGCTGGCAACCAGCTGAACTTTGAGGGCCATGTTACCAAGGAAGAACCAGGAATCTCAATCACAGCTGTCTAATTTCTTGCCTTTAATAAACACAGGAAAATTTTTAAAAAATCCAACATCGTTATTCATTGTGGAATTTATGTAATTCCCATGTTGAATAACAATAATGCTAAAGTGTAATCCATTCATGGATATAGAATGATTATGGATTTTACATTACATGATAATAGAGTTTAGGGAAAATTTCATATGATTTGCCCACTTCAAACTGTTTAGTAACTCTTGCCTTAAAGCACGAGACTTAATTAAGAAAGGAAAAATGTGATTTATTCATTGAACTGAGTATAAAGTTCTCAAAAGCCACATATTGTGAAAATTTGAAGCCAGCAATTCAACAACTACTTTCTTCGCACATGGCCCCGAAGAAAGTTCATAATGATTGTAAGCTAAAATGTGGGAATTTCCCTTTAAGACTGGCATCATATTTATTCATTTAGTCAAATGTACTTAGCTCACAAAGCGATGAAACATTTTACTTGAATTCCAGGATCTTCCCAATGCCATGAACGCCGCGGAAATTACCGACAAGCTTGGCCTACATTCAATGAAGAATCGCAACTGGTACATCCAAGCAACCTGTGCCACAAGTGGTGATGGTCTCTATGAAGGCCTTGATTGGCTATCAAACCAGCTGAAACAATTAAAGTAGATATTCTTTGGACAGACTTTGTGACAATATTATTTCATCAACTAGAGTAGGATAAGAATGTGATATATAATTCTATGCATGCATGTTCCATTCAGGACGTGGCATCAAATAATGTTGACCACGTTGACGTTGTCTGTTTTTTCATGCCCCGGGCCTGTTGTGTTTGTCTACAGCTTAAGCATGCATAAAATTATGCCATAACATGATTTTTGTGGTCATCAAATGCCAACTTGCTCTGTTTGATATTGAATTATGTTAGTCCTTACATACAACTGATTTTGAAAACTGGGATGCATTGCCCAATTATTTTTATGTATTTTGTTTGCAATTAATACCACATCAATGGATCGCACAGAAGTGAAATTCTTTGTTAATGTTTTATTACTCATATTTTCGGACTGTTGCCCAAACTATAGTTGATGTACAACATTCTATGAAATGGAATGAAATTATTTATTTCAAACATTACACTAGGAAAGATTAAAATATTTTTTGCTTCCTCCCTCGTTCCCTAAATAATAAATTGGGCATGATTTTGTGGAGATCAAGTTGCATGTTTGCCATATAAATATTTATCAATTGTCATTGCGCAAACTATGTTGCATTTGTTTGTGTTGCATCCCAAAACTCAACAATGGCTTCATGGTCAGGTGTCCCATCATAACTCTCCTTCCTTGTGGTGTATTCCTTAGTTAATGGATCATTGCTCCAAAAACAACTGGGTGCTCCTACATTGCATACCCTCCTACTAATCTATGTTTGATCTTCTTCGGAAGAATAAATTGCCTTCATGTTGTATGTCCCTTAAGTGCACGTTTTTTTACCTCGTTTTCACATTTTCCATTTGCTATGGACTGTTGCAAATAGATCGTCTATTTGTGTCCACTTCCTGTGACTTCGCTGTTCCATTTGAGTCCATCTCATTCACACTCATATATTCAGTGTTTTTCCAGCTAATCTTCATTCCTCTACTTTATAAAACATGCCTCCATCTCTCTAGAATAACGTCTACATGCTCCTTATTCTCACTACGCATAACAATTTCATCCTCAAACGTGATAGTCCAAATTGACACTCGTCCAGTTTCGTGTGTTGGTGCAATCCTATATCTACCTTCAATTCATCTGTCATTCCTACAGAACACCGAACAACTGACTTACAGCTTTCTCAAATATCCTGTACTACTCTAGCACACTTCTCTTCCTCTTCAGAGTTTACATACAATCCCATAATTCCTCTCTCGGTATCATATGCTTTCTCCAAATCAACAAACACACAATTCGGCTTTCTTTTAGCATTGTTTTTATTTCTCAGTTGGCAATTTCAAAGTAATATTGCACCGTAACTGCTCTTTCTTGACATGAAATCATCGTGTTGCTCACAAATTCCCACTTCTGCCCCGAATCTAGCTTTTGCAACTTTTTCTCGTAACTTCATAGCGTGATCAAATTTATTTCTTTGTAGTTAGTGCAACACTGCATGTCGTCTTTGTTTTTAAAAACTGGCACCACTAACATACTCCTCCATTCCTCAGACGTTTTCTCACTCTTTACGATGAAACAATATTGTCAAAAACTCAACCAGACACTTCGCCATTAACATGTAAAGGAGATATAGGATGATATTCAGATAAACAGGACCACAAACCGCCTTACTACTTCAGGGCAATCTCAACGTCATCTCTACTAATCTGTGCAACCATTTGGTCTGTAACTGTCACACCCACCACTCATACCTCTCTCTCATTTCCTAATTTATCCACTCATCTATGTACTCTTGCCGTCTTTCTGTCACTTTCTGTCAAAACATTTCCATCCCTGTCTTTGATCACCTCAACCTGCAGCGCATCCTTAGTTACTCTGCATGAACGTTGTAAAAGTTACATACTAAATAGACTATAAAGTAGACACATGGATAAACAAAAAATGACACAAAAGCACACTCAAAGGTAGGAAAGGTTGACACAGGTAAACACAAAAGTGGACAAAAAGGTAGACACGAATGTTGACGCTAAGGTGAAAAAAACGGTAGACATCAAGGTAGACAGAAAGGTAGACTTCAAGATAGACACAAAGCTAGAGAAAAATGTAGACACAAAAGTAAACAAATTTATAAAAAAAAGGTAGACAAAAAAAAAGGCAAAAAGTCACACAAAAAAAGATAGAAAGAAGGAAGGCAAAAGGTGGGAAAATGTAGCCACAAAGGCGGGGATGTTTTGCAAATTTTGGAAGTATGGGAACGCTTTACAAAGTCTGATGGGCATGCCCTATTGTGTAAGGGTTGGTCAGTGGTCTGTAAAGACTAATATGCAAATTATGGCATTTTCAAGTTACTTTTAATTAAAAAATTTTACAACAAGTACAACAAGCAAATTCAAAAAAATATCTTGTAGAGTTTGTGGGTTCTATATAATTAATATTTGCTAACCTAGCCACATAAAACGACATTTCAAAAAGACGACATGAACTACATTTCGAAAAGAGGACATGAACGACATTTAAAAGGATGACATGAACGACATTTCAAACAGACGACATGAGTGACATTTTAAAAAGACGACATGAACAGCATGAGTCGGAAAACCCTTTACAAAGTCTGATGGCATGGTCTATTGTGTAAGGGTGTGGTCACTGCTCTGTTAAAGCCGATATGCAAATTGTGGCATTTTCCCGTTTCTTTCAATTAGAAAATTTTAATCAAAGCACAGTATCATGTAATTGTACAACAAGCAAATTCAAATAAATTATCTTGTTGAGACTATGGTTTCTATATAATTGATATTTGCTAGCCACCATACAATATTACGTAGGGAACAGCGTTCCTTCACGTGTGATTTTTTATAAGGCGACGCCGTTCCCCTTGTAAAAATAGCAGAGGAATGCCATCCCCCGCGTTCTCCTGCAAAGAACATCAGTGGACAAAGATAGACACAAAGGAAGACAAAAAAGGTAGACCAAAAGGTAAACGAAGAAGTAGACGCAAAGAAAGACAAATTGGTAGGCAAAAGATAAACAAAAATGTGGACGAGTTGAAATGAAAACAAAAAGATAGACACAAATAAAGACACGAAGGTAGACACAAATGTGAACAAGAAACTACACGTAAATGTAGGTAGACAAAAAGGTAGAGAAAAGATGAACAAAATGGTAGACAAAAAGCTAGACTCAAAGGTACACAAAAGGAAGACAAACAGATAGACAAACGTTCGGAAAACGTACACAAAAACGTAAAAAAAGTTGATTAAAACGTAAACAAAAAGGTACGCAAAAGATAGACTAAAAGGTAAACTAAAAGGTTGGCGAAAAGAAAGACAAAAGGGTAGACTTAAAGGTAGAGGCAAAGGTAGACGAAAATATAAACACAAAGGTGGACACAAAGGTAAACAAAAAGGTAAAAAAGTAGACACAAAGGTCACAAAGGTAAAAAAAAAGACAAAAAATCCATGGACACAAAGCTCGACGCAAAGATAAAAGAAAAGGTTGAAAACAAGCCACACAAAAGGTTAGACATCAAGGTAGACACAAACGTAGACAAAAAGGTTGATGAAGAGGTGGAAAGAAACTTAGACAAAAAAAGAAACAAAAAGGTAGACACAAAGTAAACCTGTTTTAAAAAGAGGAAAAATAATAACGTAACAGTTCTTAAAAGAAGTGTTTCAAACCAGAACACTAACCCAACAATATATCAGAACTTCGAAATCATACGATATTTGTAATGTTAAGAGAAAGTCAACTTAATCTCTAAATGACGCTTAAAACACGTGATCCTTTAAGTAGACAAATAGAGACAAAAAGATAGACACAAAGGTAATGGCAAAAGAAGACATGAAGATTGACAAAAAGGTAAACAAAAACGTAAACAAAAAAGTAAACCCAAAGGTAGACACAAGGGCATGGATGAATGTAGACAAATAGATAGACACACAGGTAAACAAAAAGGTCAAGAAAAAAATAGACACAAAGATCACAGTGATAGACACAAAGGTAGACCAAATGTTGACACAAAGGTGGACAAAAAAGTAGAGGCAAAAGCAAGCAAAAATGGACAAAAATGTAGACAAAAATGTAGAAATAAGGTGAAATGAAGGTGGAAAATACGGCTTCAAAAAAGCATGCAAAAATAGACAAAAGATAAAGATAAAGGTAGAAAAAATAAAACAAAAAGGTAGACAAAAGGTGGGAAAAAGTTTGAAAAAAGTTGAACACCAATGTTGTCAAGGTAGACAACAAAAGACAAAAAAGTTAACACAAAATGGACCCAAAGGAGGACACAAAGCAAGATAACAAGGTAGAAAAAAAACGGTAGACAAAAATGTAGGCACAAAGATAAACACAAAAGTGCACAAAAAGATAGGCATAAGATAGACTAGACGGTAAACATAAAGGTGGATAAAAAAAGATAGACACAAAGGTAGAGACAAAGGTAGACAAAAAGATGGACAAAAAAGTAAATAAAAAAAAACAAAAAAAAAGTAGACACAAAGTTAGACACAAAAGTCAAAAGTAGACAAAAAGGTAGACAAAACGTTGACTGAAAAGGTAAGCAAAAGATAGACACAAATGTTGACAAAAAGGTAGACAGGTAGGTACACAAATAATATAGAAAAGTTTGAAAAATATAAACACAAATGTTCACATAATGGTAGACACAAGTAAGCAAAAAAGATAGACAAAGAAGTAGACAAAAAATACACAAATAAGGTTGACAAAAATGTTGACACAAATGTAAGCATGTAAGAAAACATTGCGTGCATTTACAGTGTAATTGGTTAGCAAGAGCCATATATGTTTTTGTGGAAACCATCTTTAATGTATAACAGGAGAAATTACAAAGTATATTAGCAAATTCCAAACAGATAAGTCAAATAATTCCTATGTTATAAAAAAACAAATCTTTGACTTCGTATGACGTTTTTCATTTAACACTAATCTAATGCCGTTACTATGATGTAGATACTATACTCATTTACTAAAAATCCTGTAATTATTATCAGTATCGTTACGGCATAACTTTAGTCCTGACTAAACAATGTCATACCAAGTTTAATGTAGACAAAAGAAGACCATGGATTGGTATCATGAAGAAAATGGAAAAGTAAACTGTCGTATCATTGAATGTCATTCGGCATTGTAAGCTTACATAGTGATAAAACACTATTTACAGGATGAACTTACATAATTACATAAATAATGTATGTATCAGGAATCTTATGATTCGGTAAAATTTATTACAATAATTTTATGAACGATAGCAGAAATATGTTGACAGAGTCAAATAATCCCTACGCCACTATAGTATTTGTCTATCTACCTGTCTGCCTTTTTGTCAACATTTGTGTCTATCTTTTGCTTACCTTTTCAGTTAACGTTTCGTTTACCTTTTTGTCAACTTTCTGTTTTGTGTTTATTTTTTTGTTTATCTTTTTGTTTACTTTGTCCACCTTCATCTCTACCTTGGTGTCTATTATTTTTGTCCACCTTTTTGCTTACCTTGTAGTTGTAGTCTACTTTTTGCCTACAGGCTTTTTGTTTGTCTTTGTGAATACGTTTTTATCTACGTTTTTGTCCACCTTCTGTCTACCACTTTGTCTAATTTTTTTGTTTGATTTTTTGTCTGCTCTTTTATGTACTCTTTTGTTTATTCTTTATCTTTTTGTCTACCATTGTCTATCGTTTTGTTTATCTATTTGTCTGACATTTTGCTTGCCTTTTTGTTTACTTTTTTTTACTTTTGTGTTTTTCCTTATGTCCAGCCCTTGTCTACCGTTTGTTTACTTTTTTGTTTAGATAGGTGTCTACTTTTTTTGTGTTGACAACACTTGCGTTTGTTTTTTTTCAACCCTTCTTCCCAATTTTTGTCTACCATTTTGTCTAATTTTCTTCTACCTTTGCGTACTTTTTTGTGTGCTTTTATTCCACCTTATGCCTGATTTTTTGTCTGCAGTTTTGTTCACCTTTGTATCTACGCTTTGTCTACCTTTTTGTCTGTCTTTTTTACTGATTTTTTGCCTGCTTTTATTTGTCATTCTTTTGTGTACTTTTGTGTTTGTCTTTGTTTTTATTATTGTCCACTGTTTTACCTATCTCTTTCTTTAGCTTTGTGTTTGCTTTTGTGTCCACTTTTTTATCTTTTTTTGTCTACCTTGACAACATTTGCGTCTAGGATTTTTCAACAATTTTTCCTACTTTTGGTCAAACATTTTGTCTACCTTTTTGTCTAACTTTCTTTGAGCTTTGTCTTTATCTTTTTGCTCATTTTCTGTGTGCTTTTTTTTGCCACCTTTTTTGTCTACCTTTATTCCACCTTATGTGCAGAGTTTTGTCTACAGTTTTAAATATCATTCACGTTGTCTTTTCAAAATATCGTTCGTGGCGTCTTTTTAAAATGTCGTTCGTGTCGTTTTTTCTATAAATGTCGTTCATGACGTGTTTTTGTAAAAGCGTTCAAGTCGTCTTTTTGAAATATGTTCATGTCGTCTTTTTAAACGTCGTTCATATCGTTTTTTTAAAATAAACGTTCATGTTGTCTCTTCGTCTTTCATGCAGTGATGTTTTGCAGTGGAAACGCGTGGGAATGGCGTTCCCAAACTATTTTCAAAAGGGAAACGGCGTCCCTTTATGAAAAATCACACGTGGAGGAACGCCGTTCCAACACGTAATATTGTTTGTGGCTAGCAAATACCAACTATATAGAACACACAGTCTCTACAAAATAATTTGTTTCAATTTACTTTTTGTACAACTACATGATACTGTGTTTGATTAAAATTTTCTAATTAAAAGAAACTGGAAAATGCCACTATTTGCATATTGGCTTTAACAGATCAGTGACCACACCCTTACACAATAGCCATGCCCATCAGACTATAAAGCGTTCCCTCAAATCCAAAATTTGCAAAACAATCCTGTTGTAGTTCAGCGGAGACCAGTGACCTCAAAGTGGTGGAAAGTGAATAGGTATAGTTGTGACGAAGACGACAAAGACAATGCAGAAAACGACGTGGTTAAAACTGAGAAAGAAAGTGTGCTATGTAGTTTTTAGAAGAATCGAGTTTGGCTATACGTGACTGGACTACTGCAGCTAATGGGATCAGGGAGACACGTAGAAAAGTACTTGGTGTCTCATCTGAAAAGAAAGTAGATAAGGAGGAATATAGACGTTCAGAGTATATACAGAGAAAGAGATTAGGGAAGATGTGGGATAAAGCAGGGATTAAAGAGTTAACAGAAATATAGAGAAAAAATACAAGAGGAAAAGGTTAAAAATGGAGCGTACAGATCGGTTGGACAGCAGAAAAAGAAATAATGGTTTGTACAGATTAGCAGGGAAAAGAAACACAGATGCAGAGGATTTACAGCAGGTTAGAGTTGTCAAGGACAGGGATGCAAATGTATTGAAGTAAACAAAAAATGTAATGGAAAGAGGGCAAGAGTGCTTCGAAGAGTTGATGAATAAGGCAAATAAGAGCAAACTAAGAATAGAGAAAACTGCAAAAATCAATAAAGATGAAGTTCGATAAAGATTCGACAATTCAACCATCGCTATTTTGCATTGCTGCCAAAAGAACAATACGTTTTGATTATCGAAAAATTCAAACAAAAAGTTCATTTTTCACTTTTCATATATTCGCACTAAATACAAGAACAATGTGTACATACATGAATTGATGTTATTTGGCATTCACAATTAACGATAAGACAATATACATAATTTCCATCGATCAAAGGTAGACTGTTAATATTTATGGCGTACATTAAAACATGTCGAAAATTTACCAAAACGAATTAAAAGTCAAAAGGCGATTTATGCAAACAATCAAAATATAAAAGTTGGCTGTAAAATGCGCTCGTGTTTGTGGTTAAAAATCAATCGAAATTGCCATTTAGTTCCTTTAAAAATCCTCTCGGAGTATTGTGAATCATTACAACCAATATACAGAGATGTAGAAGGCCAGGTTGACGTTCAGGTATCACGATGACAACCATAAAATTGCTCTTGGTGAGTACAAATAACGGACTTAAATATGACAGCATAGAAGTATTACAGTGAATTGTGAACAGAAAGCACAATGATGTCACTCAACGAATATAGTGATGTCAGTAGGTCATTCAACGTAACAATGACGTTACTGTCACATGATGTTCATACACTCACTACGCATCTACACTTGCGACGTCATTACGCATCTACACTTGCGAACATTTTGACTTCTTGTCTTGGTTTTCGCCTACGACGTCTTTGCCTTTGTTTTTGACCATCATTCAACATGGGACTTTTTACACTGACCTCGCGTCGCTCACCGCAAACATTGACCAAAATGTCGTTGTTCACGGTCGATTCGCGGTTTGTTGTTTTCATTCCATGTTGAAACTCATTTCTTTGAGAAATGCGAGCACATTCGGCAACCTTAGATTGTTCCTGCTGTTCTATTTTGGTCATTTTGAAAACTTGCTGCTCATTCTTTATGGAGGACGACTTATTTACAGACAACGCTCGATTAGTTTGGTCAGGTCTTTGGTGCCAGATCTTTCTATACTGACGTCCAAGATGTCTCTTGTGTTCGTTGTTTTTGTGTTCATTTGTGTTTGTTTTTACGTTTTTTAATTCCTCATGTTCAACGCCCTCTGTATCGATGCAGTTATTCAATGAAACCGTTCCACTTTCAGAAACTTCATCTTGTTTAGTCAAAGGCTGTAGTGAAGATCCTACTTTTTCTGGTCTGTCAAGGTTTCTATCACATGAATTGTCGGTGACTTCCTTAGCAGGAGAAACGCCTTCATCTATATGTTGCTTGGATCTTTTCGAACGACTTCGGTTCCTCTGTCGCCTTCTTTTTCCATCTCCGTTGAAAACGACCGGTTCTGTGTCATGAGGGGCATTCACCTCATTTGGAGTGCTGTTTACCTCATTTGGAGTGCTTTTACCTCATTTGGAGTGCTTTTTACCTGATTTGGAGTGCTTTTTACCTGATTTGGAGTGCTGTTTACATCATTTGGAGTGCTTTTTACCTTGTTTGGAGTGCTGTTTACATCATTTGAAGTGCTGTTTACATCATTTGGAGTGCTTTTTACCTCATTTGAAGTGATTTTTACCTCATTTGGAGTGATTTTTACCTCATTTGAAGTGATTTTTACCTCATTTGGAGTGCTGTTTACATCATTTGGAGATCTTTTTACCTCATTTGGAGTGCTGTTTATATCATTTGGAGTGCTGTTTACATCATTTGGAGTGCTCTAATGATAAAAAATAACTTGTTTGCGCAAAGTAAAAATGAGAAGAATATTTTTGTGATAGTAATGATATATCTCTCATGACAAATAAAAATGAGAAGTATATTTTTGTGATGGTAATGATAGATCTCTCATGACTTATACAAATGACAAGTATATTTTTATTTTTGCAAAGATGTATTTCTCAGGACAAGTAAAAATGACAGTTATATCTTGTCTTTGTAAAGACAAATCTCTCATGACAAATACAAATGAGAAGTATATTTTTATCTTTGTAATGATATATCTCTCGTGACAAGAACCATGCAGAATCCAAAAATACATGACTAATTTACCGTGATAGCAGAATCATTGCTGGAATTTTGAACCATACGTGATGGATGGGAATCACAATTTTCCTCACTGCAATTATCTTCTTTTGATTTGGAAGAGGACACATCAGAGATTCGTTCATTGTAATTATGACTTTCGCCAAGAAGCTTCGTTGTGACAGGCATCGTCTCTTTGCATTGCATCATTTCGCCAAACATAAATGACTGATGAGCGTCGCCTAAAGAAGACTTAACTGAACTCGAATTTTCAAAATCCATATTGATTCTTGGTGGAATTTGTTGAGTCGGCAGATTTGTACATTGTTCACTTAGACGCAATTCGTTGATCCCATTTTCAAGTTCCTGGCACGAAATAACACGAGGTGCTCTACTTCCTGGAGGGGAGAACGACGGAGCGGCCATATGCTGACCGTAGAGGGGGCCTGTCATCCGTGGTGAGTTGACTGAAAACATGTTAGGATTTCTTTGGAAAAAGTTAAAAGGAAATGGATTGCTGGGGGTGACAAACAACTGTCGCACATGACTTCCGACTGCAGGAGATACTGGAATTCTGTTCGATGGTGATTGGCAGTTTGGAAGTCTAACAGACGGCAAATTATTGTCGAGAATCAGCCTTCCGCCATCAATGTCGTCAGCCTGGGGTAATGGATGCGTACCACGGGGTGGCGTTTGCAAAGATGATGTGTGCATGGGAAATCTGGAACCCATTTCAGCGTGAGGTAGACGCTGGATGACTGTTGTTGTTGCTCGCATAGGTGACGTAGGTAAAATATTGCCAACATGTAGAGGATATCTGGTAACAGCCTCAGACTGTGGTAGACGTTGAACGGCTGGAGGCGGTAGTTGCATAGTTGGCAAAGATCGAATGACGTCATTTCGCGTTTGACATCCGCCAACAACGTCTGCCGAGGGAAGTTGATGCGTAACTGGTGGAGGTGATCGCATAAGCGAAGCAGGTGGCATTCTGGCAAAGCGTATAGGATATGTGCCAGTCATATCAGCCTGAGGCGGGCGTTGAACGAGAGGAGACGTTGATTTCCCGGGAGACATGACGTTGGCAGGAGACGCGGGAGGCGAGAGGGGTTGGTAAGACCAATTCATATTGGGGAGCGGCGTCGGAAATAGACCGAACGGTGAAAGTGAAAAGGGCGCATTCGGATGTGGAGGTAAGCCGGTTGTAGTTAATGCTTGCTTTGGAGAGCTATTTCTCACATTTATGCCACCTTGTAAACCTACAAACAAAAGTTAAAATAATGAAAGTTTAAAAATTTAAAAAAGTAAAAAAGAAAAAAAGTTAAACAAATGTAGAAAGAAAAAAAGTAATAATGTATTTCATGTGTAAATCTGCATTTCAAAAACATCAGAAAGCGATTCTAATTTTCATATATTTCTTGTATTTCGCAAACAAAAAATTGACACAAACATACCGAGCCTGTGAATTAAAATCACCAAACTAAAAGTTTCTCCACAAGATACCGTTCATATACTGACTACTGATGAATAAAACTTCGTAAAAATTACAATGATAATCAGAATAAATATGTTTTTAAATATTAAGAGTGACTAACCCCCGTCTGAACAGTCAACCCTCTTGAAAAATCTAGAGGAAATAAATGGCATCATTTCCCTTTATAAAATAAAAGAAAACGCATCTTTGATTGGTCTATAGCCCTTCTAGCATCAGCTAGTACAAAACAGATTTGAGCTTAAAAAATTAAATCAATCGATCAATCAAAGAGAAGTAGTAAATCAATTTTGAGGAAAAATTTAAACGTTTGTTTTGAATTTTTTTCTCGCATTATTGTTATTTTATAAAAGATATAAAAGATGTTCTTCGTGTTCGCACCGGCTTTTATGCAAACCATGGAGACGTTTATGAAAGCTCTCGAGAGGGCGAAACCCCCGACCTTCGATCTCGGGCTTGCAGTGATCAGCTCACGAGTTCTCCCCAAGGTCTCCAAGTAAACATCTTTTATTTCATTGATCTACACGTACCTTTTTCAAAGCTTGTGTTGGATGGTTTCTGAACGATGCAATCTTGTGTCGGGGTAGCTGATGAAGACTTCTTTTCAACAACCATCTCGACTTTTTCAATTTTATTGTTCTCGACTTTTTCAATTTTATTGTTCTCTCCTTTTCTATTGTCAATATTATTTTGTAGCACATCACTTCTCAAGACTTCGCCATCTTTCGCATCTTCGTCGGTTTTTATAGGGTCAGCGGTCTCCTTCTTTGTGTCGACATTTTCAGCGTTCTTCTGATCATTGGTTCCTGTAGTTTTATTTTGATTACCCTTTCCGTTTTTCTTTTGTTTAACATTACCACGCTGCGCTTTCTTATTGAATGGACATGTCCTTGCGATGTGGCCAATCTTACCGCATATTTTGCAATTACGATCGGTCGGAGGTAGCAGACCATTCGTGTGATATTCAGGTTCAAAAAAGAAGCTCTGTCTCGCGTAAACTTCACAAGGTATATCATCGCGAGCTGTTCCAAACCGTACCCTCGCTCTTTCAAATGTCGAACGAATAAACTTCACCATGGCAAGACTTAGTCCGGCACCAAGGTTATGAGACAAAACGAACGGATCTATGTCAAAAAGAAATCGACAACTTAAAAGTTGACTTCGATGTCAGTTCGGTTTTACCATAAGTAGACAATTTCACCGGAAACGCATTAAGTCAAAATTGACTAAAATCTTTTCTTGCTTTAAAAACATGGAAAATTTTCGTTAACGTTAGTGTCCTCACTATTTCAAACGCTGGAGGCACCGAGAGAATGAAAGCGACCAAAATTTCTCAAACATTTCTCGTTCATCATTATCTCTGAAAATACTATTCTGTCCATCAAATGGAGGCGCGTTTTCCACATCGAAATCTCGTGCAGATAAATTTCCGAAGAGCAAAGCGATTTTTGTACGATAATCAGTGACGTAGCCAGCTCGATAATTTGGTCATGCACAAATTTCATTAGCCTTAAATCGATTATTTTTACAGTAAGAGAATTCCGAAATATTTACATAACACGACCAAACTTGCAAGCAACATGACTCTCGCCCATACCACAATATCAAAGAAAAACATAACTTCTTTCATCAGAACACTGCTACATGAACATGAAGAATAGTAAACCTTTGCAGAAAACTTTGCTTTGACATGGAAAAAAATTTTCTACATGCATGAAGAACATATTTAAATTCAGCCACGTTACGGTAATGCGATGCAAACTTAGCATTCAACATTCACTATACATCACAAGCCGTTACCGAAGGGGAGTGAAAGGGAGTGATGGCGAAGTTACACTACTATATAATCAAAAGCACACACACAATATCCGTTTCCGGTAAATCAGCAGCAAAGAAAGCCAGCCCGTTTTTACTCCTGCGATGCAAATATTTTTGTGTTCCATCACTGGAAAAACAACGGATGGAATAAATTTCCTAAAGAAATAATAATTTTGCTGGAAAATTTGCATCGTAGGAGTATAAGATCCGGCAGGCTTCGCCACTGCAAATCAGGGGGGTGCGATAAATGCTTCGGTTCAACGCACTTGTACATCTATTCAATATGCTATAACTCACCGCACAACTCTTGCCCGTACTCTAAAGCTCACACTCACAGTGCGCAACATAAAAATTGCGCTTCAACTAATCATTAGTAAAATTCATTCCTCCGTTGATGGCAAGATTTCTGTTAAAACATTTCAAATCAAGCCATCGGCGGAGTGAAAGTGTTGTCTTTGAATAATTATAGAAGCGGTGATCTTTATATTCCACTTAAAGAATGTGAGCGAGTGTGAACTTTCTAGAATTCGGGCGTCTGTGTTGAGCATGCATGATTTGTGGGTTCCTACCTTCAATACAAATTTGTCTTCCGTTCCACATTTTCTCAAACTTGGTCAACGTTTTCAAATGCCGCACACACACGACATTGCGACGGTAGTCGAACTCTTCCGTGTAGTAGCGAAGAAACCCGAGCCAAAGAAGGCCACAACTTTCATCGTTTTTACAGGTCCACTTTTTCTTCTAAAACAGAAAAAGGAAATCTATGATGAAGTAAGGTACAGCAGAGTACGTTTGTATAGAGTAGAGCTTGGAATGAAAGCTTCTTTACAAAGTGAAAGCGCTACAAAATAAAAAATTCACATCATTTTCAATGCTAAAAAATCCCTAGCAGAATATAGTGGCCTCTCAAAGGTTGAAAAAGCAAATTTTGTAACATAAAAATGACATTTCACTGAACAAAAAAAGCGCTTTCCAGCATGAAGAACATACATTCGTGCCGTACTTGGTGAGAAATCAGAAAAGGACTGGAAGTGACTTTCAAAAAAAAATTCAGTTTTTGATTGCATATACTGATTGTAATTTAGTCACAACTTTATGAAACTACAACAAGTGAGCGCCACTTTGTAGAAATTTTTCAAAACCATAGACAATAAATATTCAATTCTCTTTAGATAAGCTTTAAATACGACGTTTCTCAGTTGTCGAGCTATTTTCGTAGTTAGCAGTATTTTTATTGAATTGTTTATATCCTTCGAAAATATGTTTAAGTAACAATTCAAATAAATAGTAAGAACCAATGACCTAGAAACCAATGTACTAGATTTATGACTGCGCCAAAATTCTAAGGTTACATGTGAGGCAAGCCACCATCTTGAAAAGTGGCAAAACTGAAGACATTTAACATTGATATCTAATTTTTCTGAGTTGATATACAGTTACAAAGTGGATACTCTACATTTAATTTTTAAAATGCTTGATAGGAATGGGTTTTTAAGCTTTCTTTTAGCTTATTTTTTTATTTTGAGTCTTGCCACCTTTCGGAGATGGCGTCCTTGCTTCACCTTGACACGGTATTTAGACTTCTTGAGGATTGGGTTGTAAATCATTGGTAAGAGCATGCTCCTTTACAAACATAGAGATGGCTACGCATTGGTACCAAGAACTATTTAGTTATCTCTTCAAGTAAATACATACCAGGCCATGAAGATTGCCATAAAACCAACAATTGTGACCCTCCACCACAAACTTCGGCTGTTGGGGAGTATCGTGGAGCTCTTGTAGTACGGGAATCACGGGCGGCTCACGTTGTTGCAGATAATGCAACAACATGAGGATGTAAGCGTAGGAAGACAAGCTTCCTTTTGACGCATCACCAATGTCACAAAGCTGAAAAGAACAAAATGATTACGTCACGTTAATCAGGCAAAGGTACGAACTGTTTTTATCATCGAAAACAATCGCTTCCTATATTTTTGTGGGAGAACTCACGCAATCAATCAACGAAGCCTGCACAGTAACATACTTGTGAGTCAAAAATGCTCGTCGGTAACTATTCATTTGTTACATAAGGTCACGTGAGCGCGTTACAATTATTTAGCATCAACTGTTTACTCCCTCTCTCTGTAGTGCAATTAGAAGAACTCTCGAAATATCATTTCCGCAAAATTACCATTCTCTTCAAAGTGTCCTATCCATAATATCTTTCGCTTCAATGTATCAAAATCCCTTTAAAGTATCATTATTTCCAAAATACATTCTCGCCAAAGTTTCCTACTCTCCAATCAAAGCATCGTTTTCTCCAAAGTATCATTTTCTCCCGAGTAACATGATCTCCAAAGTATCATGATCTCTAAAGTATCATTCTCCACAAAGTATTATTTTTCAAAAGTATCATTCTCTCTAAAGTATCATTCACTCCAAAGAATCATTCTCCCCAAAGTATTATTTTTTCAAAAGTATTGCTCTCTCCAAAACATTCACTCCAAAGAATCATTCTCCCAAAGTATCATTTTTCAAAAGTATTGTTCTCTCCAATGTCTTATTCTCTCCAAAACATTCTCTCCATAGTATCATTCTATCCAGGTATCTTATCTCGAAAATACAATCGACTCCAAGATACAATTCTTTCTAAATTATCACGATCTCCAAATTACCATTTTCTCCTAGAACCACTCTCTCCAAAATGTCCTTCCCTTCAAAGTATCATTCTCCCAAAGTATCATTTTCTCCAATATATAATTCTCCTCCAAAATTCATATTCTCCAAAGTATCATTTTCTCAAAAACATCATTCTCTCCAAAGTAACGTTATCTCCAAAATACACTCGACTTCAAAATACAATGCTCTCTAATTTATCATGATCTTTAAATTACCACTCTCTCAAAGTATCACTCGCTCTGAATCATCATTCTCTCTGAACTATTCATTCTCTCAGATGTGACGACAATAAAATAAATATACATACCACAAGGGATCAGTCTTACCTTCACGAAGACCTTCAGCGCACATCCAAGAATACGCACACGAGGATCAATTTGCACGTATGTGGACAACAACCTCGTGTTCCACAGGGCAACTTCATTATACATGCTAATATCTGCCTCGAGGCGCGCTGGTTGGAGTGCAAATTTTACAATGGGAACCTTGGCTCCTGTAATAGTGATGACATTCGAATAGTCGCGATTATCGCGAAGGATCGACGCAAGTCTTCTGATGTAATGTATGGAGTCAATGTCAGTTTTAGCTTTTCCTTCCAAGGTCATGCAAACGTCCATGTCGCTGACTGTAAACCCGAAGCCGTTACAAGAGGAACCAAATAGATGGAGTTTGGCATCTGCAGTTCAAGAAAACCAGAGATGAAGTCTAGCTACAGTTCTCACGTTACTGTCAGAACACTAAAGTGTCGTATGAAATTGATATTTTAATTGTGTTTGTATTGGACTGAAACGTTTAAAGTGCGAGTAGATTTCCTTAAACAGTTCATCTACAATCTTTTTTATTCTAAAGATAATGAAATTAGTTTGACCTCAGTTTTATCAAACCTATGACGTCACATTCCAACTAGTAGGAAATTGAATTAACTGATCATTGGCCAATACATCATTGCCAAGTGCTTAAGATTTGAAATTCTGAAATGTTGCGGCGACTCAGTAAGCAATGCAACGTTATACTGATTGCGTGAATGGGACATCAAAAACCTCAAAAAGAATTCGAGCATAAAAAGTCATGGGCATAAAGCATGATATTATTGATTGGATTCGCGAGATTGGATGCATGTGGAGTTGATGATACGTGTAAATATCAATGAATAGTAAAATTAATATAATTAGTTTCGCAGTTTTTTTTAATATTATATTGTTGTATAGTTAGTTAAATTAAATAATGAGTCTCGGGGTGATTTTTTGCGCGTTCGGCCAACCATGTACAGCAGTTTTTGAGGCACACAAAAATGACAGAATATTAGGTTGTGTAAGTGCATCAATATTTTTACCTCCTCCTATTAAACGTGTACAGTGATGCTGTCCCAGAAAGTAACTGTCGTTATTTTTAATTAACAAAAAACAAACTTGATTTTTCTTTCTCTAGGATCAAGAACGGTGTTCTACATTAAGCCTCTCTTTCTTGTTGCTTCATATGTACTTCCCGTTGCATCTTATCCCATATTCCCTTTCTCGAAACTCTGCCTGAGAAGCGACTCAACAATTAACGCAAACTTACCAGGAATATTTCTCCTGATATGATTTTCTAATCTTCGGAGAAAATGAGTTCTTCGCTTCACGTCTTCATCAGTTATGCCATAATCGTCTAAGAAATAATAATAATAATAATAATAATAATAACAATAATAATAATAATAATAATAATAATAATTATTATTATGATTGAAAACGTATTTTATTATGATCATTATTATCTATTACAAATATAAATGTTAAAAAAACTAAATCAAATATGACTAAAATCAGTGTTTAAAAAAAATATAATAATAATAATATGAATAATAATAATAACGATCAAACTACATCTTCTCCAATCACATTACACTGGGTTCTAGTTAAGTTAGAGTGTGTAGATGCACCTAGATAATGTAATAGAATCAAATGTAATGTAAATGCGATAAATATTACCGTAAATAACTTTTTAAAAAACCTATGTGAACTCAAACGAATGCTTTTGAGAATGGTTTCTCTTCTATGTTCACGCAAACTCGTTAACATTAAAAATTCATTTCATTATAATTCAAGATCAAACGATGGAATATTGCAACAGAATTACACTGTGAGATCGAATAAGAGACTGAGTGATACAGCATTTTTAAATTTCTTAGCTACCGAATGTGGTACAGTTTTCCTGTTGCAATATGAAGTCGAAAAGAACATAAGTGATTACTTAAAACTCACTATTTATGGACGAGCTTTTAGGTAAAGTTTGATCAGAACAAGAAATAGTTAATTATATTGTTGATAGATAGAATAAACAATTGTTTACCTGCCGACAGCTTTAAGTAATATAAGTACTATAGTCTGATGATGAACTTGTAACAAATTCGAAATATTACTTTTCAAATTGGTATTTGAAAATTTTTGAAATAGTCACACGACTACATCAAGCATCCTTTTCACTTAAATTCCACATTAATAACAACACACCTTTACAGCATAAACAGACGTTGGTTAAAATATCCTCAAACCATCGAGGAAACGGCGGCAATGGTTCCAACGTCCTCGTGACATCTTCCTCGGTAAGATTCCCAACAACATTCAACACTTCTCCTTTCCGAAGTACGGACTCATCAAATAGGTATTCAGCATTCGGCCAGTCTGTTCCGTTGTCGACATTTCCGGCTGGTCCATCGTGATTCCTCAATGTAATGCAAGAATTCGCATCGTTAGTTTCTTTCACTTCGCTGGTATTCACTGTATCATCATCAGAGTTAACGGTTATTTCACTGTCATTGATGGTATCAATCGCAAAAATACCGCTGACAAGATCGTCATCATTGCCATGATCAGTTAGGCTATCGACGCTCCACTGAAGAGCAAGTTCGTTGCGACCTTCGGTAAAGGTTTCGTCACCACAATCGCCATCAACACAATCATCGTCTTCATCGAGTGGAGTGTCGATGGCGTCCTCACCAGGCTTGTGTTCAGGTTTTGGGTCTTTAGATTTCTTCCCCACACCACATTTGTCTGTTGATCTTTGAGTCTGAACAAAGAAAACGTTATTCACTTTTTCGCCATCCAAGCAAATCAGCCCTTGGTGCACTGCCTTGGCGTTTCTACCCGACCCTGAAACCTTACCAAAAGGAGATGCTTAATGAATCGACGCTGCAATGTACTCGTTTAATGAAAATGGAGCTCGGTTACATCTATTTCTGTGTCAAATTCACGAGGATAATGAATTTCTTTTTACGCGAGGACTAACAAACCTAGGTGGCCTTTCGAGTAATGCAACCCGGTAAACCTGGTTTTAACTCGTCATTTGACCTTTATAAATTTCATTAACAAATCCAAATTAAATATTCACGAGAGAAAAATACGTGACTATTGCGCAGGTGAGATCTAATGATAGATCAGCGTTTTGACCCGATGCAAAGTTACTACTTACACGTAAATGAAGCTATATTAGCTATAAAACCGGCATTCAAATTTAACAAATACTTTACGGGGTTTCATGGATAGCTGAATAAAAACTCCCACATGAAGATAACCCTCCCAAAAGTCGACAAAGTATTAGAGTTTTCTCGATATAAACGCACATGTACCCATTCGTTCATTATTATCTGATGTTCTCGTTGAAATAATAATGAATCGTGTTGTGATTACAGTGAATGGTTCAAACCCGTTGGTATCGCTACATGTTTGTAGATGTTCATCGTTCAGGTGACTGCAGTCATCTTTATTCTGAAGATGACCACTGTTCAACGTCATTCAACAATAATATACCACAACTCCTTCTTTGGACTGAGCTATAACCTGGACGACCAAAATCTACGAACATGTAGTGTTGTGGTTACCAACGAATTTCAAACGACAATCAGATGACAACTCACAGATGTTTTGGCTAAGACTTCCTTGCCATCTGTTGCAGCATTTGCTTTCAACTGTAGTTCTGCTAGAAAAAAAACCATTTTTTTCTCCTTTTTCTACAGCCCATTTTCATACAGGCCACTTCATAAAGGGCAAGCTGCACATGTATACAAATGTACAATGACACACTGACTGACGTAAAATTACCCGAATTCTTGTCGTTTGGGTGTCGACCAAAGTACAACAGCGCAACTCTCAAATGCTCCACGATAAATTGATAAGCTACGTGAAAAGGAAACATGAATTGTCTCGCTTCATAAATGTCATTTGGCTAAATTCGTGGCGCTGGGACTAAATCCCAATGATGAAAGTTCATTTCACAGAGTGTCGTTTCGAAAAAAGTTGACCAATCATGCCATAAATATCCTCACAATCAAAAGAAATCACATGCAATAAATACTCACACAATCAAAAGACAAAATCACATGCAATAAATATTCACACAATCAAAAGACGAAATCACATGCAATAAATATTCACACAATCAAAAGACAAAATCACATGCATTAAATATTCACACAGTCAAAAGACGAAATCACATGCAATAAATATTCACACAATCAAAAGAATAAGTCACAAGCAAAAAGACAAAGAAAAGTATTTTTCTTTTACAAGTGACATTACCCTCACTATTCGCCAGCAACATTGCCACATTTTTTCTACTAAAGGGGTCTACAATGAAGAAAAATATACACGGACAATAGTTGGAACAATCCACATTAAGTTGTCAGAGATGTCGACTTGTTGTATCAGCGGTATTTGACAATACCAACCTTCAATGGCGAACTTCTTTCTGCCCCACGATAACTCCGATCGTGGTAGTCGCCTCGTCTGTCGAATATTGATAACATTGACTTCGTTTTTCTCGTAGTCAGAATAAAATCTAAAATATATGTTCAATCAAAACGTGCAAGGTTACGATGTTGTAGTAATAATATTGTAAACAATTGCTCTATGGTTGCCAATATCAGGATGTACTCGATTTCAGACAATGATTGATAAATGTTAATAAGTTAATATTAATAAGCGTTGATAAATGTTAATAAATGTTAATAAATGCAGAAAACGTGAATGAAAATCTACAAGGAAAAATGTTAATGCCTTTCGTTGCATAAATGAGCATTTAACTGGAGATCTTTTGATAGGTATTCCACTGGTAGCTAACCATTTGATTTTCCACCAACAACTATACAATTGGTTTCATACTAGTGGTCACGTTTGGTATTCTACTGGTAGCTGTGCAGTTGGTATTCTACTGGTAAGTAGAGTAGCGGATCCAGCGTTAGTCGAAATAAATCATAGCTCCTTAATTCAAATTCAAAGTACTTTCAGAAAAACACTATTGGTTTTGAATTTCTAAAGAATATAATTTCACGAATGGATATGCCTCTAAGGGTTTTAGAAATGTAAACAAATGCCAACATGAGCGGCAGTAATTTATTTTTAGTTTTTTAGTAGTTTTTTAGTAGTTTAGAAATGTAAACAAATGCCAACATGAGCGGCAGTAATTTATTTTTAGTTTTTTAGTAGTTTTTTTAGTAGTTTTTTAGTAGTTTAGAAATGTAAACAAATGCCAACATGAGCGGCAGTAATTTATTTTTAGTTTTTTAGTAGTTTTTTAGTAGTTTTTTAGTAGTTTAGAAATGTAAATAAATGCCAACATGAGCTGCAGTAATTTATTTTGACTAACCCTTAATCCGCCACAGAGTAGTTATCCGTTCGGTTTTCTATTGGTAACTACGTTTAGTATTCTACTAGTAGCTATGCGGTTGGTAATCTACTGGTAACTACGTTTGGTATTCTACTGGTAGCTATGCGGTTGGTAATCTACTGGTAACTACGTTTGGTATTCTACTGGTAGCTATGCGGTTGGTTATCTACTGGTAACTACGTTTGGTATTCTACTGGTAGCTATGCGGTTGGTAATCTACTGGTAACTACGTTTGGTATTCTACCGGTAGCTATGCGGTTGGTTATCTACTGGTAACTACGTTTGGTATTCTACTGGTAGCTATGCGGTTGGTAATCTACTGGTAACTACGTTTGGTATTCTTCTGGTAGCTATGCGGTTGGTAATCTACTGGTAACTACGTTTGGTATTCTACTGGTAGCTATGCGGTTGTTTTTCTACTGGTATGACCATTTGTTTGCTGCAGGTAGCTTTTCGTTTGGCATTCTATACTGCTAACTATCTAGTTTGTCTTCAATTACAATCAAACTGCTCTCTGCATCTATAGCTCAAATCTTCCTTTCTTTAGAAGACGTGTCACACAAAAAATTCCCTCCTTGTGAAAGCAAGTCGGTCAAAGGAATGAAACAACTCAAATAATCCTTTATGACTTCCATCACAAACCTAAGCAGTCCAAGCCACAGTTCTCCGACATTCATCTCGTTTCTTGACTTCCAACTGCTTCTCTGCCATTGAAAAAAAAAAACAAAAAAATGTAAGATTGAATTTTCTGGACTGAACGAAAACATGGTTACACGCAATCGCTTTAGACCGGGGAAACATCAATTCACGACGTGCAGTAAAGAAAAACTACCATTCATTTCAACAATCGTGTAAAACAACTCAGTTTCCAATGGTTATATGGAAGAGAAGACATGTGCGACTAAATACGACACAGCGACTTTCTACTTAGCAACTGCTTCTACAGTTCCCAGCAATCTCCACGCGGTCAGTTCAGACGTTGTTGTCATGCAAGCATATATAGGGCTTTCAACAATGCACTTATTATGTGAATGCTTAAACTCACGATGATTTTCAAACGATCACCATATTTCTCATCAAAATATCCAATAGGATCATCGTCAATCTGAAAAAAAAAACAAACAATTGTTGATTTTGTCGAACATTGCTGTTCTAACGCCAGTTGCGCAAAAGCCAAATGGTGCTACCTAACCATCCACAAACATCTTCGAATTCAAGAAAAAGATGACTACTCGAAAATGAAACTAGGTATCTTTGAATCAATGCTCTATTGCGTCGATTGTCCAGCTAAGATCTTAGCTGTTTCCCATACGAGGCAATTGAAACAGACGAAAAATTCCTATCTAACGAATTCGGCACTAACCAGGCTTCATAAAACCGGCTCTAGGTTTTAATAATTAGACATTTTGTTTCGTTTATCAAATTTTCAAAAAAACACTCGTGAAATGTTTGCTAAACGCAACTTTACTGCAAGCAATCATTGCAATATTCGTCATAAACGTTGCCAACCAAAAATGGACAACATGCAGGGTGTCTATAACATGGAATGTTTGAGTCAATGAATGATTAACTTCATCTAAAAAATCAGCCTAGTCAGAAAATGCGATCTCATATGTGGATATGCTATAAAATTTCGTTATTTCCGGAGAGTACCTTGTTCAACAGCTAAAATCAACAAATTCTTAACTTTTTTAGGAATTTAGATTTGGGCTTTTTGAACATAAAGCTTCGTTGTGGAGCCTCCAATAATGTTACAAGTCAATTAGCATTGAAGCAAGACACGGACCTCGCTTCACTCGGTTTTCATTGGATCGTTTTTATCACCTTTAGTTTCAACTCGTGAACGACTGGTAGAACTGGTGGTTCAACTTGCTGCAGATAATGAATGACCATCAAAATGAAGGAGTATGATGGCAGCAGCCCCATTTCCTGACGATCAACTTTACAAACCTGAACGAAAATACAGTTGAATAAATTGTTAGAACGAAAAAAACGTTCGAACAAAGGAAGGCCAAATATGAACAATATATAGTTTATTTATACAAAAGTTTCTTACCTTTGCCCAAAGTCGAAAACAATGACAGAGAATTTTGGCGCGTCCGTCCAATTCGCCATATAGATTGAGCAGCGACGTGGTGTTATAACCCTGCATGATAAAATGCACATGCGCAGATCAGCGTAGAGCACTTACACACATGTACGTGCAATGTCTTTGACCATCTCAATTGCATAATTAATGGACTGCAAAAAGGATGGCGAATTCGATGTCACCAGATTCCTTTGGATGAGCGGGGAGAAACGGTCATTGTTCTTATTGATCATTACAGATTATCATTTCACTTACGACATTGGTACCCGTGCTTATTCTGCACCATAGTCCACTATAGGAATGAAAAAATTAAACAGATCAAAAACAAAAATTCGCACGGTTTGTAGTTTTTCGAAAAAAATGGCAAGTTAATTTTATAATTACAGTTCTAAAACTCCACATTCTAACTGTAACATGTTGGCCCACTCGTTGAGTAGTTTAAAGATTATTAATACTTTGTAATATTAAAATATAGTGCAGATCAAACTAGTTTAATAGATATTCATAATCATAATATATTAATGCTACCATGGGAGAACCGTTATTCTTTATATGGACACAGGGATACACAAGGACCGCGAAAGATCGATGATTGGTGGTGGGGGGTGGGGTGGGGGATATTAATACATGCATGTTCTACTTTCATTAATTTTCATTGAAATCAATTGCGATTATGACATATGAACATATGAATATAGCTCCCTCCCCAATGATCAACTTCCGTTTGTACGTTCCTCCTGGTTTGTACGAAGATTCTTTTCTATTTTATTGTTTGCTTCCATATGTTTGCTTCGGTAGCAAGTGATCCCAGAAATATTTGCTTAGAATTACTAAAGAGACAGGCATGCCCTACCACTGTTGAAATGCCCATCTTAAATTACGTTTCAGAGAAAGGTCGCCTCCTTTCAGGAGGAAAATCGTGGAGCGATGCCTACCTGACGGTATCTTTAAAATTGATCGCAGGCAATGCGGATTCAAATTCCTCTTTTATTTCACAACATTGATCTAAAAATTGAAAACAAATCTTACGAGACTAGGGCCTGATTATATGTAGGCGAGCTGGCCCGGATAGCGAGCTAGCCCGATGATTTCAAGGGATTGAAAGGAGCCAAAACTTCAAGGTTAAAAATTACAACTGTTTGCGAAGCACCACACACGTCACTCCGGTTGTAATTCTCAAATTATGGAAAATTGGTTGTTTCAACTTTAAATGTTTTGAGACGTAATTAAATCAGAATATTGTGAAATTGTTTGAGAAGATTTATCTGATGATTAAATATTGAATCGTTTCCATTTGCCAAAATCATTTAACGCTTGGCTGAATCCCGGCTACCGGGCTCATGTAATCAGCCCGCTAGCCGTAATGTTTGTTTATGAAGTACAAAGAAAACCCTCGAGGCTATCTTTTGAATCTTCGAGTAGGTAATTGTCTGAGAGTAATGAGAAGTCACAAACTGTAGCGTAAACGGCCTGCAGGTCTAGTCGCGCTGCGCAATTTTCAAAACATTGGCAATATACATTTCTTTTGAAATCTTTTTCTATCACATAGATTGTTCAACTGAAAATTTACATTGCTTGACTAAATACACCGGCCGTCTACACAACGTTAAAACTTCAATTTTTAATTTACGTTTAATATTAGTAAGCAAAATGTTGGTTCTTCTACAGTATATTCTAGACTGCAACGCCCCCGCGCAATTCACCCAGTCTGAGCCCTTAGTAGTTACACCAAGGGGTCACACAACAATTTGAACGAAACGATAAATTTTTTGAAAATATTCATCAAAATTTGAAAGCAATAAAATGGAGATCATCTGCTACGTTTTCGCAAACATGCACGCACAAGCAAGAATACCTCCCTCTCTTTAGTAAGTCAAAAGAAAATGAAAATTTCCTCATCAACCCCCTTAAGGTTTTCCTTTGCAACAAAAGACAGAAAACAAAACCTTACTGTTTTTTTAAACTGAGGTGGCAAATGCGAACGGGGAGCGTGAGCATTGAAATAAAGATTACTGTGAAAGACTTTAAAACTTACCAGAGCTTTTAAGAACATTCAAAATAGCGATGAAAATATTCGGTACGGTTTCCTACGAAACCAAAGTATACATGAGTGCGCAAAATTATACGCCAAAATCTGTTGATCCAACCATGCGGTTCGCATGAACTATATTATCATATATTCTCGTGGTTGAATCAGTCAGAACTAGTCAAAAAGCCCTGCATAACTTTATGAATCTAAAAGTTGACAGGCGCTATAACAACTTTTGAAATGGCATTTAAAACTTTCGAGGCCGGTGGCACACGGGCCATGAAAAAAGACGAGAAAATTATAGCTAGCTATTACAAAAATTACACTTCGCTATCTCCAAATTAAAGTTTTATTTTATTAATTGTCCAGTTCAAATCGTACCTCTTTTCTTTTGAGACCATCTTTAAAACCTTAAAAAAACTGTTATCCCTTGCTTAATACCAGCTCTTTGTATCTATGCTAGGTCCGAAAGGATATGATTGTAATGGTATTTCAGTTTCAAATATTTGTGAAGAGTGATGGCAAAAGTAAACAAGCACTTCGTTTTTTAGCAAAGCTATCGAATACACAACAATTCATCATGAAAAGTAGCTAAATGCGACTAACCAACTCATTGATGCAACAAACTTTACATCTTCACTGTAAACTTTACATCTTCAGAGTCCGCTATATTTTTCGTACAAAGTTTGTCAAACCTGTTTTGATGCTTGGGTCTGTTGAGAAGGAAAACTATGTTTGAATTTTGTTTGAGTAGGTTCGTTTTTTGTCATTTCGATGATTTGCGAACAAAAGTTGCTAGTTCATTTTCGGAACAAAAATGCCGGATTAAATAGCTACACCAGTGAGTTGGATAGTCATATTTAGCTACTTTTTATGACGAATTCAGCTACGTTTAGCTACTTTTCATTTAACGATACTCCTGGGTTCAAACCATTTACTTTAATATCATTACTAATATATTAATTAACATATAATAGTTTAGAGACAGAGATAGCACATGTTCCGTACTTTTGAAAAAGTTACCAAAACATGAAAAGAGTTTTTCACGAGCCTAAGGCTTAGATGTATTAAGGCTATTCCGTAAAGACGCTATTCTTAACGCTTTTCAGACTTTTGTAAGATGCAAGATTTGTAAAAGCATGAAATATATTTCACAAAATTGACTTTACCTCGCTATTCTCTGTCACGTAAATATTGATGTCACTTGTCTTCAAACCAAGGCCGGTCTTCGACGATCCAAACAATCGAAGATGGCTACCTGGTGATATAAAACGAGGCTCAGCACAGTGTTTTGACGACTTTCCAGATTCCATAATTTGGGGAAGAAGTTAAATACGTCTAAAAAGGTACTCGAAAGAGACTACGATTGTGAAGTCTAACTGTGACCTCTATGTTCTTTTTCATTCATCACTAAAAATTTTAATAATTATCTGTTAAATTCTCGAAACGGATTTTTGGATTCTTAAAACGGATTCGCAATATCTTTTATATTGAGAAACCGTTCACCGGCGGTCACCAATATTTCACCCATCTCAGTGCTTTTCACTACGTTTCTTCGTACGATATATTACATATGGGGTTCAACCAAAGCGCTGGAAGAACCCTCCAAAAACTTAAACTTTGCACTATCCTTTGAATAATACTATAATAACTATTTACCCCCCAATAAAACTTTGCAGTATTGTGAGTGGCGAAAATTCAGTCGCTTGGGAAAGCTCCAGCACAAAATATATACCTTGCACTAATACAATGGCACACGGTGAGCTAAATAAGTATCTAACGCATGCGCAAACTTCATCACCAAATATACCATTGATTACAAGTCGTGTCTTCTGATTTATAAAGAAAACCACAACTAAAAAAGGCTGGCTTCAATATTTTCCTCAGTGTTAAGACAAAAAGAACAAAATAACTTTGAACATAAAAGGTGATCTTTGGTAATTGGCCAAAGCAGAACGTTAGCTCTTGGTTTCTAGACTATTTTAAGGTTGGAAAAAACCCTGTATATTTTGCAACATTAATAAACATAGCTCGGAATAACAACAAATCGCGATATAGGGGAGATTAAAGCACAAAGTACGAGGATTTCCTCAACCCAAACCCTTACCCACGGTTAGCCCTTACCAATTCCAATAAGTTCTCTATAACAAAAAAGGCCTAGTTCAAACGTCGAAGTTAAATGAAGTCATGAACCGAACGTATTGAGAACAAAAGATAATGAGGAAGTTCATCTCATTTTCTTTTCTCTTTAATGCGTTCGGTGCATGTAAAGTTCGACGTTTGAAACAAGCCTTAAAGGTTACAACGTCTGGATAAGGCGGACTTCAAAAAGCGTGAAAATGCAACAGTGCAGATGGAAAAAAGGCATTCCCATGTACTATGATAGAACTGCAGAACTTTTAAAAAGCACAGCAAGCTATGAATACTAGATATTTTTGTACCAAGCATGAAAATACTTTGCCAAGCATTTTCGTACGCTACATTTTGCACAGTTAAGAATCCACCAACTAAGGAATACTCATTTCACTTTTTTAGAAATATAGTGTACATTATAGTTGAGTTAATGTAGCAGAATTTGTGCGCATGCGGCGTTGCATGTGCACAATGACGTCAGTCAGTTATTTCTTTTTTGAAGACCTCGTTTTCACTGGCATAGCCAGCCCCCAAAGTTTAGCCCCGTTAACTGCTTTTAATTGCGTCACTACACTCCTGTTTAATTGCCTTTTTGGTAGACAGCCGGGAAAAAATTGCGGTTAGCCCTGAGTGATCTGAAGTGGCAGTGTGTAGTAACTTTTACTTCTTATTACCACTTAAGCGTGCATCGTTTCTTTTGACTACGGTTAGCAATTAGTTCAGGCACTCACAGGCAGGAGTGTATTGCAAACGTTTTGAGAAGGGAGGCTCTTTGTCATTGTCATAAACTAGCAGGGAAAAAAGTACTGAAGTAGGAAGAAAAGCAAATTTTGCCAGAATGCCACTTTCAAAGTTTCAACGCTAAACTCTTAAACATATCAAAAATAATTTTATGATATGTAAATTTGGAAAGGACTGAAGGCAAATTGTCTAATTTACATGTCACAAAAGCTTTATCAGGTCAAGGTACAATTTGCTGTCAGCATAAAATAACAAAATCATAAACTTGTTGGAGGTGAATCATTTAAATAAATGCGGCACAATATAAAATTATGCAATTTTGAAAAATTAAGGGAGGGCTGAGCCCTCTAACTTAATAAAGAATTTTAGCAAGAATTCCTGAGCCCCCCTTCCACTACAGCACTGCTTGCAGGTAGCGGGGCTACGTACCTAGGAACCCTAAATTATGAAACTCGTGCATCACTAGATGTTCCTAGGTACGCTTCCTAGGTTCCTACGATTCCTTCATTACGCATGTAACTAAACTTCAGCATATTACCGTTGCTCGTTTCTTCCAAAATCTTTTTTTTTGAGGTGAGTGAAGCAGGAGGCTAGGCCAGTGCTCAGTTATTAGGTATTTTAGAGCATTGATCCTGGAAAGCCCTTTCAGGGATGATTAATTCATAGGTTGTGATCCCAAGTAGCCGCACTACCTGCAAGTGCCTGAAACTGATTGCGAACTACGTCAAAGAATTTACGCACGTACACTCAGAAAATTATAAAATTTGCCAGTATTCACCAACCAGGATTTTTGAGCAATTGGGTCAAAATAAATAAAAAAATTACCAAAGACAGTTCTCACAATCACTTTAGACCGTGCGGGCTCACCGCTAATTTTCGCAACTGTTTGTAAAAAAACCCCCAAATATACAGGCACGGATCAATCATATAATCATTTCATTCATTTTATGCCAACAACAATGCCGACAGTGTTACCTATAATTCTTTCGTCCAACAAGTTTTTGACGTTATGAAAAACCCGACATCGACGGTGCAAGTCTTGCTCGGACATTCCATAGTTCACGGATATTCTTGTCAAGAACGCGCTCAAACTGGCCAGCTGACTGGGGCAAGGAGTTGGCAAGACGCTCAAAATTGTTTCCTGTAATAATCGCAAAAGATATTGCGGGCAGATTTTCTGAGGGGGGCGGGGGGCACAGAGGGGGGAGAATCCCCCAAATATCACAAATCAGCACACTAAATAAATTGTTCACTCCTCTGGGAAACATCTCAACTCCCTCAGTTTTTGGCAAAACAATCAAAAAAATCTAAACTACCTTCGGTTGCTGCTCCACTAAACCGCCTCTAAAATCTAGACCAGGTGTGGGCAACATACGGCCCACGGGCCGGCCCCTGAAGGGATTTTGACTGGCCCGCCGACAATATCCGACCATTGAATATTATTCATGTAATAGTCCGGCCCCACCAATAACTTTATTTTCCTAAATCTGGTCCGCCGACTGGAGAAGTTGCCCACCCCTGATCTAGACCCTACTATCTCACTTCCTTACCAGCTAATCCCCCTAAAATTTTTAGCACCTCCCTGGCAAAAAATACGAAAATCCGTCCTCGGTGTAACTGAGTGTGTAAACAGCAAAAGCTAAACGATTACAATGAGCAAAGAGTAACAACTCTACATGAAAAGCGACAATTTAGCATGAGAATGAACTTGATCAGTTGCATCAACAGGCCCAAAGCTACTAGAGCTGTTGCTTGTACTGTTATAACTGATTTATTCAAATATCTACATGCTAGATGGCAATTTTCAATCCTTAACGTCTTGCTTATTGAAAGTTATTGTTTTGGCAATTGAAACAAATAGAAAATACACAATTATCACTTCAAAATGGGCATGCACTTGCATCTTGACTTTTGACAACTTTGTTACTAGGCCAAATGAGTTGGCCACCTCAACCATCTGATTTAAAGCAATTTTACCTGAATCTATTTTTTATTAAGCTACATATCTATAATCTAATGCATTTAGCTACACCTTACTCCCTCAGACAGAAATGTATGTATGTAATTGTAAATAAAAATATACATGTTCAATCATTGGAAAAACAACTAATTATGATAATTTCCTTATAAATAAATAATATGAATAGAATTACACATATCAAATGTACATGTGCCATATTTAGTTCAACTAAAGCTACCTGCAAACACTTTCAAAATGTGCTCAACATTGTTTAGCATGTTTTGAGTGATGGTAAGCTATGTGAGCAAATGCTCTCAACATATTGAGCCTTAATATGACAACAAAGAGGATCGTGTGATGAAACCTGTAGGATCATGTGATGAGACCTGTAGGATCATGTGATAAAATATTTCACTGCGCTTTGCAATTGCATGTATACAGCTACATATATTGTTCAGTATCCAACTAAATTAGAACAATACATGCTGCACAGTGCACATGCTTTTGCTCAACATTGTTGAGTGTGTTGTTCAAATGCACTAAACAATATTGACGGATGCTTTGATGACCACAGTACAAAGTGTTGAGCGCTATAGAGCGGAAATTTTGAGCAGGTCCATTGCTCAATGCTACTCATCACTCCTCAAAGGGTGTGCAAATGCTCTGAACATGTTGAGTCTACAATGTAGAGTACATGTTGAGTCAACATGTTGAGAGCATTTGCACATATCTTTAAGTGCAATTTTACTGATCAACTTTTGCCTTTTTTAAAACAGAAAACTGCATCAATTAAATCAAGGCCACCATATTCCTTGACTTGGTTCATAGGCAAATAATGGTGATTGCCCTGGTTAAAAGCACTCAATAGCACATCTAAACCAAAGGTTTTACTAATCCAATGTTAAGTTTTTGCAGTGTGGTCAATGCATTTTAGCATAGAAGAAATAGCAGGCTGGCTATGACCAAAAGTGGAAGGACAAGACTAGAAAGTTTGTAAACTGCAAATGCAGGACATAGAAGATTTGAAAGCATTACATTTTCAACAAAATCTTGCACTATACAAACTTTCCAGTTTGGCCTGAGGGTGATTGCTGATTTGCAAAGGCAAGTTTCTCACCACACCAAAAATTGCCTGAGAAATTGTAACACCATCCTCATCATTTTTTTGAGCAAAAGCGAGCAAAAGATTCTCGAAAATTGCAGGTCTGTAAATTACCGAGAAATCCATTCGATTCAAAACGAATACAATGAAAGATACATATCGTAATAACACACAGCATTGATCAAAGTCTAATCATAAAGATTAAACACACACATTTCGTAGTAATATCTTACCAGTCTAACGCGTTTCTTCTGAGATTTTTTCCCGCTAGACTTATTTTTCTTTTTCTGTGCAGCTTGTCCGAGACGAGTTTCCTTGTTGTTGTCAGATTTTGATTTCCTATTTCCAACTCCGTTGGTCTTTTTCATGTCATCTTGTGGGACCTTGCTATTCATCGCGCTAAATGTACTCTGCCTGCGATGCAATACGTCAAATGGTCAAAATAAACATTTCAATGCAACAGGAAGCTCGAGTGCTTTGCCATTGAAAATATTTTCAACGAAAATACAACTTTCACTTTCTCTAAACGAGTGAATGGCCTACATTTCTACAATTGCTGTTGACATTGACTCGCCGAGGCGAATACACGATTCCAAGAAACATACTTTGAATAATAACACCCGATTCGCATAAAAAATCCGGCAAAATTGAAAATTTGTAAGCGACTTTTCATTACTTTATGTAATTAAAACTAACTGTATGATATTCAAATGTACTAATTTTAAAAAACGATTGTCATGGATACTTGAATTATCATCGTCTGTGAGCATTGAACTTTATAAAATAAAAACAATAAAACGCCTGCGGTGATTGGTCTAGAGCCATGTTTGCATTAGCCTGTGCAAAACACATCTGAGCTCAACCAATCAAATAAAATCATAACAATCAATCAGTCAAAGAGAATTTGCAAATAGATCATGAATACATTTTAAAGGAAAAATTTAAATGTTTGTCTTTTTCGCATTATTGTTATTTTATGAAAGAAATAAAAGATGTTTTTCGTGTTTGCACAGGCTTATGCAAACCTCGGAGACGTTTGTGAGAACTCTCGAGCATGTGCAAACCTCGACCTTCGGTCTCGGGCTTGCACTGATTTGCTCTCAAGTTCTCCCAAAGGTCTCCTGGGTTTGTATAAGCCCGTACAAACACAATAAACGTCTTTTATTTCTTAATTATAAAATTAAAACAATAAAACGCGTGCGGTGATTGGTCTAGAGCCGAGTTTGCATTAGCCTGTGCAAAACACATCTAACCAATCAAATCAATCAAAACAATCTATCAGTCAAAGAGAATTTGCAAATCGATCATTAATACATTTTAGAGGAAAAATTATAAAGCAGGTTGAAACGTTTAATTTGAAAAATTTCGTTTGCCAAATAAAGTCAAAAAAGGATTTGTGTTTTGTTTTCGGAGCTTCGTAGCTCGTACAAGTTATTTTTTCGCTTTTGTCTATCAGGCGTGTGTTTACATTGCGTAGAAAGACTGGGCGCTACCGGCTTCAAAATATCGACTGAGGTAGCCTTTCATCTATATAGTTCAATGTCTGTGAGTCTATATATTGGACATGATGAATGTGATGGATGATATTTGGGGCAAATATTTTTCATGAGGAAGTCATGTACTGTACGGGTCGTCTGTCACCTCGCGCATGTGTAAAGCGAGAGTGTAGGAAGACAAGTCTTAAGATTAAACTTGAGTTGACTTGAGTAGGACAGGCACAGTAGCGACAGGCATAGCAGCGTACTCATAAGGAAGGATGTATTTTAATACCCTTACTAGCTATGTCAAGTGCTTTTTTCTTTTAGAGGGGGAGGTTAGAATTGGCATAAATATAGCACTGTAACATAGATGTAGTCAACTGGCTGTCACCACCCTTTCTGATTAATACCCTGATTTCATCTTTCCACGACAGCAGCCTTTTTCCTACTCCCCGCCATCTCTCTCCTTGTAAGCTGCGACACTTTGCAGGCAACTTTATACTAATGCAATGACTTTGCTTTTCTTTCTCGATCAACGTGGGTACAATGGAAATTTTTAATGCATTTTCTACGAATGCAATAACCTTTCAAACGCACGAAAATGGCTTTAGCCAGTTGGTCAGAAGTTATATGGAGAAAAAATCAAGAATAATCGAGTCAATTGAATTTCGTTCCTGATCGGCAGGCTCCAAGCTAACTTTGCGACACGAGTCTCGGCGAGATTCATAATAAAAACTCACATTTTTTATACACTCATAGAATATTTTGTGGGAAGCTATGTCCATGGTAGTATTTACCAACAGAGCAGATAGACCTAATGACAAAATGAAGTAGGATGCAACGCTTCATCAGCTGCTCAAAAACAAGAACCGGTGTTCAATTCACGTTGGATGCCCTTGACTGCTTTTTCAGCATTTCCACTGTTTTCAAAAAAACATCACTTTTAAGACCATGTTACGATCGTCTTCGTGAGCATTTCAAGATGAAATTCGAACTAATATCATTATTGCTGTTATTCATGTCATGGCACGGTGTGTTTTCCGATTCCATTCTACAACTTCAATCGGATATTCGAGGTAAGATTAAACTAATCATCCAAGAGTATACTACCTGTAGCGGAAAATTGAGTTCACCGTATCTGCAAATATGATCTTCTATTTTACGTTTTATTTCGCGTCTTTTGGAAGTTTTTGAGTCGCGTTTGGTGCAGATTTCTGAAAAAAGTTGTCGACAAAGAAACTGATACATTCGGGGAAATATTTTCAAGTACTGGTTTGAAGAGCGCAAATGTTTGCGAAAATGCATCGCGTCATTTGATTTATCTTATAATTTTGGTTTTCAAACGTTCTTTTTAGAACTACCAAGGTTATATAGTTGGCATTTACAATTGAAAACAACCAAGCAAGCTCTTCAAAGCAGTATTTTAATTTCTTACCCCAAAAATGTCTTTGTTTTATAATTAATTTTTGTGTGTCACTTGATTTTGCTTGAAGAAGGACAGACTGGGGATCGTAGATTTTCACACTCATACCCGTTTAACATAGGTTTCTACGGTAGCTTTGATCTTCTAATAAGGATATTACTTTTAGTATCACTATACTAATAAGATTTTCTTATATCCTTTCCATCACTACCAGTATTTTTTTCTCATCTCGCTGCATGACTAGAAGAGAGATTGAAAACTGAACTTGAGTGTAGCACGAATGGCACTTCACGTGGCTTGCATGTTTGTAATCTAACTAATTTTAGCGAACTTCGGTTGATTATTTTATAAAATAAAGAAGTAAAGCCGGAAAGATAGCTTACATGGATGGAAAGTTTCTCATTTTGATTCATTTGAAAAACTATTTTATATTTAACAATATCACCCTAATGAATACCAATATCCTTAAAAATAAATTGAGAATTGCATCCACAATTATTACTGTTTAAGATGGATTTTTATTCGAACTAGAACAAGATTCAAAATAACAAGCTGTCACGTAGCTGCCAATGTAATATGTCACGCATCGAGGAATTTCTACATTTTTTTGTCCAAAAACGCTTTACCGAACGCTCGTTTTAGAGATTTTTATCTCAGAGTAAAAATGCTGAAATCAAATGCACGACATTTCGATTGTAATCTCAAAACTAGAACTGTCCTTTTTTAACAACATTATATCATAAGCATTCATTCCATGGTAGGCTCAGAAAAGCACTTGTTTAGTTAGCTACTAGATACAAGATGCTTGTCATTTACTAAGTTTTAAGCCACAGGTACTACTACCCCAGTATAGGGTTGCCCATTTGCGACTCAGTGTTTAGGTCATCCCGTCATCATTTTCCTTCACAACTAAATCTTTGGTCCATATTAGGACAGAGCTTGGATGAGTTTGCTTTTGCTGTAAAAAAAGTGAAAAGTGATGACAACGAGGGCTCCATCAGTGATAATGGCGATGGTCAACATGAAAATGATAATAAAATTGTTAAAACTGACGATTATAACGAAGAATACGATGATCACGACGACAATGATCAAAATGGCAATAGCTACGATGTGCAAACGTCTTTAGCACCAATGGATTTACAATCTATACCGGCGGAAGAAAAAGAATCAAAAAGCAAAAATTCAAAAGTCTTCAAAACGAAATCTGATCACAAAAAGACAAAGAAAGCTAAAGCTGTTGTACACGAGAAAAAACTTGCCCATAAAAGCAACTCCGAACATAAAAAGGTTCAAGACAAGAAACATGAAACGAAAAACAAACACACAAAAGAAAAGAAATCGAAACACTTCGACAAAGATCACCACAAGCTGCACAAACACATTGCGGGAAAAACGTCGCATGCCATCCAAAAAAATCACAAAACGAACAAGCACACTGCAGAAAAGAAGTGGAAACACGGTCACAAAAATAACCACACAGACAAACAAACTGCGGGTAAGAAACTGTCAATTCAGTGGCTTAACCAGCCCGCATGTTGCTATTTTGATATGCAAACTTTAGAGTATTACCCATACTTATCTCTTTCGGAATCTATTGCTTTCGCAGTGAGTGAAAAAAGGAAAAACTTGCATAGCAGGACTAAATATGCGGGTTGGCTTGGCTAGTGAGACCTGTTGCATCGTATAAACATGCAATAGAATTAGAAGTTTGTTTTCTGAAACTGTTCTTCTGTTTGGATTCATTTCACTCATATGAAATTTGGGCAGTGTTACGGTCTGCTGACAGTTAAGACTTAAACTGGAAAATTATAGCATTCAAAAGTACAAGTTCAAAGTCAACAGAGTTACATTTCATAAATAAAACACAAGCCTTTTCGTTAAAAAGCTATTTGGGCTTCCTTGAACCGCGGTAGTGGCGTCACTGGGGACACCTTGCTGGCACGCCCCCCCCCCCTCCCTAAAAACATGCGCATTTGAAAGCCATGGTGACGTCACTGGTATACTAACCCAGATTAAGAAACTACATTAAAAAAAAACAAATATTAATTCTAAGACTTTCACGTCAATTGTCTTGTGGAAGCTCGGAAAAAGTTCAATTCTAGCACAATCGTTATCAGTTGCAAAGCAAACAAGACATTTTTAGTCATTCTATGTAAATATTCTTTGTTTTCGTCCATGAAGAAAACAATGAAAATTTTGAATAAATTCTGAAAACGGCTGGCTTTGCCTCAACACATTTACATTCGTAATGCATACGACATTGTTTTTAACATCAGTGATTGGTTGTGGACGCTCTTTGAGTAAATATTTTGTGATAGAACATTATTTAGCTTATATTTTGTTGACTTTCAATAACTCGAGATTTAAAGATAGTCCTAATCACTGTTCTACTTTTTAATAAAAACTATTTTCGTTATTTTATGCTGCTAGATGTGAGTGCACTCAACAAATAATTTTCACCAACAAATTTCAACTGAATAAATGGTTGATTCCACATGCGTCTCTTATAATCATCCGCCATCAACTGAACGACTCAAAAAAATTATATCCCAAAGCTCATCAAGTACATTATCCGGCACATGCATCTCTTTCTTTAGCATCAACCACAGACTACTGGAGTGGTTGAGGTCTTCATGGGAGCAGGGACCATTGAAATGACAGCTTTGATGCCGATCTTATTTGACCAAGCAGTCGTATATGTGACAGCATGAGTAGGAGCATTTACATGCATAAATAGCAGTGTTTTCTGTGGTCTTAGCAGCTGCTTTCTCCTCCCAGGTCGAAAATGCTTGTCAAGAAAAGCACTATAAGTCGCAGCATTGATCTTCACCAGATCTCAATGCAAAGTAGTGTCACTTACAACTATCACTCAGAAGGTCAATCTGTCTTCTCCCTTGCTGACGGGCATTCGGGGCGAGTGACATGATGAAACTCATCCTTGGACACAGCCTTCCTTTCTGCCTAGCTTCGTATATCATTAATCTTTGAATGAAAAAATGCACTTTCACATGATATGCCGTGATTAATGCCATTTATTTTGTGTCTCTGTTTGAGAGTTGATATTTGGCGGTCTTCAATCACGACACTTTGTAACAAGTTGCATCATAGAGAGGTACACATTAGATACGTCACCTTAACTGTCAAGTATCTGCATGCTCGTGTCTTCACCACTTGGCGATGGATTTATTGCAGATGACGTCTTTTCAGCTTTCTAAATATTGATGGTAGATGTTTCTTACGTACACTAGGGGATTTAACTGTATGATGATCGCGATGCAGAACTTTGGCTTTTCTGTAATGTTGACTTTTCATTTGCCAAACTCCTCCAAAACAATTTAACTCCTTTTCTTTTTCATAATCACTCTGAAAATTATTACTACCTGTTGATTGCTATGAGAATTGAGAAGCTAAATTTGAACCCACAAAGAATGCTTTCCACGACTGCTCATGCATTTTACATCTTCTTCTACGTAACAATGCTATGATGCAATTTGTACACGTTTCAGCGTTTGCTCGGCATGCCAACCAACTGTTTAGGAGAAGAGCAATGTTTTGCACGCAGTGAGTGTCAACAAATGTGCTTTTGCTGCAGTTGCTTTTCACTAATGAATCTGTCAATCCTTTCATCTGAGTATAGAGTTAGCCGAGATGCACATGCCAAGGTTAACTGGAAGTTTATTTACATTATATTCGCATGTTTCACTGAGTGTGTCTTAAAAATAACGCCATAATTATTAAAAGATGGTATTTTTATTCCACTAAATGTTTGACTGGAAGTATATTAGCAAAAATCTTTTCGCCATCAGGGTAGTACATGTATGTATTTGTTGCTCGTCCAAAAAGACTGGTGACAATCAGACGAAAGCATTGACAACAAAATATTAGAAATATTTCTATATTTTATTGAACAAGCTTTCGGCTGTCTGTGTACAGCCTTCGACGGGTTATAAAAGAGGTAAATGGGATCTAACACTATAGATACATAAATAAAGAAGCGGAAATAAAGTAATATGATACAATATTCAGGTTATAGGTAGTTAGTGTTTTCTATTCATTGCAAGTTATTAGTTATTACGACTAGCTTACGCAAACCTCACACAGTTTCTGTCTCATCAATATGTACCTTAGTAATAATATCAACATCAAATGATGAAAATGTGACTTTCCCTATTCTAACTTGAAACTCAAACGCGCATTAACAAGTCTGTTTTAATTTCAAATAGCACAGGTATCATGACAAAGCTTCATCTATTGATGAAAATTAAAAATTTAATAGTTGTACGAGATATTGGAATAATTCAGTGTGCTTTTTTTGGAAGAATTGCTACCAATTTCGTGTCATACTGGACACATTTAACATTCAAAAAAAACTGATCAGTAAAATCAATCATAATCACCATTGCTCGGAAGACTACAAAAGGATAAAAGTTTGAGACTGTTGTGTTTTTGTAAATTTACATTTCAATGGGAAACACGAGAAACAAAGATTGTCTTACGATGTAATGCATGAACTCCTTATTTTGCATAATCGTATATGTTGATATCTGAACCACAATATAGCCGCGAACGACGTAGGAAACGAGTAAACCAAGGACTTGTATTGTGATTACTCATCTTTGATCAGATTTTGATGACTCGACCGCTCGATCGTCCGCGGGTTATTCAGGTCAACTTCTCACATGAAAGATATCAAATTTACACAGGAAGTATATAAATAATCGTCAAATTTTTTTGACCGTGGTAAAAATCACACGCTGGTAAATATCTCATCAAATGAGAGACGTTCATTTGTTGTTTTCGTCGTTATCTTGCTCCAGTAAATAGACTTCTCGAAGCGATGAATGGTAAGAATGTCGAAGACCCGTCTTGTTGGCAGCACAAAGGTCGAACACTCGTCGAACGTAATACCCAAATGCTTTTAAATACGGTCTTGAGTGACGTGAGCTTCGTCTTTGTTGATGAATTTAGCGAAGAGGAACGTCTGAGTGAACCGATACCAGCTCATAAATATATTTTGTCTATTAGTTCACCAGTTTTTTTCGCCATGTTCCATGGAGAAATGGCGGAGAAGACAGACCAGATTGAAATGCCCGACTGCGACAAGAACAGCTTCGTTCAATTTTTAACCTTTCTGTACACGGATAGTTGCGCTTTGAGTATGGACAACGTAGCGAGTGTTTTTTATCTTGGCAAGAAGTACATGGTACCATCCCTAATAGATTATTGTACAAATTACTTGATCAAGAATCTTACAGCACAGAACGTGTTTAGCATTTTGTCGCTGGCCGAGCAATTTGAGGAAACCGAGCTGGTCAACAAGTGTTGGAACATTGTCGAGATACAATGCACTGAGGCATTGACCAGTGATTGTTTTCTTCGAATATCGCTTACTATACTCAAAGATCTTCTCGATCGAGATACACTGGATGTTTCCGAGTTTGCGCTGTTCGAAGCTTGTGCAAAGTGGGCAGAGCATCAATGTGAACAGCTTGGTGTACACAGCACCCCCGATGAGAAGCGAAAAGTGCTTGGGGATGCTCTAGACTTGATTCGTTATCCTGTCATGGGCGAAGACCGTTTCGCGCGAGACGTTGTTCAAACAAATTTGCTACCACCAGAAACCGTCGTGCAAGTGTTCCTTGCGTTTAGAAATCTTGCCAAAGAACAGCGTTTCTCGAGGAAAGCTCGAAAGAAGCGCTGGGATATTTTGCTGTGCAACCGTTACTCCGACGCAAAAGAGAAAGTGAAATACTACATTCCTTTAGTCAAAGACCGGGGCAATCCGGGTCTGCCCGATCGTATAGCGTTCACGGTGAACAAACAAGTTATGTTTCACGGAGTTCGGTTGTTCGGTGAGCATACGGGTGAAAAGTACAAAGTAAAACTTGACATCAGCGACAACAACAACCAAGTGATTGGAATCAAGAAAGGCGAGTTTACGTCAAAAATTGTACACTATCAAGAAAAGGGTTTGTACGTTTTCGACGTGTTCCTGAACGAACCCGTCGACATAAAGATAGGCACGCGCTACACGTTGGCTGCCATGCTCGAAGGACCGAGGACTTGTTACGCCATCAATGCCTCCCCCTCCGTGGATTCTAACGGTGTCATTTTTACCTTTTTCGACGTGGACAACTCACACAGCGAAACGAGCGTGCGTACCGGTCAGTATATGAGTCTGTTCTTCTCTCTGCTCAATGGAGAACAACCTCCTCCCTCGAAACCCAGTAAAAGTGAAAAGAAAAGCAGCAACTCAAAATGAAGACAAACGTTGGGCACACTCTGCATACTGACGTGAAGTATTCTCAAAGTACCAGGCCCCAAGTTCTTTCCACTCGAAAAATTCATTTGCAACGATTTCACGGTGGGACTTGTCCTCTCCTGTAAATGAAAACGCTTCTGAGATACGAGAATGACTTCGTATACATTCAACTCAATGATTTATCAGAACCGAATTCCATGAAGTTTCGAACTACAGTGTCACTGTGAGGCAAGAACGCCATCTTGAAAAGGGGCAAAAAGCTAATAAACTCTCAATCAAAAACAAGTTAATTGATTGTATAAAAAATAAATCCTATCAAACGTTAAAAAAACCAAACCTAGACTTTATTCGTAAATATCGTCAGTTTTTTCATCTTTCAAGATGGTGGCTTGCCTCACACACGTAACGATATAATTTTGGTGGACGTAGGTATCCAGTAGATTGGATTCTAGGTCATCCACCCAACTGTGCAGATACATGCTTTAATATCCTTATCATAAGAATATTTTCGAAATTGGGTGCCAAACAAAGATTGCGACAAACATATTTCAATATACATTTGAATGCATAGCCATATACATAAAACATATCTTGGGAATGCTATAGCGATCATTTTATCGGAGAAAAATTTTATCACCAACGGTCGAATGAGTTACAATACTATGAAAAATATGTCTGTATTTTTCTTTTAATTTCAAATATTTATTTTACACAGAAATTGCTTTCTTTCTGCTTATTAACAAGTATTTAACCAGTAGCGTAGCCTGTCCACAAACTTTGCCACTTCCAATTTGAAAGCTTTATCATGATTCATTTCTTTAGAAATCTATGGTTTTCGAAGTGAGTGAACGCAGAAAATTTTTGCGTAATAGGACCAAATATGTAGACTATTTATACGCTACTTTATTTAATCAATGTGAATGCAATGCCTGTAGAGGCAATGGCCATTACTCCTACTATGAAAATTTTCTGTTTTCACTCAAAATTGGCAAGCTTTACGTTTTAACTGTCGCTATTTTTTGAATCATAATAGAAATAATGTTTAATCGCAAGCTCAAAACATCGGCTAAAAAGGGATATTTTATCAATTATAGCACGTTGTATTCACTAAAACTGGCTTTTTGGAACACGGGTTTTAATCGCAGCACCGCGACTTGCACGGGCAGTAAATCCAAAAACCATAATCGAAAACAGGTATCTGTGATCAAAACCCAGTTTCAAGTGCGTCATTTAACTGCACTGGTTTAGATCCCTCATTTTGTGCAAAAAACTCATGCAAAGAAACTAAATCTACATTCGACGTCTCGTTTCCATCAGCAATCCCGCAAATATTCCATGGACTTACTTAGTTTGCTAAATTTTTAGATCATCAAATTTCTATGTAAAAAAACCATGACCAGCCGACAATTTAAAAAAGTATAATATAAAACCAATTCCGAAGAAACAAGACATCTTGAGATTGCAAAATATGAATCAAAACAAGACGAGAAGTAAACTGTAAATTTTCGACTTTATTTCAAAGTCATCCTCAGACAGAATGAGGATGACTGTCTGAGGATGACTTTGAAATAAAGTCGAAAATTTACAGTTTACTTCTCGTCTTGTTTTGATTCATATTTTGCAATCTCGAGATGTCTTGTTTCTTCGGAATTTGTTTTATATTATAAATTTCTATGTAGGTTGTGACAACTCTCAGTTTGTTTTAAAAAGAAAAGTTATTTCCCACTACCTTCGGTAAAATTGATCGGAGTAGGAATGAATGAAAACAAATACATCGGCTTTATACTATCACGAAAAAGCAATGACAATGTTTTTCTTCTTCTTCAAAAGATCTGGCGAAAGACGAAGACGAAAAAGAGAACTTCGATTTGAATAAGCTTTTCCCACCGGAAAAACACGACCAGAAAGCCCAACCTTGGATTGGCACCCAGTATTCCGATACCACACCAAAAAACCCATGGTTTACACGACCTGCTGGACAAGCTCACAAGAAGCCTAACACTCACGGTGTGCAGGCTCCTTCGTGGAGGAATCACAACAAAAAGAATGCAGAAACCGGTGCTTCCCTTCATCCATACTGGACTCAAACACAACAACAATACAGAAATGAACGACTTCAGGTTCCCAGTCAAGTTGAAGATATCGAACCAAAATTATATCAGAATCTACAGCCTGCAACGTATCCAAACCAACAGAAATTTTCATACCAGCAAAGCAGTTACCAGGAGCCACTGACTATTGGGTACCAAGGTCAACAACCGACAACTGATTTCATGAATCAACAGCAGTACAGTTCTAACTATAAAACGACTACTGACTATGATGGCGCAATGTCGAATCAATTCGGAATGCCCAAAGCCCAGCTATATAGCACAGCACAGAAGCCTGCTTACACTGCCCAACCCGTGTGTCCAGCATCATGTGCTCAGAAATGCACAACAGGTTGCTCGATGGAATGTTGTTCAAAGGATTACAACAGAGCTGAAGAATCTGAGCAAAACTTCTACGTGAGTGGATGTCCCCGGGAGTGTCGACAGACATGCGGCGTCCATTGCCCACAAAAATGCTGCGGTTTGAACTTATGTCCAGTCTCCTGCCGCAAGTCGTGCGTTCCGTCAAGTTGTCCCAAGAAATGTTGCTCGATATTAAAAGAGTACCTGCCACCAATTGCTGCAACCACAAGTAAGCTAGCGGTTGCGACATGTGCAAGTCACTGCATGGACAAATGCTCCACCGATTGTCCTCAAGCTTGTTGCACTAAACGCAAATTGCCAAATAAAACAACGAAGTGCCCATCGGTTTGCTCAAAAGTAAGTAAAAGTTAACTCGATAACTCGAATAAGCATTGGCCAAAGTTGTTTTTCTTTTGCGAGGGAGGGGGGAGGGCAAAGCGGAAACCCCCCAAAAACTGTTCATCGTTGTACAAAAAAGATTGTAGTCCCAAAAAATACCATTGAAGAGAAAGGTCACGTCTTGCTAATAAGTACTTGAAACAAGAAACAATCTGAAGAAAAGTATAATTAAAATTTGCACATTTACATGAAACAAAGCTAGCTGTCCTTGCTACAGATATTCTGATTTATTTGAAAGTAGATCATTAAACTCAAATGAATAACACGCGTCCTCGTTGTGAGGTCGTGTTTGTTTATCAAAGGGTATCATTGCACAAAACAACTGATTTTGTTTGTGCATTTAATCCATGGATCTAAGATGGTAATGAGGTCAATTTATCATAAGAGATCTTATTAATCTATAAAGATTTCTAGTATTTTATCGTATTTCGTCGACAATCATTAAAAATAGTTTTGAGGAAAATCGATTAAGAATAGCTTTGAGGAAAATGTTGTGTAGATAATGTGTAGGCTTTGACTTGATCAACAAGATGATGAAGGCTTTGACCTCATCGAGAATGATTTGACGAAAACTTTGAATGTAGAAAATTAAGGCTTCGACTTGATGCCTGTCAGCATCACGGCTAATTTAATGAAGATATTAATTGCCATATTGAAAAAGACGTTCACCAATCTTTTTAGGGCTGCGCGGCTGAATGTCCTAAAGAGTGTTGTGAAGCGCCCAAACATCGTCTTTCGAATGTCTGTCAAGAGTCCTGTAAACGGTCTTGCACTACTGCGTGTCCACCTCAATGTTGCTCGTCCAAGAAACAACCGCAGACGCGAGCCGTGATACCTCAGCGACGCGCTTTCAACGGCTGTCCTTCAATTTGTCAGATCGCATGTGCCAGCGAGTGTCCAAAATACTGCTGCGTTGTGGAGGACCGGGCGAACGGACACGAGATGGAAAAGAACGGTAGCTCATCCGATAATCAAGCAAAAGCGAAAGACGGCGATGATCTCGAGGACGAGGACATGGACGAAAGCGAGGAACAGAAACACAACTTGCTCGTACTGGAGAAAATGAAAGAGTTGAAAGAAAAAGAGAAGAAGCGATTGGAAGAAAAAGCCAAAGATGAAATTGCGATTGCTCGAGCAAAACAAGAGGAAAAAGAGAACAAGAATTGCCCAGCGAGTTGCAACAGCGCATGCAACGCTAGATGCTGTAGGTTATGCACGTTGCCAGGGCATAAACCCCATTTCTGCTGCAAGGTCTACTACAAACTGGCTTTTCCGGATTGTCCAGCTATCTGCGAAAAAAGATGTGACGAAACATGTCCACGACGCTGCTGTGGTCCTCGAATCTAAAAATTGTGTCGAGCACATCGGTGGATATAAAGCGTTTGACCATTGAAATAACTGTTTCACAACAACAAAAACTACCGAGTGTCGCCTGAAAATCACTGCATGTCAAGCATTTTAAAATTTGATGGACGAATGATTAGCTTGAGATGTGGAAAACGTAATGCTTATTAATTTTCATATATATATGCATCTACGCATGATGGAAGAAATTAAACTTATCCAGAAATTAATATACCCATGCAAGTTGGTCATATATGGTTTATTCTAAATTTGGTTCCTATTGATTTTACATCTAATGCACCATTTTGCACGGTAGTGTTTACAGAATTTTCATTCCGCCTTACACAGTCAATCCTTCGAATGCTATGAAGTACAAGCGTAAGTATTTGCGATCGATTTAATATACGGGAATCGTAACCTTTGAATGAGCGTTATTGCGTGCCCAGCAAAGAATTGAGACAAAAGACGAAACTTCAGCTACTGTTGATTTTAATCAAATACATTTCATTTATCAACTGCCGTTTTTCGAGTCTTTCCCGAGGAATGATTTTCATTTAAAAAAGATTAGCACGTCCAATTCTCGTTAAAATTTGTCTGTCACGTGAACTCTTATATATATAAACAATTGACTAAATCTGGGGCGTCGTTAGCGAGGGAGGAAATGGGGCTAAGAACCCCCGACTTTTTTCAAAAAGGAGCAATGCCGACTCGTTGTTTAGTGAGAGAACATGACATGATGAAATCTGATATGAAATATAATGGTATCACTGCCGCGTAAGAAGGTAAAATGGATTATCTTTAAATCGTTTTCTGTCTTAGTGGGCAATGGGAGTAAAATGAGCTAAAATGCATGTTGCAAGACAAATTTCTAAGATGCGCCCTTCCCTTCCCTGCTTATAATGTTCTTCCAACATCTCTGCTTTAACTACTATATGCTAATTCTTAATCTTCACATTTATTGTTAGACATGCATCTGTTCTTGCCTTTGCTGATCTAATCACTTTATTTATTATTTCTTATTCTGGTCATCTCTTGCTGGTAGTTTCAGGAGAAGAAAACTTCCCAAAAGATTTCATGAACGACGAATCAACGTCACAAATTGAACAACATTTCTTTCCCTCTTTGATTGCCATATTAATTTAGGATGAAATCGAGTTTGCAGTGAACTAGATCACAGAATAAAAGATAGAAAAAAAATAAACAGTGCATTTATACAGTGTTAGATTTTCAAAGAGAAAATTGGAGGAGTTTTGATATTCAGACAATTTTTTCACTAAAATAAGACAACCATCTACATTGATTAATTGTATCTACGCTTCCAAGTGTTTCCAAGTGGTCTGAAGACACACATATTTCATTAGTAAATAAAACAAGCATAACGTATATAATATTCATACTCATGTATCTATGATATGCCATAGTTCCTTTGAAATCTATTGTATGGTACTAATTATGACATGCATAAATTATAGAAAGAAGTTTTTTTGTTTTCTGATTACTGTACACAGAGCTACAACATTCGGCTAAGGACAGTAAGTTTGGGAACGTTGAACAATACTCATACCAAAGAGATTGTATCAAATGGAATATTTTTTCATGTTTTTTGTCTCACTTTACGTTGTTTGAATCACATTGCAGTTTCTAAACTTCATAGAAAACACATGAGTACATAACCGGCAAAGGACTACATCTTTAAAAAAAAGAAATATATATACTCCGATCAATCATGCAGTTCATGTTTCTGAAATGTCTAACAAAATAATCACACAATCAGTAAATATTTTTGCACGGCTTGACAACGAACTTGAAAACGAAAATTTATTGAGATTCAATGCAAAATGGGCCGCATTAACGATTCCGAAATGGGAAAGTACAGCGCAACGCTTTATTACTTGAGATAAACGCTTGGCTGCCGCTATATCAAATACATACACGCTCGAATACTTCAACGTAAATTCGTGTGCAGCTAAATAAGAATAGAGCAAAAACAGTCCAGCAGATTAACATTGAATGGTAACACAAGACACCGTTTCTATTGAACTCGTTCGAGTTATTCTGTAACAACTCAAACGTAATCGCAATTCAACGTGTTTTCTTTACTTGCAGCCATGATGTGATGGTGGCAACGTGTACACGTTGTTCAAACATATTTTTTCATTCATTATTAATACACGTCGGAAAATAATGGCGGACGGCGATTTTCAAATATGATTTTAATCGACAGACTAAGCGTTTACGTTAACGAGTTTCGTACATAAGCGTTCGCAGTGTTAGATACAATGGTTGAATCAAGACTTTTTGCGTTTCTTGTGGTTCAGGCCATTGCAGTTGTGGCGAATAGAGAATTGAAAGTGAAGACAGAACATCCACGGAATGGACAGAAAAGAATCGATGTACATGGTAGGTTATTTTGCATATCACTGCATTCTATAATTTTAATGAAAAACCAATGAAATATGCAGAATACCCGCAAATCGAACATAAATAGTTTAAAGATCTTAGTAATTCATACGAATGAAGAAATTATTTAAATTTTGCGGCCGACATCAGTTTTGAAATGTGCACTGTACAACTCTTCTTTGCAATTTTCGTATTTTCAGCGAGCAAATGGAGAGAAGCTCAGAACGCCATAAACAGTCTCATCGACGAAAGTATATGTATGTTTGCTTTTTGATAGATGTCTCAAAATTCAAAATGATTTATTTGACTTTGTGATGGCATTTAGCAAACGAAGTGGCAAAAGCCAAAATGGAAGTGAAGGCTTTGTTGGACAAAAATATAGGTAAGTTTGCCATTCAACCATCCCCTCAACTTTAGAGGGAAACATAACTCGGTACTTTTTAGGAATGGAGCAACGGGGTGTTTATTTGTTTGCATACGGAGCTTTTTTTAACCAGCAGTCTCAATGACCAATACTTCAAATGTCTCCTACAAAAATTTCTCCTCTTCTGATAAACAAACATAAAATAAAATTTCAATATTCATTCTCAAATGAATGTTTTCACAAGATAGCTCTTATGTGCTTTACAAATCGATGATTTTTCATGCAATTTATTACGACTGAAATGAATTTTCAGCACAGCACCTGCACGAGGCAAGCAGAAAATTGCTGAACGGAAAAACGTCGGCAAATTTTGAAACAAAGCCAACGAAAGACACGTATTGGGTTCTGGATAACGCCTATCACGATGCAACTTCTGGTAATTTGAAAATTCAAAAAAGCCTTTAAATTAGTTTTCTACTTCATTTCTTGTGAAGGGGAAGTAGCATTCATATATGTAACTCCTGACGGTGTCCTTCTTTCCACAAAAGCAAACTCTTTTACATTATTGACTTAGGATCAGATAGATGTCAAGACCAGTTAGATAATTGCGCTGCATTGGCTACATCGGGAGTCTGTGGCACGTCCAGAGAGGCAATGAAGAAATTTTGTGCACGAACTTGTGACCTATGCGAAGGTAAGCTGCAAAAAAATACAACGTACTGCACATTGTTTTAAGAATGGAAACGATTAGAGTATAAAATGATATATGGGTGAAATCGTTCTATCACATAATTTGTCGAGCAAGAAATTAAAGAAAGATTCAAAAACCATTGAGAGAGAGAGCAAATAAAAGTTGCGCTCACAATAGAGAACCGTATTTACGAAAAAAGTCATTCTTTACGAAATATTCCTTTAGATGTGGAAGAAAGTTTTCCACCGCCTTCACCGACGAATGAAAACACAAAAAGCGACCGTACTTGGACGATAATAGGCACAGATGGGAAGAGATTTAAGACGAACTTCAAAAATAGCGAGAGCGGCATGAGAAAAGCGTCTATCACTTCAACCCAAGTTGAACGTCTCTTGGAATACGTCAAACAGAACGCACCGCATTTGAAACTCGTGAAAATTAAACCAGGAGTGCTAAAGCTTGTTAGGTTGTCGACAGAGCAACAGACCCACAAAATAACATTGAAAAATGACGAAGCTAAGTCGACAAAAGCCGCGAAAGACCTGAAAAACAAGGTCGAACTAAAAAGTGATCGCCTTCCCCAAGGTGATTACTGGACGATCAAAGATCACGACAAGAAAGTGAATGACGAGAAAAAGCGGAAAACAACTAAAGGACATATGATTCACTTCGATCTTACAAGCATTAGCAGAGACGACAAGAAAGACTCGAAAATAAAGGATGGTCCACTGCATTCCTTTGGTCATAAAGATTTACCAAAGAACCAACAATCCGGTGAAGTATTATTCAGCATATGTTTCGTTTATATATTGGTTATTTGTCGAGCTGAAATTTCAATTGCAATTTAATGTAGTTGAAAAACTTGCGTGGCAGTCCACAAGGTTGAGCTAGAACCCAATCTACTAGTCATCTGACACGCAGTAATTCTCCAACTAATTACGACTTACGAGTCTGATGCAAGTCACCACCTTGAAAAGTGGCAAAGCTGGCTATAAATACGACTTTTATGAGTTTTTCTACGTTGATATATAGTGACAGAGGTGCATAGTTTAGGTTTGGTTTTTAGAATGTCTGATTAGATTGATTTTACAAATTACCTTATTTTTGATGGAGTGTGTCGTTTTTTAGCCGCCAACTTTTAAGATGGCATCCATGCCTCACCTTGACATGGTAGTTGGACATCTAAGGGATTAGTTATGAAATCAGTGGGCGTCCAGCGTTAGTCAAAATGAATTAAGCTGCGCAAGTTTAAAATCAAAATACCCTCAAAATACCCACTAATACCATCATACATTGATTAAGAATTTCTAAAGAAAAGAGTTTTACAAACCGAGTTGTCTTCAAAAAGGAGCTGCATACATTTGTCTTGACGTATGCGCTAGATCTGCAACATATTTGGCATCTTGATGCAAATAAAGATTCAGTCGCGTTGTTTATGTAACTCTTCTTTGGAATGAAACATCTAGCATAGTATTACTTAAATTGTCCAGCAAGGTGCGAAGATCATATCTTCATTTAACTTCAAACACCGCGCTGCGTAAAACATTCATACGACATTTCTTTCACGAGAAAACATGGGCCCAACAATATTGACCTGCTCACCATTGTGTGACTTCATAGCTCAGTTGGTCAGAGCACTGCACCGGCACCGCAGAGGTCATGGGTTCGAATCCCGTTGAGTCACCTGATTTTTTCAGGTTCCTGAGACGATTGCTTAAATTGTCCAGCAAAGTGCGAAGATCATATCTTCATTTAATTTCAAACACCGCATTGCGTAAAACATTCATACGACATTTCTTTCACGAGAAAACATGAGCCCAACAATATTGATCTGCTCACCACTGTGTGACTTCATAGCTCAGTTGGCCAGAGCACTGCACCGGCACCGCAGAGTTCATGAGTTCGAATCCCGTTGAGTCACCTGATGTTTTCAGGTTCCTGAGACGATTGCTTAAATTGTCCAGCAAAGTGCGAAGATCATATCTTCATTTAATTTCAAACACCGCACTGCGTAAAACATTCATAGTATTACTCCAATAACAAGACAAGACTTGCAATGAAGCAATGTTGAATGAAGCAAGGCAAACCAGTTTATGTAGTCTCTACATTCAATAATGCAATTGCTGTAACTTTTGTTGGTATTTCTGGCAAAAATTTATCTTTTCTAATGCACAATTGTCTTCTTGTGAACATTGCAGACGAATACCTGAAACATATCTGTCATCCGCTGTGTAAGAAAACGTGCATCTCATCGTGTGCTCCGGGTTGCTGTGCGGGAGAACATCACGACTTTCCCTTGTACCACAGAAAGTCCACACACTGCCATCCGCTTTGTAGAAAACACTGTATTCCATCTTGTCCACTTACTTGCTGTACAGAGACCAAAAAAGTTTCAAAAAAATGGAAGCATCGACACGTTCACCATCCGGTAAATCCATCTTGTCACGTGACGTGTAAAAGGAATTGTGTTCCCTCGTGTCCAAAAGCCTGTTGCGTTCACCAAGGGCCATATGGAAAAAGTCATAGCAGCCTGAGAAAGAGCCAAGACTATATAAGACCAGCTACGCGAAAGTCGCATTGTCATCCGCTGTGCAAGAAGACCTGTCTCTCATCCTGTCCTCTTAGTTGTTGTAGCAAAAGAGAGCGAATAAAAGAGCAGTGTCATCCACTTTGCCGCAAGACATGCTTGCCGTCGTGCCCCGCTGAATGTTGCTCGGATAAAAGCATGAAGCACAAACTTATTACGAAGAGCAAGGAGACTGAGGACAAGGAAATCAAAGACAAACAGAAATCATGTCCTGGGTTATGTCCAGATGTAAGCGTTCCTTATAACAATATTATAAACAGACACGTTAGAGTATTTCTCCACCCTTACACATTCTGCAGTATTGTGACATCCGTATGCTTCCATCAAATAGTTTTCTGATTTCATTGACAAATATTTGAAATGATCGAGCCACTTGCAAATATCGTCAACATTGCACAATCCCAATCGACATGGCATCCGTTATTCACCATGATTGAAACATTATATTGATAAAAATAAAATTCAATGTCAAGAGATGTGTAGCTGATATGTGTATTAAGTGAGAAAAAATTGGATATCTTTCTGCAAACTATCGATAAAACTATAACTTTCTGAAGCTAATTATGCAGTATGTCACAGTGAACAAGCTTAAATCTATCTAACATGTAAAGGAGCATATTTTAAGTAAAATAGTTATCAAGCAATTTAAAAAGTCTTTTCAATGCAATCAGAAATTTTGGAGATCAAAATCTATCATCCTGAACATGTTAAGTTGAACATCATTTTATGCTGTTCATATGTGTTTTGAAGTTTAACATGTTCAAAATTTATTCACTTTATTTAGTCGTGCGCTCCAGCCTGCCACAGCGGTTGTTGCAGCACAGAAAAGACCGCGATAACGAAAAACAAGCCGATAGCGAACACTGTTCCCTCCGGATGCACTGCAAACTGCGTGTACGAGTGCATTCCGGGATGCCCTCCAGCTTGCTGTTCCAAGTCAAAGCCATCGCAAATCTCTTCGTACGACCAGCCAATTAGACATTCGCCAACTACAGCCACAATGTTCCCATATAGTCAACCCGTAATAATGCCTTATGTTCAGTCGTCACATATTTACACGGAATTTCCAGAAATGTACGACGAGGGTAACCTGTTGACAGACAACAGTTTCCAATCGGCAAACGCATACACGGCCAGGCCAACAAATACGAATTCGTTCGAAAATCAAAGTCCAGCAGATTACAGTTTATATGCACAAAAAGAATGCTCGCCAACTTGTTTGCGACATTGTAGTCCGGAGTGCGCACGCTCCGACTGCTGTGATGTGGACTAGTTGTGAAGTTGAAAGTTATGACAGCATCGTGCATGTTTCTCCAATATATGAATGGGAGAAGGAGAAATATCAACTCTTCATTAAAAGATATTCGAAAAGAAGTATTATTGATTCTTCTTTATACCGTAGACATTAGCAAAAGCTACACTTTAATCTTTGCTCCGTCTCGTTTGACTTTCAGTTGCATGTTATTTCAAGACCATAGCTTAAAGCAGTATCTATTATTACATGAACCATTAAGAAAATGTGTTTGTACGGTTGGCTTGGTGTTTTGTGAATGACATTAACGAAAGATCCTTTTTTTAAAAAATACTATTAACTCCTATTGCGCGCTTGTACATTTGTGAGATTCAAATAAATTGGCAACGGACACTCTCCATTGTAAATGCTTGAATGAATCAATGAGAAAGGAAATTAGATGGAAAAGCACAGGTTGCTAAAGAGAAACGCCTATATAGAAACAGTCGGAGAAAGAGCCACGACTTTATAAGACCTTGTCGTTCTTTGCCGTCATTTTATACATAGGCATGCGTTTGTTCGATTTTCAGGATTGAAGCAGAAGCTTGTTAAAGCTTTTCCTTTCAAGTCCTGCATTGACTATGATGTGGCGTTGTCTCTCTCTTTAGTAGAGAAAACTAACAGAACAGTTATAAGTTAGCTTCACTATGTATAATCCCAAACACTGGCAAATTTCTGACAAAGATAAATTATTCATTCGTGACGGAAATATTTTGATAGCGGATACCAGTTTGCATCGACTGGTGAAAGAACTTATCGTGACAATGCCGCTTTGTTTTTGAACAAAAGATATGCTTGTTCAAGGTCATTTTCATGTGAGCAAAAAAAATTGCACACTGAGAATCAAGGAGACAAAATAGCGAAGGGGAGAACACTTGACAGGTTTGTTGAACGAAGCTACTTGACACAAGCGTGCACATTGTTTTATCTCCTTGCAAAAAGATCATGTTCTAAAATTCACACGGCACGACCAAATTTGCGGGCTTTCTACGCCACTGTAGCTATTTGGGATGATGTTTCAAAGGGAAACTGTTCGCACAAATCAAAGACATTCAAAGTTACTTGTCGACTAAACAAGTTTAGAATGTAACCAAAAATTTCCATTCGTGCAAACGTAGTAGAAATCCTGCTCTGTGATGATCAACGTTTTAAAAAATTCATTGTGTCGATAAATGTATATGGATTCCAACGTTCACTCACATACTATGATTTGTTCTTTACTCATGGCTCACTAATTCAATGTGTTTTTTTGCTACACAAACCGGCTGTCACTCCGTTTCCTATAAAGAAGGGCAAAATGTAAGCCATTTTATGATAGGCTAAGTTTCTTCATAAACACAACTTCATGTTACACAAAAAATGCCGCAGAACATACAAAAGATTACGGATGTTGGTAAGGAAAGGGGATACAGGCAGATTTGATGTGCCGACATCCATTCAATGAACCACGAATGTTTCAATGCAAGCAAGTTTATTTTTGCAGTTAAAGCTGAAACAGAAGAGTTCTGGAATCAAAGATGTTCTCCTAAATCCCCTCCCTAAATCATCGTATTAATTCAATTACTGCTACGCATATCTCTAAAATTTTTAATCATGGTACAGCATCGGCAGAAGGCGACAGTCTTCAAATCAACTTGTTTTGTATTTCAAATGTTAATCTGTTCTAAATAACAGTGGCCATGCAACGACATTTCATTCAGATCACACAAGGCTTGTCTCACAAGTTACCAGGCTTGGCAATAGGGCCGGTGGGAGTTGATCAACTTTTACAGCTCCACAATGATTGATTATGTATGTCAACGACAGAAAAGATGATTCTCACACTCTATCTGAAAAACAAATATTTTCCAGGGATTATTGCTCCTTATAAGCAGGGAATCCGATATAGTGTGAACGCGGCCTGAGCCAGCATTTATTAGCTCATGAGAGCACGCGTGACTCGGGTTGAAAGCACGTGCATAAAACTCGAGTTGCATTTTCTTTAGTCAGTCCAAACTGTCCAATTCTTTCACGTCTCTCCATTTTCATGTTTCATCTCGTAAAATTGATGATTGCGTGGTTTTCATATTTCAACGATATTTTTCTTCCCTTCATTTCATGTTTTACTCAAGCTGCGTAACCTTGTGTTTTGCAAGATTTTCGGCAATCTACGATTCAAAAATTTACTCTCGCTTTTAGATCTCAAATTACTGAATCGTTATCGAAATATATGCAGATGCACAGTTTACAAAATATCTCACTTAAAACACCGATATTTACTTCATTCTTACAGCCAAAATGAACAAATTTGCAATGCTGATTTGTCTCGGATTAATCAACTTTGCGCTTCCTAAATCGAATTTAAAACAAGACAAAGATTCCTTCATTAAAGGTAATCCTGCCGACTTTATAGAATCCCAGAATCGTATATAATCACCGAACTGCAGTCGGTTGTAGGCTATCATATTGAGTTTTGTACTTTTGAAAGAAAATATAAACCACTGCAATCATTAGCGTGCGAGGATCGATAGCTGAGGGGTGGGGTGGAGGGGCAGGCTCATATTCATATATACATGACATGCACCATTAAGTTCTTTTGAACTTAATTGTTCTCAAACGATTATAACGTGCATGTATGAATACGCCCCCCCTTTTCATTATCGATCTTCCCGCGCCCATGACTGCTATAAAAATGATCAACTACCTGCACAACAGGAAACTCAAACTTCGGTCGATGGAAGGCAAAAATTTTCCGAAAAAAATCGCGCAAAATCGTCAAAGAACAAAGAAGAGAAAAACTTAAGGAATAAGAAACGAACGGATCAAAAACAAAAGATTAGAGCAGATCGAAAGCTGAAAACAAGGCAAAAAAAGTTGCAAGACACAACAGTAAACTCAACAATCGAAAAGGAAAAGAGTTCGAAAGTTGCGAAAAAGGATAATGAAGACAAAAGCAACAAAGACAAGGAAAACAAGATTTCAAATGACTCAGGTATGTGTACTAGTCTTGTTATGCGCACACACCAATCAATCAAGAGAATTCATACAGGTATATGTAAAATATATTGCCTAAATATAAGAAAGAAACGTACGTAACGTAATGATTAAGGTCAGCTTTAGACAGCCCGGGGGGGTGCTATCGCAAGGCTAATGTAATCATCCAAAAAAAAAAACACATGAAAACACATGAAAACACATTCTCGTGGCTATATATAACTCCACAAACTCTAATGATTAGCTACTGCAAAGAAAACACGGTAAGAGCGAGTGAAGAAAAAACTTCAAGCTTCCCATGCATGATTTGCCTAATTTTCTCATTATACCTAACGCAAATAATGCGTTCTTTTAGAAATGGATGCAGTAGACGTTGGACAACTAAAGAAACTGCTGTATACAAGTGTTGGTAAGAAGGTTCAATCACATTACAGGCAATTGCATGTTTGACTTTAACTTAATATATGCAATGGGACGGCTTCCGGAGCAAGTTAAAATATGCAAAAATAAACTTTTCATAAATTTGATTATTTAACAGCAGGACAAGGACGAAACAAAATGTGTCGTGTTCCTAACGACTTGATACAAAATAGTTTTTGCGTCATTACTCATTTTTCCATAGCTGCAGATTTTGTAATGTTGTCGAAGACTCAATGCAATTTACCACTTACATGTTTACGATATCATTACATGCGATTCGACTTTTTGAGGACTACACGTCGTCCAATCAGAACACGGAATAGCTACCACATGACAGCAACAATTCTCGTTCACAGAAAATCTCGCTAAAGCTGAGAAAACCATACAAAAACTTCTTCAATATGATCTGGCGCAGAGTGAGTACAATAGAATACATCATGCATTGCTCTAAAAAGCTTAAAAAGCGGCACAACTCGTAACTTTCTTGCACTTTAAATTCACGAGCCAATGCAAATGAGGTATGAAAAGTACGGTTGTCCTTTTTAGGGAAAATTGATGCGATAATAAGGTCCGAAATCACCTTCAACGAATTGCAGATTTTAAAATTTTGTACAGATTGTGCAATTTAAAATTGGCATATCAATTAAGGACGCAAATATATCTGTACACGCAAATATTGAGACATGGAGCAGATGGGTGGTAGTGGAATAAGTTTTAGTTGAAGTTATCATTTTAAAAGTAGAGATTTAAATGAGCACTTATTCAAAACTATTATCACTCTCACCCTTAATTTTCTTTACCACCGAATTTTCCTAGTCGTCAGTCGTCCTAAAAATTAAGCGTGAAAATCTATGGTGTTGACGCCATTTGGCCGTATAAAAAAATTACAAATATAATGCCAGTGGAGGAATTGAGCTGCGCGTGAAAATGAAATAATAATCATAAAAAACTTATAAAACTGATAAATAATTACCGGCACCTTACAAACGACTTATTCACAATACAAACAAACGATCAACTAAAAACATTACACTTCACACTAATCCACAATGACAATACACAATTGACACCCACACATTTCCCGTACACACAATACAATGAAGTAAGAACCAGATAACAAATACGTCTAACCTGACGTTTACTTTTCATTTGACGATTACTTTAATGATAAAAGACCTAACACAGCGGGTGCAACAAAAGTGTTTGATTTCTTTAGAAGCTCATTACAACAGACAGCAAGATACACCACAACCACCTTATCAAGGTAATGCATTAAAAATATAAAAGCGGGAAAATGGATTTATCCTAATTTCAGCCGACTTCAGAGCTTTCTTGAATGAGACATGCAACATTGCTCACACGAGTTGCGGCAGAATAAACAAGTTGAACGTAAAGATACAACAAAAAAAGAAATAATTGACATATGCACATTGAAAGGTATTTTTTTATCAAGGTTACCGACAACAGGATACTGGCTCACAGCACTACGAAAACCGCAATTACGGTGCACATGGTTATGATCAACCCAGTTACACTCACCAGACGTATGGAAGCGATTTGCCACCACCTTCACCGTATCAAACCACGTGTCCAGGACAGTGCAGCAGTCAGTGTGCCCCAGCGTGTAGAGATCCATGTTGCCGTTTCCCTTCCAATATGGGCGTATACTCCCCAATTGCAAAAACTGGTGAAGTACGTGGATCTTATCAACAAGATTTGATCAATGCCTATCCCCCAATGATCCAACTTGGAGGTAGTCAAGGCAACTATCAATCGCGAGGTTTTTTTCAACAGCAGTGCGACCCACAATGCTCGCCCGAATCTTGCGCGCCGTCATGTAACCCATCATGCTGTGCGAGTAAAGATCAACAGGTGCAACCAGGTCTGCCAAATAGTGGATGTCAAATGTCTTGTTTAAATGATTGTGTAGGATCGTGTCCAGCTCGATGCTGTGTCCCCGGGAAATAAACGCTTCTAGGGTGGTACAACAGCACAAGCTAGAGCGCTGATGAAAAACAGCCGATGAATACAAACTAAATTTTAAATTTTCTGACATAACGGCAAGATCCACTTCTGACGTCAAATTATTCAACTGACGGATTCATCAAAAACGAAAAATGAAAAGTCAAACCGGCACTTCTGCTTTTCATGCGTTGGAGACACACACAAAAGTTCGATGGTTGAAACGGATTTAAGACTATATTTGCTATACTTATTCGCTTTGTCAAATATACACAGCAATTGGAAAAGTACATCATAAAAATAGAAGTAGACAGCTATCGTCAGTGTCATACAGCAACTAAAATTACACTTGTAATAGTTTATGTCAAACAGCAGTACACACCTTTTTTAAGATGTCTGCATAGTATTTGTTCGTTAAACATACTTTGAAAATTCCATACCTAAGGCTGTTTTCGATTGACTACTCAACCACAAACAAATGCATCGACATGAAAATGAATTCAATAGAAAATATGTGAATATTTTTTGGAAAAATCATGAGCACTCACAAGACTTTTGACAACTATTGCACATTGCGACAAGTCTTTAATCAGCTAGTCAAGTGATATTTTTGACAAAACGTAGTGACGAGCCATTTGGATTTTGCAATCTCATGCGACAGAGGCCGATTTCACGTAGCTATAGAACAGAGCTGAAATTGTTTTGCTTCGAAGCTCAATCCTTGAGCAATTAAATTGCTTTTGAAACAAACGTTGAACTAAACTAGATTTGAAGGATGTAGTCAGGAGATATGGGAAAAGACGGTGGGGTTTTTTCCCGTTGCAGGTGTTGACCTAGTACCTTAAAGAAAATATGAAACCAATGGCCAACCGAGACAAACAAACTTAAAAAATAGCCATTCAAACTTATATGAATGCGAAATGGATTGAAAAAAAAAACCTGAATTTACGAGACAGTAATTTCCATACAAATGCAAACGATAGTCGACACTAGAAAAAGAACTTGCTAAAAATGACGCGATCTATTCTGTAAGCAACAACCTGCAAATCGTAACGGAAGAGTGATCAAAGTGTGATTGAAAAATCATCGACTGCATTTTCTAACGAGAAAGCCAAATAAAGGTAAGAAACATATTGATTTTATACTGTACATAACCTCGCCATTCTTCCTGTGAATATAAACAAAAAAGAAGTCGGCGCGGGTAGACAACAGGAAGACTAATCGAGATAATGACGGTCATCTGATCAAGCATGATAAACACAGAGGCATATGTGTTTTGCTGAACTTGTCTTTTATAAAGAAACTGTTTATGGAATGTCACCACGATAAGTGGCTCATCTGTTCCCAAGTTTGCACCAAACTTGATATTAGTAGATAACCCGTAGTGGAATTGCATAAAACAATTCAAAATAATTGTACGTCGTTTGATGAAGTGTTCATAAAAGCACCTGTTTGTTTGTAAATGTACAAATATATAATCATATGGTGCTCAAAGAATATTTTCATCACATGGTACCAATGATTTACATGATCTTTGATCAAACAGAAAAGCCTTGTAAATTGATAGTTTAAGGCAAGATAGAACAAGCACCGACCTCTCCTTTCTTTCAAAGGTTAATCACATGAAGAGACAACAACAAAGATGAAATTGACTCTAGTTCTTGCACTAGTGACGCTTCTTTTTACTTCGATCGTCAGTGAGAAAGGTAAACAATCGATCAGGTTAATATATTAAACAACTTATAAATTTCTCAAAATGCACAATCAAACCATCTTACATGATCAAAGAACCTTTTCAAAGTAGTTCCCATGCATACCATAAATAGCTTCAATGTGTCCAGGCTTAGAAATGAGACTTTTTAACACTTCAGATTCACTCTTCTCCCTCCTCCGTTAAAAAACAATTGTTCATGTTCCCCGATTAACATTTTTTTAGACTATGGAGATAAAGAAAACAAAAGAACAAGAATACGGCGGGCACTGACGCAACTTGGTCAAAACGGATGGAAAGGGGGCTACTACACAAGTAAATTTCAAAACTTATTGAATAAAATGTTCACCATCTCACGGAAAATTTGGCAGATCCCGCATGCACGAAAAGGGACTTAGGTGTTATGTACTGCAATGTATGCAATACGAAGCAGAGGAGGGAATGAAGAATCACCAGATGTAGCTCAAAATATTTTTTCTAAAGCAACCACTAATTTCATTTTTTTCAAACTAAGTCTTGATCGTGTACAATTGTCACAATATTTTCAATATAGAACTTCGCAAAGATGAAAGTCCTCCACCAACCAACAACCAGCTCCTAGAAGGCCGTAGTTATTCTCCAGGTGCTTCATATCAAATGACCTCACCGAACTATCACCAACCACCTCAATATGGACAAATGTCTCCATACGGCCAACCCTCACCATATGGAAATCGACAACAGCCAAGATATGGAAATCGTCAGCAGCAAAGATATGGAAATCGTCAACAGCAAAGATATGGAAATCGTCAACCATATGATCAATCATCACCATACGGACAAATGCCGCCATACCATCAGACATCGCCCTATAATCAACAAGCTTACAATGATCAACCAGCGAACCGCCATCCAGCACAGTACGGTCGTCCACCATCACATGGTCATCGACCACAATATGGTCATCCACCACCATACGGTCATCCACAACAAAATGGTTATCAATCATCATACGGTTATCAAACACCATACGGTCATTCACAACCATTCGGCCATCCACCACCGTATGGTCATCCACCACCATACGGTCATCCACAACAAAATGGTTATCAATCATCATACGGCTATCAAGCACCATACAGTCATCCACCACAAAATGGTTTTCAAACGCCATATGGTCATCAAACACCATACGGTTATCCATCACAAAACAGTCGACAACCATTATACGGTCATTCAACAATGTACAGTGATTCATCACCATACGGTCATCCATCACCATATGGTCAACCAAACTTTGCTCATCAACCTGGTTTTGGACAGATGGGCTTCACTAAGCAAGGACAAGGAAATCCAATGCAAAACCTACAGGGGTCACCGATGGGCGCTGCAGGCGGTGGATGTGGTAATGTGAAAGTCTGTGGATCGTTTAGCATTGGAAAGGAGGATGCATCAAGTGTACTCGCACCTCCACCAAGATTAGTATTCAAGACACTGAGTGCGCCCCTGACGATGCCCTGCATGTCTCCGATGGGTTGCGGTACAATGCAACAGCCCTACCCCATGACCCCTCCTATGATACCACCCATGCAGCAAACCGTTTGCCCTTCCGTCTGCAAAAAGAAATGCATGAGCAGTTGCCCAAAAGCCTGCTGCGAGAAGCCAGTGGAAGAAAAAGATGAAAAATCGAAAGAAAAAAAGGATGAGAAGTGTCCAGGTGTATGTGCGGTGTATTGCGCACCGCAATGTTCACACAATTGCTGTGGACCCGGTGGTGCGCGACGCTTCACAATACCGAGAGCAATTCACGCGAGTCAACTTACTCCACCCGCCCTTTATAAACTCGAACAAGATGCTGGTGATTTGAAACGCCACTGAGAGCACAGATTGGAAATGCGGAGAGTTCAAGTTCTTTCTGCGTTCATCCGATATAATGTACATTGCACATAATTGCATTTATAATACAACTGAAGCACGTTGGGATATCATAAATCATAGTTAACAGGAAGGATACATTAAAACAATAGCGCATGTGTTTCTTTCGTGTTGATAATTGTTTTCCATACTTTAATTCTTTTGAGTTAAGTTCGCTTTAATTGAATACCGATGCTCATTAAGAACCGTTTTCATTCATTTTCTTCTGCAAAAAAGAAAATCCGCGAACAAACAAGTGCGACATATTCATCCAAAATGGTGCAAGTTTGTGATATGTTCGATGACCACAAAAATAATGTTGGATGGACTTTAATTACAGTCTGATTTTCATCGAACAATTTGTAGAAAAAGCTAATCTGGCGCGATGACTTCTATAGGAACAAAGTTGTCTCTCGAAATTTCATAATCTCCTATCTTGTTTATATGAGGCTCACCCATACGCCCTCCTTTCACGTTGAACGATGGTGAAGTGAATTTTTGTTTGATTGTAACGTCAAACCCACGTTGCTATAACTTGTTTTTTTTTGTCCGAACAGTTTTCGCTTTTGTTTTCACAGGTGTTAAACTATCCTCCAATCGAAATATTTTTTTCTACTGTGTCAATAAAGTGTCCGATATTAAATGTCATCATATATAAGTATTGTTTATGATGATATATTTTAAAGACCTGTTTTCGAAAAGCCTAATCATACTCGCACTCACCATGAGTGGGGCTTCACAATCATTTTGTAGCTATCTATTCAAAGACCGCATATTCACTGCATGTTGATTGCTTAATGTGAAATAGTTTAGCATAAATCTTACCATCCATCGTGAAGTGAATCGGGCATTGATTAGCGAGAGCGCGATTTCCGAGTCGCACACTTATGTAAATTTTTTTATAAGTTTTCATCATATAGCACAACACAATTTATGACAAACATTCGGATGCGAAGCAGTGGCCAGGGATGGAACTGAGAGGGACTTGTCCTCCCCCCCAGTTATTTCAATGAGCTATTTTGAAATCGAAAGAGGAAATGAAACAAATCCAATTTAGAACGGCAATAAAAAAATTTGCTTCCTGTAAACGGGTACATAGCCAAGTATATATTGTAAACAGCAATCTTCAAGCATTGTTCTCTTTAAGATTGACTTGAATAGGATTGGTTTTCCCATTCAGCTGGCCATGAGCGTGGCCTGTATGTCAGTCGTCAATTCTTACAATTGATTCGCACTGAAACGCTCCTTCTTTGAACCGAAATGAAGTAGTATAACTATGTGGTTGACTGGGAAAAAATAGAAGTTTTAAGGCAAAATTTATGAAAAACCATGACAAGAGTGCGTTTCCTTTTTACTTTTACATTTGCTCTTTCGTGTGGTTAAAGTGTACAACAGTCCACAAGCAGGTTTTGTTCGGAAATCATTTCGAAAACTTTGATAAAGCGCGTTATTTTGAACAGAGTCGAATAGCACAGCAAACAATCAAACGACAGCAAACTTGAGAGTAGGACATCGGAATCACAGGGAGATAATGATATATAAGTTGAGATATACTACTGTAGATACACGACCATTACGAAACCGAGCATGGGAAAACGTAATGAGCAAAGCATTTTGTTAGGGGGTAGGGTTAGGAAGGAGAAACGCATTTTTGCACACCGTAAGTGAACGGCAATGGCAAACAAGGCCAAACACGAATGGTATGCAACACGACGATTTGACCTTCTCTACGCGCTTCGGTGATTGTCCTGCCAAAATCAGATTGAATAAATTAATATCGTCCAGATACATTAACGGACTTTCTCAAAGCGAAATGCTTTTCAACATGATCCTGACGTATCATTTTAAATGACCTTGTCCGCGATTAAATACTTTCTGATACATAAACCAAGTGATCAGCCAATGAGACTTCAGACACCGGAATCTGGAAGCTGTTCAGTGTAATTGCAAATATCTACACCTCGCCCATTCGACAACTGGTATGATTCGAACAGGAAGTGGAAAACAATTAAGTATAAAAAATCGTGAATAATTTGGCACACGCGCTTATTGAGTTTTTCGACTGCGCAATGCATTCACAGAGTATTCAACATCAATGCTTGAGAGCGACAAGAGCATCGCAGTGATTCATCGGCAATAGGACATTTGAAGACTAAGGAAAACACGCAACCTCTTCTGGAAGAAAGAAAAGAGCTTTTTTTCCTCCAATGCTTGAGAGAATTCTGTTGACTTGAAGGTAAGAAACGAATATTTATCGATCTCACAATAATATCATCCATCGTTTTTCTGATAAAAGATGAACTAGCGAAGTTGAGCGCAATTAACACAAAGATAAGCGTTGCCGTAGCTTACGTCTGTTACACAGCGATTATAAGAATTGTCCATTCGTACCTTATCTCTATTTAGCAGAAAGAATTTTTAGGAAGACCATCAAAGATGAATAATTTTAAGCGTGTAGTTTAAGTTATTAGCCTCTCATTTCGATCGGGCCAAAGTCATATGACCACTTTCTTCGGTCCGAAACGCTGCTTCTAGCATGTTTACGCATTTATAGTGATTTGTATGGACTTTGCACGAAATGGCTGATCTCTAAGGGAAGATAAACATAACGTTTTTCATCGACAACCCGCGAACTATCTCCCCAAAAGCACAATAGTAACACACGGACTCAAAATAAAAAGCGTTTTTGGGTAAGCCGAGGAAACATATATGAAAATCCCTTCTTGAAGTATGATAACTTTACACTTTCATGTCTGCCACGACCAACATTAGTACATTACAGACATTTTTAGTGCTTTACGACCGAAATAGCCACCTCAACAATACCTTGCAACCGATGCTCTCTATTTCGATATGAGTTCCAATAACTGCCTTCAACCACCTTTCACCCCCCTCCCCAACCCATGGAGGGAATACCACTTATTATTTTGGTAAACTAAGCAAGATGTTCGACCTTGCGTGTTTTGCTATCGAATATCAACGCTGCGAAACATAATATGAGAATGACGACTTCAAGTAAAGCTATCAAAACTTTTTAATTATAGCCGTTATGGTAAATATAGAAAGTCGCAGCACTTGAGACCTATTGTCTGCAGGAAACCTGCTATGCATGCAGATATTGGACGAGGCCCAAAACATGCACGTGCGATTACAATCCGAAGTTTCCAGAAGGAAACTCGTCTTCCCTGTTTTCTCGCGAGACAACGTCTCATATGCTGACAACAAATATTTGCGTTCGCGGAACCAGCAATGTAAATCATTATTAACAAAGCTCCTCGCAGACACGTGTTATGACGCAAATGTACCTCGCAAATGCAGGCACGCAATCACGTGGCCATTACCAAAGGTCAAAAATAAAAACATCGTCTACCATTACCATCCAAAGTTCAATAAAAATGAAACATTCCATTCGGTAATAGAAAGATGAACCGAAATCTGATTAGATAAGTTATGCTTTGATTACGTGATCAGAGTTATTGTTTCACTTGAGACAAGATTGCCGAATATTTCATTCATAAGCACGAGGTGCCGAAGGACACACCGTGTTTACCTTTCGAAAAGCTTGTCAAAACGATACAATACGTCATACAACTCAGGGCCAACCTAACCCACAACATTTGCTATCTTGCCATTCATCTGCTATAAAAGGAGACAAACTAATGCAATGGTAAACAATACAACAATGCACTCAGTAGATTGTATCTTAGTAATCAAAGTCAAGACCATTACCCCACTTGGTACCAAATATCTTCATAGTGCACAGTTTTGACGACCTCATTGTCTTATTTAGCTCGTCGGAAAAGAAATGTTGGCCAACTGTTTACTTTTTGCATCTTTCTTGGGAAATGTATTTTTTCTCATAGAAGCCAAAGGTATGATCTTTATCAAACATTTATCGAGCAGGAAGTATTTGTAATGTCGACACTGCGGGAGGCGGTGGTGTCATTTCATCACCTTATAACAACTATTACAATGAAACCTGATGAAAATACTCATACAAGAATGAATTGCCTGATCGCATCAGATCAGATCATGCAACAATTTGTTTTTGTTTATCATAAATGGGCTGTAGGAGTTTAATGTAAAAAAAGCCCCGCGCCGCGCCTCTCTGTCATTAATTTGCCGCTAATTACAGTTATTGTTTTGCTGCTACCACAAAGACAAAATCAAACAGCAGGCTAAGATATTAGATATGTGTAACTTTTAATTGAAGGCATTAACCCCGAGGCGATATCTATATACTTCGGGAATGCGATCTACTTTTTCTTAAGAAATATGAAAAGGAAAGGAAAGAACATAATCGACCACAAGTATGCGATCAACCCGTGGTACTAAGTCACTGACCAATCCCTAAAGTAATCAACAATTTTTCAATTTACTGAAGCAAATTTCGAAAGGATTTTTTGTTTTTTTCACAGAGTGCAACGAAATCATAGGTATTTCATCCGGTGCAATTGCCGACAAGCAAATCAAGGCATCGGCATTCGACGGTGAATATGCTGCATCAAAAGCACGGCTAAATGCCACATCGGCCTGGTGCGTTACTTCCCTAAATGCAACTCGGTCGTTTCTCGAGGTGGATTTGGGACGTGTTATGCGAGTGACAGGCATTGATATTCGGAAATTCACGGAGGGATACGTGACAAATTTCACCATCGAGTACAAGAGGACGAGAGATCAGCGTTGGATATCTATGATAGAAAGACTGCCATTCAATACAAGCTTCTTTCCGGTAAGATGGCGAGGTCCTCTCAGAGTCTGTAGGATAAAGCGGCTTTATCAAAAAGTTTTGAAGCTTCAGCTGCAGTATGAAGACTGCTGCCATAGCATGCCAGTTGCTCTTGTTTGATCGTGAATATTTTCCCGCATATTTAGACCAGTTTATTCCGGAAACGCTTGTCAAAAAATGATAGCCCTATTCGCACGACACAAACTAGCCCGGGTTTAACCTACCTTTTGAGATGGGTTGAGTTTAGCCCAGGGTTAAACCTGGGTTAGTGGTGTTTACACGCAATAAAATTAACCTGGGTTAAACCCGGGTTAATTTTAACCTGGGTTAAGCCCAGGTTAGTTTATTTAGTGCGAATAGGATTATATTTGCGAATCGTGACGCATTCAGCGACAATCTGAGCAAGTCGAATACAAGTCACGCGAGGAGTAGTGACGTAAATAAGAGTCATGCTGACTTCCGGTCGACTTCATTGATTCAGTCATCTTGCATGCTTTCCCTTAAGAAATGCAATGACATAGTTATGTGCAGCAATCGTAAAACATGTTCACGATGATTTGTACATAAAGTACAAGAAGTACAAGCAGTCAACACATTTATCTTTGGGAACACATCTCTCCGCTGGCAAAGAGTTTGAAATTCCAATTTACAAACTCTTGTTGCTTTTTAAACTTATAAAAGCATTTCTACATTAGTCATTCCTGGGCAATGGTAATAACACGAAACACGAGTATCGACAGTTTAAAGGACCAAGAATCCTACGATTCCTTCGCTTCGTGGCACTGAAAGGGGTTGGAGAACAATGGTGTGCAAAACTAGAGTTCTACGGTTGCGAATGGAAGAACAAAGGTACGTAATTAAAGAGGCCCCGGGCTTGTGGGTGTGTGGTTGAAAAAGTAATAATCTTTTTCCAAGCAAAGAATGTGAGATGGCCGCTGGATAGCAATTTTTCCAATTCAAATATATTCCGCCTAGTTGGAAGCGAACGTCAGAGAGCCTCATTTATTGAAATTTTGGCAACGAGACATTTACTGGTTACACCAGGCATTAAAATGAAAAATTTTTCACACTCAGTGATACATTTCAACTTCCTAAACTTTGAACTCCAATGAGTTTCAGTAATGCTTCGTTATTGTTCCACATTTGTCACACCAACGTTAAGCCACTAACTTGCAGCTCGTCGTCAGGTTGCTCTTCGTTAAATTTTTCTGCTTTCAAGCATTTCATGTGAACGATAGAATTAAAATAATTTTCAAATATTTTTCCTCCGAGTAATCGCTCCATTTTCAGTGCAAATCGTATCAAGCACCTGAAGAATTTTTGCCAAAATTAAATGACAAAAGAATTATACCGACAATGTGTGAAAAAAATAGAATGTATTTTAAAAAACGTATTTTAATGCCTGGGTTACGTACACGGCGAGACGCTAAAAGTGGGTGTATCTAAGAATGAAATTGCGTTTCTTTCATTTATGAAGATGGTCTAAAATCTTATCAAGCACCACAAGGAAATATTCGTGGATACACCAATAGCAAAGTAACATTGAACGATGCAACCTACGACGGAAAGCTGCAACATTATGGCCGACGTTTCGCAACGCTATATGGAGGACTGGGGCAGCTTACAGATGGCGAGATTGGCGGTGAGGCATTTTGGCTGGACGTCGGAAATGGTCCAAGCTTCGAGTGGTTGGGTTGGTACGACATGGTAAACAAAAAGCCATCGTTGCTCTTCGAGTTTGAAACACCGCGAAAATTCAAGAAGATGCTTCTTCACGGGAACAACAGACCAGGCAACGTCAAAGTGTTTCGTAATTTGATAGTAGCGTTCAGCATCGATAATTTATACTACTCCACTTACGTTAACTTCTATCCAAGTCAAAATTTGACCAGTCAGAAGAGCAAGAGCCTGTGGATCGAAGTGGATTTGAAAGGACACGTCGGCAAGAGTCTTCGTTTGGATTTTTCGTACGAAGGGAAATGGATTGTGCTCAGCGAAATCGAGTTTGAGTCCGGTGAGTGGACGTTTTTATCTCGATAGTCATTTTACACTAAGCGCTTGACAAATTTACCTCTGCTTGGTTGACGGCTCCATAATAATGGAACTAAATATTTTTTCAAGATCAATGTAACTCGTCCAGTAATTCTAATAAAATTCGGTAATTTCTCTTTACAGAAATATACGAAGGCAGGATTGACAACCCTACAAGTCGGGAAGTCTCCACAACATCAAGTGTCGCAGGTAAATTGCAAAGATTGTGGGATAATTTTTGATAGTGTAACATTTAATGTGACCTGAATGAGGGCTACAACTTCAAAACAAACATCAAATTTGCTGTGCAGTTGCATGGCCAATGTGATTTCCTATTTCCTAATGAAAATCATGCGAAATATTTCAGGGAGAACTCCGTCATTGAGGCAGGTTGAAAGCAACCCACCCACGACAAAGCCGATGCTCAGCCTTTACGGTGTGATTGCAATGTCAGTGGTCGGGGGAGCATTGCTGCTATTTTCCGTTGTTTTTGGAATATGGCTGACCAGAATGCACCGCCGGGACGAAGAAGACGAGCATCCCATTCGAAACGTCAATCGCGTCATCAACTCGTTGAAAAGGGGATCGTCGTTGGGAAGGCAAAAGCGAAAGCTGGAGTCATCCATGACGTCATCAACGGAGTCGGTCGATGACATAGAACAGCTTGTGAGCAAGAAAAACAGCCATAAAGAAGCAGACGACTTGCCATGGTACAATTCTCGTAAGTGCTACAATTTCATTTCACCAAAATGCAATAAAAACTTTCCAAAGACTAGCAACATTACATACTATTGCGCTGAAAAGCGCAATTGCCATGGTAAATAGGTAAATTGCTAAAATTTCTTTAAAGTTCCCAAGAATTCTGAAAACCAATAGAAACCCAGGAAACCTAGAAGAAAACCAAAAAAAATCAACAGTCAATCTCTTCATTTCTGTTTTTTTTTGGGGGCTTTCAGAACCTTTGGGTTTTTATAGGAACTTAAAAAATTTTGGCCATTCACGACGACAATTTCGCTTTTCAAGGTAATATTTACATTTGTACCCACGAAAAAATTCCATGTTATACTATCTCATACTCTGCTGCCATAATAATTGAATTTCAGCGCTTTCGAGATATATTATTTCATTCGATCTAGGACTTTTCGGAAACGGTTAGGCGGAAGTAAAATTAGATAATTTTTTGAATTCACAATATTTTTGTTCGAGCAAGTAAGGGGTTTGCTATTTAATGACGCATTTTGACCATGCGTTATTCACCCTTTCCCCTTGTTGAGGTATGCGGGGGAGGGCATTTTCTGGCCAAAAAATAGCAACGTATACATATTCCAACTTCATTTCTTTCTCTTGCATGGTAATCATGAAATAAATCAAACGGATAAAGCATGGCGAATGGTTTGAACCCAGGAAAACACAAACTTATATGTTTGTAGATGTAGTTCGTGCAGGTTATTTTTATAGTGTGGTCACAGTATAGAAACATACAGTAGTCTCACTCCAGTGTGAAACTTAGTGCTGTATATTTAATTAGATTACTGGCTGCGGCTAGCCATCTTTGCCCTCCTATTGGCCGAAAAAAGCAATTGACTGGCTGCCACTTTGCTAATCACATGCGTAATAAGATATGCGCTGCACAAAAAATTACTATAGAGTGGGACTACTGTTTATTTCTATACTGTGGTGTGGTCCAGAGAAGGTTTGCTGGTGATGGTGTTGACTTATGTTTCGACATCCTGATGAAGTGGTAATCACGGGGATTGAGGATGTCGAAACGCCATTCAATAAAAACAACAACAGACCTCTGGGGCCGGTTGCACGAAGCCAGGATAGCGTTATCCATTGGATAACGAGATTTTTAAAACTTTTATAAGGCCTTTTAAAAAGCAAAAGCTATTCTGAGATTTGAACTGAGCAATCACTGAAATAAAATAATTTTTCGAGGATTAAGAAATTTCTTTGTCGTAAGAAAAATATAAACACCTTTTTTACAAGTTTGAAAATTCTTGCTATTCAATGCATAACGCTATCCAGGTTTCGTGCAACCTGCCCTTGGACTACAACGACCTGAACCGTCTACCTCAACTAATATGTAACATAAAGCGCACTCGCGGTAAGGCCGTGAATTAAAACCCAACCTCGAGTTTTTCCAAAAACGTCCGCGCTCAAGGAAAACTCATAACTTTTATACTTCTTTAGTTGACCGACACAAGACAAACGACATGATGAAGCCAAACGATCCGAAGGCATGGAGCACATGGGACGAAAGTCCAGACGAAAACATGAAAGATCCGAAAAAGGATATTTCGATAGAATCATAAAGCATATAGCCAGAAAAAAGAAGCCACGTTTACTCTAAGCTGGCTGAAATTTGTACATGAAAACGGTTGGAGAACGCAAAACTCGGCCGAATTCGCGTTCAACGCGAAAACGTGTGTAGCATAGTTAAAAAGTGAATTTCGTAACAATTAGTTTTTACTCCATGTAAGATAGTAAGAGACGGTTGTGGCAACTGAAAGTTTCTAGTGCATAAATTCAACTCATTGTTCAAGTCGAACAACCGTTTTTTCACAAAATAGAACCATCTTGTAACGAAAAAAATATACAATATCTATGATTTATGATCAGTATGAAAATACTCGATCGCTCGGATTAACTTTCATGACGGCTACCGTTAAAATCATTTGTGCCTTTTTACAAGCCAATCACGCAAGTTCCTATCGTCAGTAAATGGTATAGTGATACAGTGAAAGTAAAATACAAGCATTTACATACTATAATTTCTACGCAATCGAACAATGAACAGTAAAGTAATTTGTAAATAAGAGATAAAAAATATGGAGAATACATATAATGAATAAAGGCATATAGGTTTGATCCTCAGTACGTCTATGGGACGGGGGGAGTCTTAAATTTTGAAAGTAAAGCCTGTTTTCCACTAGCCACGTATCGTAACGTATCGTAGCAAAACGTAACATGGCGCATGCGTGCTTGTGCCTATTGACCATCAAATTCATAAGCACGCATGCGCCATGTTACGTTTTGCTACGATACGTTACGATACGTGGCTAGTGGAAAAAAGGCTTAAAACAACGTTATAGTATTCGCCTTTTTCCTGGATCTTCCAGTCTCTGCCTGGTAGCCAATGTCTGTTACTAAATGAATAATTATCCTATTCTGTCGCCAAACTATTTTAGTGCCGTAGTCAGCATGACAATTGTGAGATGGAGGTAATATTTTTGTATGCATGTACTGCCTCATTAAATTGCTTTAAAATTAATTGTTTTTTTATGGATTTTACAACGTACTCTACAACAGAAAGGGCGACCACGAAAACACCTCCTTTGAGCTTGATAGTCGCCAAAACAAAAATTTTCATTTTTAGATTATAAAATGAAAATAGACATAAAACTTATCACCTCAGTAGTTTTGACTTGTCGGTGAAAGTTCAAGATGCGGGTTCACAAAGGCAGCAAAAACATTTAAATGTATGGCAACACCACTTTTAAATACATCATTAACTCAAATTTGACATGCATGCAAACAGACCATTCGAGCATGCCACAAAGGTTCCGATTGAGCACACCGAAATGCCTACTTACATGATCAAAACAGCTTACAAAAGACGCAATTGTAAAGAATACCTTCTCAAAAACACCATTACCTTTAAAGTCTGCAGCAAATTAACTTGTATTCCATGAAATGCCTGTAATGCTGCTGAGTTTATCGTGTAAACGCTGCATCATTGAGCGGCCACTTTTCTTATCTGAATCTCGATGATCATCGTTCACCACGTCGCACTTTGATGTCTCTGACGTCGACGGAGACGTCTCTCTCCTCTGGAGAAGTTTTTCCACAATCTACATTGAAAATCTGAGCATTATAAAGTGAATGTATTGTTTCAACCAAGTAACACAGAATAAGAATATACAGAAGAATCACTCGTGTCGGAACCTTTGATGTTTTTGTCCTCGCGCATGTCGTGCCGCGCATGGTGGGCGCCACTATTCCGGCCAGATGATTAGGGTTTTTGACTTTTTCCAAACCTTTAAAAAGATCCGAAGTCATTCTTAAGTCAAAATATACTTGAATTCCTTATTAACCATTGACGTTATGTAATTTCAATGGTTGGAAACAAGTGAGAGATCCTAATCATCTGGCCGGAATAATGGCCGACATGAGGACGCGTTGTACACCTGAGTGATCCTTCTGTATAATCATTATTCTGTGCAAGTAGTATATTGTTTACATCTTAGTAGATGTCGATTATACAGGTCAGTGCAGTCCCAAGAAGGTGTTGGTGTTGGTGCTGACTGACGTTTCGACATGCTGAGTCAACGCCACATAGAATCATCACCTACACAAACAGTCCTTCTCAGTACCGAACTGACTAGGACAATCAACATCTACGAACATTTCGACTTCACGTATCGTCCGTACTCTATAAAAGCTCAAAAAAACTCGCACTCGCCGAATGGGACATAAAAATCGCGCGGCCACTAATCAATGACAAAGTCATTTTTCCGCCAATGGCAGGATCTTCGCTAAAATATTTCAAATCAAGCAATCATTGGTGTGATGATACCGTCCTCGTATAGCAATGAATAGATTTTGATGCCCCACTCAATTAGTGTTTGCAGTAGCGTAGATTGCCCGACTTTTAACTCTCACTATGCAAATATTCATAATAACGACTATGATGACGATGATGATGATGATGATGATGAAAATGATGATGATGAATATTATTTAATCACAGTAGTTCTTTTCAGCCTACGGCTGGTTTGCAAAAGTGGTGTGTTTACAAATGTTATAAAGACTATACTAAAAGAGAATTGACTGTTTTATGAAATATCTACAAATAAAATATATAGGAAATATTTAGGAAATACTTAGAAACAAACTGTGAAATATACTAAAAAATAAAATCATGTGTCGAGGAAGAAAGTTTTTGCAAAACGAATCTAACAATATCGTACTTCTTATCTCATGAGATAAAGGTTTCATAGTTTAACTCCGTTATGGCAAAAACTTCGTTTTAAGAGCTCTGTTTTTGGCATTAGAATAAAAAGCTCAGTGTAACTTGGAATATTTTAGCAACATCATTTTATTTTCCGTGTGACTGCACTCAGAAAAAGAAATCACACAATTACATTGTCAAAAATATTTTGCATATTTTGTGTTTCCATTTGCTATCATTGGCACAGTGCACGGATATCATTGACAAATAGCACTAAACTTTTTTATGTCCTTCAATTTATTTTTGCCTCAGTAGTTTAGCAGTCTATTTTACCCTCTTCCTAAATAAAGTTATCTACTTACTTACTTACTTATGTAAGCTTAACTAGTTTCGTGAAATTTCGAGCTACCAAAACTAATATCGTGGTCAACCCTTTAAATCAAGAACTATTTACTGAGTTCTTACATGCTCATGGCGATGACTCTCGTATGGCTAGATTATAGCCACTGCAGAGGGTACTTTATACACATATGAAAGAATACAGACCTTTGCCTGATTTTTAGATAAGCCACCTTGAAATTTCAAGTGGGATAGAAGCAATTGTCCTGGCTCGTCTACACATGAAGATCACACGTAGTTAATCATAAATGGACCTATGATGGCTTTGTATAAGTGGGAGAGAGGGAGGGGAGTTTACTACTTTTGATTGGGTATCGAGAGTCTAGACTACTTGTTGCTTTAGCAAGTCAAACTTTTTTATAAAATCTGTTACTTTTGCTCAACTGTTTTGTATATACTAGTATTTTCAGGGAAATTGACACTCCTCCCATACGCCTATCTGTCAAGGGTAGGGAGCGCAACCTTCCCTTATATTCGTCACTGCAGTTTGTAGCAGGCCATTGGCATGCACTTATATAGATCCTTTTTTCAACTTTTTAAGAAAACTACAACACTAGTAATTATAAAAAAGTCCTTACCATTCGAATCCCATGTATCCTGCACATTTATGTCGTCCTAAATGAATTAAATTGGGAGTCAAAAGTTTAAAGTTAGCAAGAAAACATTATACTTTACTCTATAGTTAGGGTTACATGAATTTCCAGGGAAAAAACCGGTGAGAGTGATAAAATGCCGAGAGCAGCTTTGCCTAGACTTCTCTTTCTCTAACAACAATAGCAAGAGCTTTGAATTTTACTTGAAAGCAGAGAGCACCCGCATCGATGCAACATGTCCTTACTAAGAGAGCACTCGCAACATGTCCTTACTAAGAGAGCACTCGCAACATGTTCTTACTAAGAGAGCACTCGTAACATGTTCTTAGTAAGAGAGCACTCGCAACATGTTCTTACTAAGAGAGCACTCGCAACATGTTCATACTAAGAGAGCACTCGCAACATTTTCTTACTAAGAGAGCACTCGCAACATGTTCATACTAAGAGAGCACTCGCAACATTTTCTTACTAAGAGAGCACTCGCAACATGTCCTTACTAAGAGAGCACTCGCAACATGTTCTTAGTAAGAGAGCACTCGCAACATGTTCTTACTAAGAGAGCACTCGCAACATGTTCTTACTAAGAGAGCACTCGCAACATGTTCTTAGTAAGAGAGCACTCGCAACATGTTCTTACTAAGAGAGCACTCGCAACATGTTCATACTAAGAGAGCACTCGCAACATGTTCTTACTAAGAGAGCACTCGCAACATGTTCATACTAAGAGAGCACTCGCAACATTTTCTTACTAAGAGAGCACTCGCAACATGTCCTTACAAAGAGAGCACTCGCATCGATGCAACATGTTCTTACTAAGAGAGCACTCGCATCGATGCAACATGTTCTTACTAAGAGAGCACTCGCATCGATGCAACATGTTCTTACTAAGAGAGCACTCGCATCGATGCAACATGTTCTTACTAAGAGAGCACTCGCATCGATGCAACATGTTCTTACTAAGAGAGCACTCGCATCGATGCAACATGTTCTTACTAAGAGAGCACTCGCATCGATGCAACATGTTCTTACTAAGAGAGCACTCGCATCGATGTAACATGTTCTTACTAAGAGAGCTCTCGCATCGATGCAACATGTTCTTACTAAGAGAGCACTCGCATCGATGCAACATGTTCTTACTAAGAGAGCACTCCCAAGGTTTCACAATGTGCCATTGAATGCTCTCAATATTTTTCAAAAGGTAACTAAGAAAAGCTGATTGTCAAACAGTACAAACACGCACACAAAAATAGTCAAAGGTTTGAGTACAGAACTAAAAATCCCACTCCTGCACCCTACTACGCCTCTATAAAAACGATTTCCAACTCCATATGCAATACTTTCAACATGGTAGCCTCAACTATGACTGTTTTAGATTTCAAGTTAAAGTTTAAGACACAAATGAACAAGTACTCATTTAAACTAACATTTTCCATTGAATCCACAGAAAGTGCCACTTTCAGATTCTTGTAATCAGCTCTGCTGCGTACAGTGACACCTACAAGAAATAAATTTATGATATACTCATTGATGGAAATCGATGATTTTCTCAGTAAACGTAATTGTGCCGGTGCTAGTAAAAGTTCGGATAAAAATGTTAAAATCTTCACAAACGTGCCATAATACTTGCACGTGTTTACTTCATCCTGCTGTTAAACAGATGAATTGCGCAAGCTTGGATAGCCGAGCAGTCTGCGAGCATAGTGAACATGTTAAATAAAAATATTATCTTGTTGAAATGGCAACATTTATAAGAAATATATGACAAAATAAGATTTCCATTGTAGATCCCATAATAGTTGTCAAGCAGTTTCTGTTATTTTACATTTCTAACTTGAGGTCTTAAAAAGATGAGTCTCATGGTGGGGGTTTGTGCACTTAGTGTTTATACTTTCATACGGGAGCTTTTCAACTCGCTTTTATATAACTAAGCATTACGTAAAATATTTTTTAATTTTCGTCATAATACTTTTTATATAAGTTTGCGATGTTGAAAATTTCAATTTTTGTCAATATTAACTTTTTAGTACGATTAACTCCTTAGGTATGAAAGCCACTATTTTCGTCAATGTCCAGTCTTTAACTTCATCACCACAACTTTAAAGTTTAAAGCACAACTCAACTCAGGCAAATCCCAATGAACAAAATGAGTTAGGCTTGCATGAGAGTCATGGTTTAGCGGTTACAAGATATATCATAACTCAATGGTGTTTTCATCGCTTTTTTAGCGATATAGCTCATTTTAAATGAGTCGATTTATTGTTCTGCTAAACAAACTGCCAATTTATAGATATGTCACTAAAGCCTGGTTCTCATTAAGTCACTTGAGTCATCCGAGTCATTTCGTTGTTTATCAAAATGACTGGGACGACTCAAGCTATTGTACACTAAAATATTCGTACTAGCCCTCCCGAGAGACTGCGCTTAATTAATTTTACGCGAAACATTTAAAAATGGCGGCTGCTGTTTATCAAAGACAAAGTCTTTTGGCTAGTTATTTGCTTCTTCAAATCGTTTTGCGTAATATAAAGGTCGCTTGCATTTCTCAAAGTTCTATCCAAGCGACCCTGGTCGTTTCAGTCGTGTGAGTCATTTGAGGTCATCCCGGTTGCCTCTGAAATGTTCTCATACAGTCGCACGGGTCGTCTGTGAAATTTTGTCATGACTGAAACGACTACATTAAAACAAGGCTTAAGTCTTAATGAGATGCACGAAAAAGTACATTGGGGAAAATAAGTACAATGTTAATTTTGCATATCCGGATCCAAAAAGTGTTGACTTTAAAAATAACTCATAATACCTGGGATCGTTTGCATTATGGAAGATCTCGCAGGGACTGACAGCATTGCAGCAAGTCCGGCAAGTATGTATGAGGGCTCGTCATCACTCGATTCACTGTCTTCATCGACAGCATGCGATACCTATTCGAAAATAGTTGTTTTGTTTAAGTTAGAAGTATACGAGAAACTGGCATTCGATGGCATTAAGGACTATGGTTTCTAACCTACGGCTGAAAAACTGGAAATCGCGTACACTGCTATGAAGTAACAATGTCGTCATTGATAGAAAATTACTTCATGTGCTCATGATACTGTTGAAATTTATAAAAGAGTTCGAAAAACGGCGTAGAGAACAACTGCACTTTTCGTTGGTTGCAAAAATTGCAGAGTATAAGGCTAATGTTAAAGAAGGCTTCAATAAAGCGGTTTTTTTATGCTTCAACTTTGGATCTGCTGACCTGAGGGTCCTAATTTGGGGATGTTTAGTAGCATTGGATGTATCTTCTTTCTATAACCTTGTTTCTTTAATATCGTAAATAGTTTTCCACTAGTCTCCTTATGACACAAAAATCAAGTTTGAAATTCTCCAAATGTTCAGACACGATACTAGAGTATCTTATTGGCTGGAAAAAACTTCATGTCATGTGACCACCAGCAGTTGGTCGACATGTCCTCGAGCACTCGAGACATGCTGTCGTTTCGAGCCTCAAAATTCTCGCACCTCGACAAGAGTCATTTTCCTTTTTTCTTGAATCTTTAAGTTATAATTAATTGCAATTTCAGCACGGAATGAGCTGTAGGAACACGATTAAAGTCGGGAGGGCTCAAAAGCAAGCGCCAAAGATGCCATCCTATCAGAAATTATTGGTTAGAAACTCTTTATAACTCGTCAGTTTTCTGTATTTGGAAAGTTACGTAATTATACGTTAGTCGCTGTGTCTTTTGAGTTGCGGGATTTAGTTGGTTCACAGATGGATTCGATCTTCCTCTGCATCAAACAAAGTTGGCGTGAAATTATGCAATGGTTCCAACGAACTGCATTCACCTCTAAGAGACTCACTTAATTTTAGGAAGGGCTTGGATTTCAGTTTTTGCAAGTTAAGGGGAGGGAGGGGGAGGCTTAAGCTCTTTTTCCCCGGTATTTCTCGCGGTAACGGCGCGGAATTAATGACGTCGTCATTAAAGTGGATGAATTAATTCATCGTATAAATGTGGCAGTGAAGAAAATTCATGTCGGCATATTTATGGATGCTTACCTGTCCAAGTACAAGCTTTCTCAGGTAGTTGATTCGTTGGGATCTTCCTTCTTGCAAAAGGAAGTCGTTTCGCAATCTGTGTATTCTAAATATACAAGACATCATTACATTCAAGGAAAAACTCTCGCTAACAGAGTTTCAATGGAGTGAAGACCAGTTTGTTGTGAACTGCGCTAAGTGTTCATCAGAAATCATAAAACCTCAACTTGGATATGTTCAACTTTTACTTTTATTTACTTTGCACTGAAGATGGCATAAAGTATGCCGAAACATGTTTGTTATAAAGAAATTTGTCGTCTATTTTAAATGTCCTATAACCATTGTGCTCTCACGAAATTATGAACACAATAAATAATACTGCTTTCAGCCTTAAGCACGTAGGGCACAGGCTACACAAAGGGAGAGAGTCCTTAACAGACAATCATCATCAAAATTCATAAAAGAACTATTGAAGCTTATTTATGGAAAATCAAATTACCGACTACAGACATATAGACAGCCTTTTAATACTAACATGATGCAACTCTGAAATTGGAGTATACTATCAATGACACAAAAGTACTTTTGTGTCGAGGAATTTTTAGAGGCGTACTCTCAACAAAGTAATACAAATTATTCTTATAAAATATGTGGAAGAATACTTTTTGTAAAAACAAGTCGTAAGTTACTAAATAAAAACTAAGATCTTTCAGCAGATTTGTAGTAGAGCAAAGGGGGGGGGGGAGAGGGGAGGAGCACCGATAGCTAATTGATGGAGGGCCCCAATGAGGCAACTTTACGCTACTGGACAGAAGGTGATAAAGGTAGAAGTATATGGGAATACACTTTTCTTTATTTTATTTATCGAAATTCTGCAACTGTTGCACGTCGTTCTGTTACAATTAACATGCTTGTATTATTCGTATACATTAGGAAATTAAAGATTGGGCAGCAAGTTAAGAACTATTGCCTAACCTGGAAAATGAAAATCATCAAATTGTGCCAAATATACAACAGCTTCTACAATATCTAAATTCAGTCTTAAACCTCAATCACAAAAATGATTTCAGATTGTTGATTTTGCTATGACAGACTGAAGAACAATAAGCGTTCAGTTATCTAAAACATTACAGGCATGCAAACATGTCTATCTTGTTCGATATCGAATAACGTGTTTACCAAGTTCATTCATGTGTTTGTGCACCACTCAAGAAATCGCTCATCACCGTTAACAGATGTTACTGTTCTAATATTAGCTGCTAGCTTGAAGAAAATCAACGTGTTTTCGTTTCGCAAGAAATCCCGAAGACGCAAGTTGAATTCACACCCTAAATTCTTAATCAAAGGCAATTTCGGTTCTTTTGATCCTTCCTTGGGCTCTTCCAATGAGTTGGCGTGAAACAGAGCTCTTAAAAATCGAACGAAGTCTGCGGAATCCTCAGCATATTCCACGACGTAAGGCTGCATGTGATCAATTTCAAAATCTGGAATTTTCTCAACGTCAGCCAAGGCAATTCTTTGTACTACCTCTCTGGGAAACGGGAAAGGAGGCATGAAATCATAAGACCAAAATAACGTTTCTGTTACGATGGTGGCACAAGAATTGCTATGATTTAACAGCTCGGAACAAACTTTCAGTAAGGAGGGAAGGTGTATGTAATCCATGAGGTTGGACGTTAAGATTCGATCATACTGCGTACCACTCTCAACGCGGTCTTTCATGTTCATGCAATCGCACATGTCTACATCAAATCTAATTTGGTGCTTCCACATATTCTCTTTAAATCTTCTCAAGATGTGTTCGACATACTCGCCAAACATAGTAACGAGACAATCAGCGCTTTTGTATTTTCTGATCAAAAGGTAATCCCATCCGAAAAATGGGAGGCTAGTATATTTAATGGCAAAGACATACATGTTCCTATTAGACGAACGAATGAAGTCTAGATTGATCGGACCAGTCAAGGTTGGATTTTCGGCAAACGATGGCCGAGCGACATCCGTCCTTCGAAACAGTCCATCCCTTATAAACTTTCGGGCCGATGCGGCGTGTTTTCTGGGTATACTATTGACATATGTTGGATCAAATCGATAAGAAAACTTTTTGAAAAAATGTTCTCGTTGCAAAAATATCCACTTAGTGCCAACGACGTTCATATCAAGCCACTTTTGCCAGACGTGCTTCAGTGCTGCAAAATCCCTTTCTTTAATGTTGATGCGTCCGCCGGTTTTAAATTTTAACTCCTCGGGATTGATGATGCTACAGAGCTTTTTAAGAGTCTTCGTGAGATATATGTAAGATGATTGACTGAGAGAAATCGAATACCAAATTTCCGTGACGATTTTTTCGTAATTTTCTTCACCTGGAAAGGCAAACCATCGAGGGTCAATATTTGACAATAATTCGAAAAAATATCTACAGTAATTACAAGAATTGCAACTCATATAAAGTTGAAACGTCTATATAGAAAACTGTTAAATTCAAACGTGTAACAAAGACAAAGAAGCAAAAATTTCTATGTAAATCAACGTTCACAAAATTAACATGCATGAACGTTTAAAAGCATTTTATGTATGCGAAATATTCAATCAGTGAAATCAAATTTAGTTCCCTGGGAACACAGCATGTACACTTTTGCTGTGTTCACTTGACATAATACTTAACTTTCGCGTCCAATTTACAAGTTAAGAAAGTACAACATTCAAACATAAATAGTTAACATCGCCAGAGAGTTTTTGTAATAGTTTCTGAGTAATAATAGTTAGTTGAATAGGTTCTGACTAATGGAACAAACTACACAATCGAAGTCCATAAACAAACATACAAACAGCAATTCTAAATTTTAAAGGACTTCTGACGAGATTTTATGGTTTTTCGAACCCCTATGTATAATACATTGTAACGAAAAGATGATAGCTAAATCGTCTTGTTGGGGATGGTGGTTTGCTGACTTTTAATGATTATATACAATTCATACAGTCAAAGTCCTATATGCATTTAATGCTTTTGCCGAATAAATGTACTTGCAAACGTTAATGATTGATACAATAACAACAAACACACCTTCAATCAGCATGTAAAGAAGTAACACCAATCTGGCCAGAACGCAACTTGCTTTATCGTTGAGAGTGAACAATATATTCTTTCCAGAGCCAGGAAGTGATGCACAAGAAGAAGCTACGTTTCTCAGGTCACCAACACCAAGATACAAGACCTTCATTGGATTGTTGTAGTCTTCTCCTTCATTCTCCAGAAGATTAAAACAATCAAACGCTGGTTTGTTGCCCCAATAATAATAACCACAATTAACTTTGCCACTGGAAAAGTAATCCAACATTTTTTTCGCAAGAGCGACAGTTGCTTTCTTAACCTGGTTGCATTTCAATTTGTGTCCTCCCCAGTTCTTTCTTTGGCATTCTGAATTGCAGTAGAAAGCTTGGTAGCATCTGGTGCAAGCTCGAAGATCTCTACCTCTTTTATGGCATTCTGTACAAGTTCTTACAATTGCCACAGGAATGCATTCGGCTTCGTGATGAAATACGTCTTCTTTTCGACATTTTTCACTGCAGTATTTAGCAATACCACACCGGCTACAGATAACACCAACTTTGACTGTATTATCGCATCGCCAGCAATTCTGAAATCTGGGCATTTTAGATGGAGAGCCAAGATAGATTTCTTACTGTAGAATGATGCTTTGTCTAAATGCTCTAGCGGAAGTAAAACTACGCTAGAAAAGCACGTGCTTTGCAATTTCCGAGAATTCGTGAGAATTTGCGAGAATGCTTCTTGAACTGCTTAAATGTTGGTGATTTACTTTACAGTCAGAGATTCATTTTGCTATAACGCTGTAAAAACTAGTTTGTAGTTAATCCAAAATCTTTAATTGTATTGTAAATTGATCATCTTTAAACACGAAAACAAACAAAATGGTTAAATACTAGTGCAAAAAAGTGAAAGCAACTGACACGTTTTTTGCAAACGACTGACAATTAAATTCCTAATTTACACATTGCGCGCGATCACTAGAACTTCGAAAGTTCCAAAAGTAAGCACATAAATGTCAATCTTAAAAAAAACGTCCATGATTTTGTTGGTTGGTATAATTTGCACATCAAGAATTCATAATTATAAATAAAATCAATAAAGTACAACATTGCATTATATGTTATGCTAAGACGTCTGTAGATATGAAAGTAGAATTTTGCTGACAACAATCAACATTTCAATAAACTGAATCCTATTAAAAACTACTGTTATGTTGAAAACATAAGAAACGAAAATACAGTATTATTTTTATGTTATTTACAGGTAGTCCATACTGTTGATTTTTAGGGGGCGCTGAAATGAATAATGGGCCTAAAATTTTGAAGTTGTACAGGAAAACGCGTTTGAAATTTACAATATTTACTATTTTAGAAACCAAAGTCTGGGAAATGACATTGAGAGCTTCTCATTTTAAAATACGCCCTCAAAGGTTATATTTTGAAGGCGCATTTTTAGGCGCATTTTAGGCACAACTGTCCCTTGCACGCAACTGCATATTAGATTTATATAGCTGTTGATCGAATCAACATTAGGGCTTTTCTTGAAACGCTCCGTCCTACATTTAAAATTATAGAATTTCTTCATCCATTCTCGGCTCTTCGTTTAACTCAGTTAACTCCTTCTAACAACAACTCGTGTAATTTATGCCCGGGATCTGTCATATCTTTTATCAGGGTAATACACATGTCGTCCTTGCGTCATCAACCTTAAAGAAAACGCTCATGGATGTTTTTGTTTCGATTTCTCATCATTGATCATTTGTTAAACTGCTATGTCAGATTGCGCTCGGTACTCAAGCATTGATCTTTTAGCTAGAATGCAAAACTTCTTTATTTCATCCTTTGATTAGTGATAACACTATAAGATCTTTAGTAAAAAAAAATGCCTGACACTAATCATTGATCCATACAGACCGAGTAAGATCGATCCTCTAATTCCCTTTTAGTATACACCACCGTTCACTATCGCAAAATCAGGTTCTTCATCTCCGAGTTAAATGTAGAGCTATCTTTTGCCCAAAAATGTCGCAATGTATTTCAACAAGGCTGCATGATCTAACTCCAACTTCCTTCATTTCTCAAGCAATTGATCATGGTCTATGAGATCAAATGATTCCGAAAGTCCAAGAAAAACAACATGATCACTACAAGGAGGTCGTCCATTTAAGTGCATAACCGAAATTGCAAAAATATCAGACGATTTTGCTAAGTCTCCATACTTAAAGTCATATATATGACTGCTGGCTATGTTCGTACAGTCATTTAAGTACATAACCAAAATTGCAAAAATATCAGACGATTTTGCTAAGTCTCCATACTTAAAGTCATGCAGATATATGACTGCTGGCAATCTTCGTATAGCCATTTAGCCACAAAGGATTCTTATCACACATTTCAATTTCAGTGCAATTGGCCTCAGTTCAGCAACAGAAGAGCAACTTTATACTTAAGATATGTCACAAATCCTTTCTTTCTTCAAAATTTCAGGGAAGGATTTCTTTCGAATGTCATCAAGAGGTAGTGCAAATAGAGCTATAATAAAATAACTTCTTCACCATCAAGTAATCTATTGATGTTTTAAGTAGTTATAACTGTGTAATTCTTATAGGGGGTGCAATATTTTGCCCAGAGAAGTGAATTCAAGAGCAAGGTTTACAATACATACATATCCTTAAGATGTATACAATGGAAAAGGGTTTCCGTTGAAATTTGAAGCAAACAGTTGAAAGAAGCTTTGGGAAAAAAAACTTCCTAATCACTCTGAAAACAAGAGAGTTGTTCCCATGTATAGTTGCTTCATATCTTCACGAGACAGATGGCTCTATCGGGCATTGATACGACCTTGAACTTTATGTACTTTGCTGGCAGGATATACTTCCCCCTCACCTATCATTTCCAAGAAGTATAAGTCTTTACTAAGAAATAGAGAGTCTTTAAATTGTCTAGCATAGTTATTCAAAATTTGCTGACGACTCCATTGAAAGCCAGTAGTCAGGTTCGTGGTGATTTTTATGAGTGAGCAAGTGACATAACTCAGTTGAAAATGCCAGATTTCGGGAATGCTGGCGATGTGGAAATACGGTCGGTGTTGCTGTGATTTGCGAGTTGTGTGGCATTGCCAAATACTGTGGTCAAAAATGTCGAAATGAAGACATATTTCGCCACGAAGCAGAATGCATTCCTGCGTCGATCCTTAGAACATGTAAGATGTGTAGAAACAGTGGTCGAGACCTCAAAGCGTGTACTGGATGCTACAAAGCTTTCTACTGTAATTCAAATTGTCAGCAAAATAACTGGGGAAGACACAAGATTGATTGCAATTCCGTCCAAGAAATAATACAGAAAAAGACCCAGTTCATTACGATTCTCTTTTCAGAGGCACATTGTTTACAATGCCAGTATTTCTACTGGGGTAATGTAGCAGCATTCGACTGTCTCAACCTTGTCAAAAACGAGGGCGAGTCGTACGACTCGGATTTACACGTTCTGCACCTCGGTGTTGGTGATTTAAGAAACGTAGCGTTGACGTGTGCTTCTTTGCCAGACTCCTATACGAAGATTGTTTCATTTACTTTGAATGACAAAGAGAGTTGCGTGTTGGCCAGACTGGTTCTTTTTCTGTACATGTTAATAAAAGGTGCGTATATAACGTCGAATAACCAAGAATATTTCTATCAAACACGTGGTGATAATCATTTATAAACGCTTTATTCATGATAGGTAAGCCAAGAGTTGAAAAAATTGACACCGAAATTTGGTATTCGATTCAACTCTGCAAATCCACTTACGAATCCCTAACTCTTGCGCTTCAGGAGCTGATAAATTGCACAACTACTCACGAATTCCAAAAAACAACATCTGGTCTGATTGCTGTCAACAAATCGCAATTGCACAACCTTAAGCTGGTGTGGAAGTCATGGTTTGAATTAAAAGTCCAAGATACTACAAGTCACAACGCGAAAAAATAATGGTTTTGAAGGTTTTATGTTGAACACTTTTTTCTCCGAATATATTGGAAATATCCCAAGCGAGTACAGACAATCAGCAGAAAAATAGATAAAGGATGGAATTTTTAAGCGAACAGAAACTCGATTGTTTGCAGAGAATCCAACACTCACAGGACCGAATAAGGAAAAGACAGAAACTTCGCACTTCTTTTACTGCATTCCGACAGGTAATCTTCCATTCTTAGGATGGGATTACGTTCAATTGAAGAAATTTAAGTTGGTTCCCTGTCTAATAACAATGTACGGTGAATACATTGAGCACGTTCTGAAAGTTTTTATGGGCAAACTATCGAAGAGACAAGTCAAATTTAAAGTGGCAATAGATGACTCCAATAGATAACTTCCGAAGTTACTGCAATTTTGTTCGAAGATGTTAAACCATCAAAATCCAAATGCCACGATAATCAATGAAACTCTAGTGTGGGCGGAGGTTATAATACCAGAGGGAAGAATCCAACATTCTTTTAATTATTTGCAAGTAGAGAAGTTGACAAAAATGGCCACTCATGATACTAAACGTTACAGATTTACAGAGGACAGTTGCATAAGTTTTAAGGAATACCTAGATAACTCGTTTGATTTCATCAACTATCTACGAGCTACATTCAATGCTTATCGTCAGCGCGCAGAGGCTCGTAATATGAGCATTCAAACGAAAGCAAACATTCCCACCCTCAAACAGCTGGGCAACGAATTCAACCTTCACCTTCGTGACGGCATTCGTGACGAAAACAGAATCGTCTTCTTCAAATCAGCAGTAAACAGAAGAAGGGTAAGTGCCATTTTTGGAGAGGAACGCAAGTTGGAGTGGACACCATTACAAAAATAATCGACGTTGCTATCATCTTCGATAGTGCTTTGTTAAATTACTTCGCAACATGGCAATGATTGGCACACAATGTTTGCAATTGCTAAAAAATGACGTTTCCAGATCCGGGCTTGCATTATTATGCACAAACACCATAGTCATTCTCGTTTGCCTATGGAATTCGTATAAATTGCCAGTATGTTTGTTTGTCTTTGTAGAAGGAGTAATTGTAATTCTTGAGCACGATTAAGATCAAACTTAATTTTGTTATCATTTGCCAACTTACAAATTATTCTTCTTTAACATAGAGTGCGCGTTTTGTTACACGTACCTCCAAAAATGGACAAAGAATCGAGAACATAAAAAACTTGAAAGACACCGGTGCATGGTAATGGCATGATTCTACGGCTATCGTATCCGATTGGTCAATTTCTTGAATACAAATTATATCACATAGAGTGTAAAAATATATTTGAATAAGATTGTTTTGTTTACACACCTAATTAAGCAAATTATTAAAACTTGACTAGTTTTCATGCGGTAATTGAGAAACACTCTTACATCTTTATTCATACAATGAAATGTTAAATCAGTTTGATTGCATCATTTCAAATAGCCACCACTGAAAAATGCCCATGAAAGTAAAGTAAATCAAATGTACAGTAGATGATGAGGAAGGTAAAATACAAAGACCGTGGACATCTCCAACTGACGTCATAAATGCTTCCCACGGTGCACAATTTCCCTGCAACAACTTTCCCACAAATACAAATCTAGAAGCGAATATCTAAATTATGGGTCTAACTCGAGAGGAATGAATCTGACACGCCATCAAGCTTGCTAAATATGAAGCAGCATGACTAATGAATCGTGTTGATATGGCTACATGAATCATGGTAAATACATTAACGAGCACTTCCAGGTTTTCAAGAACGGTCGTCAATCCGTTTTGGTTCGTGAGATGAGTGGATGTAAATTGTTTCAAATTGTTTGATCGAATTTTGAGAAATTGGGAAACTCATGCCATTTGCCAGGGTATATTCAATGCACTCGAACTATTATGCGGCGGAAAGTTCTTCTCAATTTCTCTACCTTGTTCTTTTTTTCAGAGGGGCGCAAAGCAGAGCCATCAGTCAATAAAAATATCTAATAATTATATAATGTTTTGTAATAACACACGACGTCTGAATTGCGTATTTACTACACGGAATGCACCATGGGAAATTCGTTGCGTGGTTTTACTTTCGTTTTATAAGAAATCATAGTTTATATTAGAAAAACATCAAGAATTTCAATATCTTCTTTAGGTCTAAAATGCCCAGATTTCAAGATTGCTGGCGATGTGGAAATACGGTCGAAGTTGGTATTATCTGTGGCTTGTGTGGTATTGCCAAATACTGCGGCATAAAATGTCAAAAAAGTGACATATTTCGCCACGAAGCAGAATGCATCCCTGCGTCGATCCTAAGAACATGCGCGATGTGTAGAAACAGTGGTCGAGATCTTAAAGCGTGCACTGGATGCTACGAAGTTTTCTACTGCAACGCAAAATGCCAGAGTAACCATTGGAAAAGACACAAAATCGACTGTGAAGAAGTGGCAAAATTACTGGAAAAAATAAGTGGCGAAATTCGGAGGAAATTCATCGTGATGCCCGGTTTGTTTCCATGCCCATATTACTATTGGGGTAACGTACCAGCATTTGATTGCCTTAATATGATCGAAAATGAAGGCAAGTCATATGCAATGGAATTGAATATCTTGTATCTCGGCGTCGGTGATTTGAGGAACGTGGCACTGACTTGCGCTTATCTTCCGGATGCTTATACAGAAACGGTTTCATTTACTTTGAATGAAAACAGCAGCTGCACACTGGCAAGACTGGCTCTTCTGCTCTACATGTTGATAAAAGGTAGATTTCGCTTGTAGAATTAAAAAACAAAATTAGAAACAACTTTGAATATCGCTGAGTATACGTAGCAGCGCTTGTCGATTATATTAGGGGTGAATTCACTGAGGGGTGGAGTTGCAGAAGGCTGCACATCCTTTTCGTTTTGGAAGGTTAGGGTAGAGGTGCCTGCAAATTACTTTGCAAAATATGAATATGGGAAACAACTAGGCAGAAGCAATCGTAACTTGTGTTTGAAAGAGCACGCACTGAAAAGAATATCTCTCAATAATGATATAAGACCAAGGGAATTCAACAAAATAGCCACCAAAATCTAGTCTAAACTAAAGCTCCTCAGCCCCGTCCACAAAATTACAAAATCATCCGGGGGCCGGTTGCACGAGCCTGGATAGCGTTATCCACTGAATAGCACAGTTTTCTGAACGAGAAGAAAATCTCTTATAAGAGAGCAATATACGATTTGAACTGTGCGATCACTGAAATAAAATATTGTCTTAAATATTACAAAATTTCTTTGTCGTAAGAAAAATGTAACACCTTTTTTTACAAGTTTGAAAATTTTCGCTACCCAATGGATTGTGCTATCCATGCTTCGTGCAACCAGCCGCAGGACTCATCACTGATTTATATTTGCACAATAGTTACGGCGAGAAGCTTTACTATTTAGATGTACACGATTTACTGACTTTCAAATATCCAAAACTCTGGTGTAGCGGCCAAGAAAACCACAATAGTTCTAAAAAATTAACACTTCAGCGTTGCATTAGAGAAGTAAGGAACTTTAAAATAACGACGAAGTTGAAGCAAAATGTTAGCATTTCAGGGGTTGTAACGAAAATATTGCTCGAAAGAGTTGCAAACATTGTTATTGAAGGTTAATATTAAACTTATTCTTTACTTTATAACCTCCATGTAGGCGATTCTGGCATCGAATGCAATGTCACCGAAATATGGTACTCTATACAGTTGAGCCGATCGACTTATGAATTACTTCGGAAGACACTGCAGGAACTAATCAACATCCGGACTTCGCTAGAATTACGGTATGAAACTGGTGGTTTGTTGGCGATTGAGGACACAATGTTGAAGGAAGTTCAAAATGTTTGGGCAACATGGCTTTCGTTGAAGGTTGAGGGAGCTAAATGGATTCAAGAGCAGCGCAAAAAATGGATGACCACTGTCGAGTTTATCGAGAGAAACAACACATACGTTAACGATGTACCGAAAGTTCACACAAATTCGGCAAAGCAATGGATCAACGATGGAGTTTTCAAACGCACCGACACGCCACTTTTCGCAGAAAATCCAACCCTAACGGGCCCCGATCAAAACTGCAGAACCAGAGAATATTCCTACAGCATACTCCCAGAAGTGCTGCCATTCAGCGGGTGGGACTATGCTCAAGTAAAGAAATTCAGCTACTCCGACTGTATTGTCACTATGTTCGGTAACTACATTGAATTCATTCTAAGAGGTTTCATGAGAAAGCTTTCGTCCAGACAAGTGAGATTCTTAATCGTGTTGTATGACTGTGAGCAGATCAACAGTATTTTCGATGTCGGAATAGCCTTCGACCGCATTCTGACGTCAAATCTCATGGATTACATATTTTTACCTCGTTTGCTGGAACTGTGTTCTGGGCTGATCAACCGCCATAATCATCACGCCACAATCGTGACCGAAACCATGACGTGGACACGTTACATCATGACGGAGGCAGACATAGATAGCGACAAATTCAAGCCGCAATTGCAGAAGTTAAACAAAATTTTACAAAAGGACGTCGGTCGGTCACTAAAAAACCCGTACTGCATGAGAGACTATTTAGAAAACTCTTTCGAGTTTCATGTTTATCTCCGTTCCTTGTTCTACACTCAAAGTCAAATGAGCAATCCGACGAGAAAAAGAGGAAAAGTCATTCCACTCCTTAATGAATTGGGTAAGAAGATGAAACTGAAACTTCGCGATGGTATTCGAAACGAAAACAGAATTGTTTTCTTTCGACCAATGACGTGTAGGCGAAAAGTGACGTACTTGGGAGGAATGGAACGCAATCTTGAATGGGTACCATTGAGATAAACAAGTAGTGACGTATTTATGACATGATTTATAATGAGACCCAAAAGAACCTCACAAGGCCTACTTTATGTAAGCAAAAACATAAAAAAGCGCGAATAAAATGCTGTGTTTTCGTTGCAATCTACGCTGCCTCGATTTCCTTTGCCATATATTTGTCACGTAATTTGAATAGTATGCTTATTAAGAGCGTCCTTATTTTTGAAGACATGATCATAAGATCACAGCTTTCCAAAAACATGGGCAAGTGCCAGATTTCGTTAAAATTGTTTTATAAAATTATATTAATCAAAAGTAAATTATTCAGCAATTTTCCTTGCAATTGGAGTGATGTATATTTAAAGATTTTTCCTATTTTCCCTCCTTACTTACACCTTCATACTCTTTACAAAACAATCTGCGCACACATAACATCCTCATTTTGCGAACCTTGTAGTAGTAATTTTCTCTTACAGGTTTTTGAACCGTTCTTAACATTTAATTAAATATACACATCCAGAAGGCGACCTTCATATAAACATGTTTTTACTTGCACGAAGCCAAAGTTTCTCCCCAGACACGCGTGTATCACGCTTCAAAAAAGTGCAGGCATGCATGTCTAACCACTGACGTCACTTTATTTATTTCAGTTCACGTATATATGATCGTCGTAAATGTACTTTCTTTGGATAATGCATGGAAAGATTGGGACTAGTTTAATCTCTGGCTTCAAATTTTGGCGGGAGATAGCCTTACAGTTGTAATTAGTTCGCTCGTTTATACAGATTTGTTTCCGAAACAACTTTCTAAGAGGTCGATAATCGATTACTTAACAATAATCTAACCTTGTGGTGTCCGTGTTTTTCATGGCCGTAGAGAGCGGGAGGAAGTGAAAGGTGTTGAAATGTCTACTCCGGGAAAATTTTGAATACCTCATTTTCCATCATTTTCATCCGCCATGAGATAAAACATCATGAAACACAAACAAGGCTGACATGCAATCTCAAAACTTGCGCATGTTAAATTTTGCAAATTCAAATGGACAATAAGGATTCGAAACCACATTTTCATAAACACGCATGGGAAGGGGCACCATTGAGACATTCCCTCTTTTCCTTCACAGCAAAAGGTATTGAAAAATACCATACACTCACCTGGGAAATAAATCCCTGATCAATTGAATATGTCCAAGAGGGATCACATTGCACGTTTCGCTATCATCTATAGATGAAAAAAGAAAATTCGTCTTGTGCAAATGAACATGTTAGGGCCTGTTTACGTGTAGCCGGGATTCAGCCAAGCGTTAAATGATTTTGGCAAATGGAAACGATTCAATACTCGTCATCAGATAAATCTTCTCGAGAAATTTCACAATATTCTGATTTAATCACTACGCAAAACATTTAAATTTACAACAACCAATTTGGCTAAATTTACGAATTTCAGCAGGAATGACTTGTGGCGCTTAACAGTTGTAATTTTTACGCTGAAAGTTTTGCCGTTTTTCTATGCCACGAAATCATTTACCGCCTCACTGAATCCCGGTTAGCCGGGAGCATGTAAACAGCCCCTTAGATGCGCGTGAAAAGACGTACGTAAATCATTATTTCGACTTGTGACGACACAGTTAATCTACACAGTAAGTCGAACTTTAATAAAGTCTATTGTGCATTTGATATTTTCTTTTTCACTGATTTTTTTATAGAGCAAAAGAGCGGAGCTTTTTAGCTTTCCAATGATATATTTTTCATGTCATTTTAATCAAAAGCGATCGATTTCAATGCCATTTCAAACAAAGTAAAATTTTTGAATAAATTTTTGTATAGCTTTTATTCTAATCAAAATGTGTGCCGTTTAATCCAAGGTAACCTTTTTTCTTGGGTTCCATCCAGCTTCTGTCATAGATATATTCTATGTAAACCATTCGGTAACATCATAGCAAAAAACTATAGTTCCAATCGGCTCATGCAAACTCAAGGAGACTCGAACAATGCTCGCGACTGCATAAAGATGTTTCACTGTATTGTTGCTATGCAATAATAATCTCATCAACTGGTCAGCAGCGATCAAATCCGTTTGAAGAATACTCAATTCAACCTTATGAATTGGCAAGTGTTCGTAAAATTTGGCCATTTAGAAAAAGGATTATATTTCACTTTTACGACGAACAGATTTGCCGACAAAATTTTCATTTTGCTAAGAATGTTATTTCAGGTGGGTGTCGCAACCCACACGAGCCCCCTTCACGACGACACTGACCGCAAGACCATAGTAAGCTCTTTTTCACGTTATTTTTACATGGTCACGGCTCCAATATTATCACAGCCGGAGTTCAATATGTTTGGTGAATACTTCACTTCAACGAATGTTGGAAATTCGTTCGACAAAACCAGCTGCCGTCTCTTACCGTCATAAATGTCTGGCTTCAAATCGATTGCCATTTCTGTAAACGGTAAGAAATAGGGATGGGGGGTTTCTTTCGCTTTTAAAATGCACCTGCACAAGTAAAAATACACAGAGGACGTTGACAAGAATAACAGAAAGCAAAAAAACAAAATCATAATGAGGTCATTATTTAAGCCCCGGGGGCTGGGGGCTGGTACCGAAGTGAAACGGACAAAAAAAGAAAAGAACAGCAACCTCTTTTCAAACAACCATTTTTTATTCACACGCAATCATTGTATGTTTTAAATTTTCATTTGCATAACTCAACATAGAAATACCCCTTTACACCTCGAAAAAATGAGTTGCCGAACCCAATAAAGAAATACCAACATATATCACAGAAAAAGATGTCATTACCCTTCCCAATATACACACTCCCCTTTACACCCCCAGAAAAATGGGTTACCTGAACCAGTTACAAATACCCTTTCATATCCCAGAAAAATGGGCTAACCAACTCATTTCTTGCTGGTACCAGCCCTGGGTATGAATAATGAACAAGACTTAAGCAATAACTTCACCCAACTAAACCTAAATTGCTGCAGCTGCGTCACATGTACAAATCATAAAAGTTCACTTATAATAAACGTACGTAACATGTAACACATGTAATAACTCAGCGTATGTAGCACGTAACACATGCAACAACTAAACGTGCGTAGCACGTAACACATGTAACAAATAAACGTACGTACCACGTAACACTTGTAACAACTAAACGTGCGTAACACCTAACACATGTAACAACTAAGCGTACGTAGCACGTAACACATGTAACAACTAAACGTACGTAGCACATGTAACAACTAAACGTACGTACCACGTAACACTTCTAACAACTAAGCGTGTGTAACACCTAACACATGTAACAACTAAACGTACGTAGCACGTAACACATCGAAAATCCTACTCATAAAGGAATGTCTTAATCGATAAGTCTGTGACGCAATCTTGGGGCCAGTTGCAAAAATCTGGATAACTTCCTTCATTGGAGAGTCATTTTTTGAAACTTATGAAAAAAGTGTGGTTATATTTTCTTTACGAAAAATGAAACTTTGTAATTCTAGAACTAATATTGTATATCGCTGATTGTCGAGTTCAAACCGTAGATTTTTTCCCTAAACAAGAGATTTTTGAAGCGTTCAAAAACATTGCTATCCAGTAAACTCTGTAGTATCTAGCTTCAGGACAAGTTCGGTAGTCAATGAAAACCTGCTCAATTTTTCTGCACAAACTAACAAACAAAACTAGTCAAGAGAAGCTTGTTCGTCAATGTGTGTGTCGATTTATCATTCACTTCGTCGTAGAGACAGCTTTTCACAATCCGAAGAAAATGGCGTCGTCATCGCGTTATGCTATCTTTCTGACATTTTTTCGATTGCATGATAAATTCCGGCTACCACTTTTACAATATTGCTGAATGGCAAGAGAAATTTCAAACTCATGCCACATCATCTACCTGATTCAACTCTAAATTCCGTCAATTTATAAGTATTGTACTGCAATGTCATAACACTATATACACGCACTCTCAATTCTCACCATTTTGAAAACCTATCTTTTTCTACAGGATGAACACGAGGTAGCATGGACTGCCTAATCGCCTCTTCGGTTGAACATACATAGTTTTCTAGCTACAGAATTACACAGAATATGATTAAAAGTACTTATACAGTATGTATACATATATAAAAACCACAGCAGGATTTGATTTTCAACTACTTCCACAAAGAAAGTTTATCCCGCCAACATTTCAAATCTACAATCGCCATCATTCATATACATTAGTCTCTATAATGTGTTAAACCGTTACGCTGTTAGTAAGTACCTGATTAGAGTAGCCATATCCCAGAGCTCCATACGCGAATGCAAATTCAAGTTCAACGGTACCAACTTTCTAAACATTATATAAAGCACATTCACATGCATTGATTTCTAATTTTTTCGCCGTGCAATAGAAATTGTTGAGAAAAATTTTGGCAACTTTTTAAGTCATTTTTATATAGCGAATGAGCGCTAAAACTCGACTACATTAACTCGATTACGTTGATTAACTTGACTACAGTCCTGGCAGGGAAACTACTCTACAATAGTCGCAGAAGTTCTTGGCGCAGAAGTTCAGCGACCGTAATGTTAATAGTTTCGTGATAGTACCGTAGTATTGGTAACGCAGTCTTGGTACCGTGCTATTGGTAATGTAGTCTAGGAACGTGGTTTAATCTTGTCGTTACCGTAGTCTTGGTGACGTAGTATTTACAGCATGGTCTTGGTACTGTAGTATAGAGTGTTTGCATTTGACGTCAAAACAGCCATGTTGGAGGACTACATCAAAGTGCCGATTTTCAACAGAGCGTGAGATTAACATAAATTCCTTTTCATTATATGGGATTTTCCTCCAACATGGCGACCGATGCAAACACCCTACTGACACCATAGTCTTGGTAACATGGTTTGGCTACAGTAGTCTTGGTGACTTAGTATTTATACCGTGGTCTTGGTTCTGTAGTATTGATACCATGGTTATGGTACCGTAGTCTTGATACTGTAGTATTGATACCATGGTTATGGTACCGTAGTACTGGTACCTTAGCGTTTGCACCGTAGTATTGGCACCCTAGCATTGGTACTATAGTAATGGTTCGCAGTTTTGATACCGTAATCTTGATGCCGTGCTGTTGACATCGTATTCTTGGTGACGTAGTAATTCTACTTTGGTTTTGTACTGTAGTATTCACACCATAGTCTTGGTATAGAAGTATTGATACCATAGTCCTGACGTCGTGTTCTTGGTACCGTAATCATGAAAACATCATAACGCCATTGGTTGAATTTTTCGGTATTTTTACAGTAGTCACAACGAAAGCGGTTAAAGAGTTGAAAGAGACTAAAACAATGCGGTTTATATATTATATTATAGTGCTCAAAATCATTTAGTATGACAAAGCGTTAGCAATCAACCACCTGTTTTTTTCTGTTCGTCAATTCATAAGATTCCATGGACCAGCCAATCTGTGAACAGCAATTCAAAGAAAATTTAAGTGCAAAGGTAATCGTTCAACATTTCACAAACACAAGACAAAAATGCGCTAAAGGGAAAGGGGGAAAACTGTCGGTGAATTGTTCGAAGACGGGTGCAGAACTCAAACTAAAAATCGCCAACCGCGTTAGTCAAGCACCCGACAAACATTAAATATCATTTCTTAAAGTTTTAGTGGATGATTTCAATTTTACTGAATTCAATTCAATTCGTACGCTCGTTGCAAATTCGTTCTCTGACATTGGCATTGCCAGACTAAGGGGATGATTACATGAGCCCAGTAGCCGGGATTCAGCCAAACGTTTATTGATTTTGGCATATGAAAACGACTTAATACTTATCATGAGATAAATTTTCTCAGCAATTTCACAATATTCGGATTTAATAAGTTCTCAAAACATTTAAAATTAAAACAACCAAATTGCCCTTATTTGAGAATTACAACCGGAGTGACGTGTGGTTTATTCGCAAACAGTTGTAATTTTTAACCTTGAAGTTTTGGCTCCTTTCAATCCCTTGAAATTATCGGGCTAGCTCGCTATCCGCGCCAGCTCGCCTCCATGTAATCAGGCCACAATGGTATATATAAACTTATGTCCCGTGCGTCATATTCGAGGCTTTTTTTGTATTTTGGCTAAAATAAACTTGTTACAAAAACAAAGAATGTAAATTTATAGTTTTGCAAAGTTCCGCTACAAAAGCGCGATGAAAAAGCGAATAAAATAATCGTTTATAAAAATACTTCCTCGCAACGAAATGGGGTTAGCGTTCCCATCCAATACGACCAAACGAGCAAATTATAAAAAAAGAAAAAAAGGACAAACAGCAAACCTTCACCAATTTGTGGAGATGAAAACTGACTTTTCCGATCATTTTGAGCTTATTTTTATTATCCTTGTGAAAACCAAGAACAGAAAAGACGATTTGATTCGACCAATGCTTCATTTGTGAGGCAATCTGTTGTGAGCGAAAAATGAAAACGAGTTCATGGCATTTGTAAACACATGTATAAAGGTTATGGAAAAATTCTTGATTTCAACATTTCAAGATTCTGGGTTTCTCTGTTCTCAGTCACGCAATCCACAGTGGCTCAAAATTCGTTCATCACATTATGATGATCAATGGAGTGAAAGCAAATGATAATGACCGCAATATAGAAAGCACATTCTGAGAACTAGCTTTGTACCACCTTGTAAACTCAAGATTCGAGTTATATTAGACAATTACTTGGCTTGATCATCCCTTTGAAATAAAGTCGACATACAAAATCTTGCTTATAAATCTTATCCCCCGTAAATATAACTCAAATCTCGAGCTTACAAGATTACGCATTTTGGTGTATTATGTATAGCCCTAATTTCCGAAATATTTTGAAATATGTCCATTGTTGAGTTTTCCTCGAGAGGAAAACAATGTCTTAAACATATCTATAATGAAAGTGAATGTCTTAAACATATCTATAATGAAAGTGAATGTCTTAAACATAGCTGTAATGAAAGTGAATGTCTTAAACATATCTATAATTAAAGTGAAGAGAAAAAAGTGTGTTCCACGAAGACGGACGGTATAAGGCTACCAAACACTATCTCAAACAAAGCGACAGGGCTGTTCAAAGTTAATTGTCGTGGAAGCCGATTTGGGTCACCGAAAAAGATGTTTGCGTTTACCAGGTTTAAGCGAATTTTTAAGATTTCAGTTACAGAAGTGGTCGAACTACTTCTACACTAATAAAAAACTATAAAAAAATTGGCAAAATTTTGTTGAGGAGTTTTAAGACTGAAATCTGAAAGGCGTTTACGACTTTGATGCTGAATAGTAAAAAAAATCATAACCAAAATTTTATAGAACATCCAAATTTTATAGAACAAACATGTATATTTGAACATTGCTGCAGTTCATAACTAAAGCTGGAAGAACCACGCTTGTAATTCTATTATCTGCAGTTGTTAGCTATCTGCAACCATGTCTACATCACCGACTTGAATATATTAGGAGAACTTATACTGCATAAGTAAGCTCAAAGTTACTATAAAACTTTGCATAAAAGCCAAATTAGGTTGAGACAAAACTACTATTATCACAAAAAGCCACGGAAGTGTGACCATTTATGCAACTTTTTTACTAGATTCGGTGGGTTTTGCACACTCGTTCTGAAATATGCAGCTATATAAAGCGGACGGCAGAGTCTATAAGTTCATGAGACGAAATCTGTTAAAAAATATTTGCATGTAGCTATAAGGCAACCCAGGTTTCGTTACCGCAATTTTGGACAGCCTAAGCTGCCCACGAATTATTGAAGCAAGAAAAGCATATTTCGCGAATGACGATAAGGATGGCGAACAAACATAACGAAAAAGACTCCATTTGTGTTAAACATCTTTGAACTTGGGCTTTGAACGAGAGCTATATGCTCGTCTTGTTCACTGTTTTACTTTACTACGAAGCAATCAAAACACTGGATTACGGAAAAAAGCGACGAAGTGATCACTAGTGTATAAAGCGCCGACAGAACGTGGACGGGGACTGGGTGCAGTTAACTTACACCGACAGGAAGATTGAGGACTTCGTTCCATAAAATCTTTCCCTTTTTTTTCCGCATGGTCTCTGACGTGTTCTTTGCCAAAGAACCAACGGATATGTTGCCATACAGTCGATAGGTGTCCGGTATCGAGTCACCGTCCATGATCAGTTGCTGACAGCCAAACACGTGAACGGAGAGAACACCAACCTGTCGGGGTGGAAAAAATGCATTGAAATGCTTTGTATACTATAACTCAAGGCTAGAAAGCAAATGTATAACTGGAAGACTTGCTAATATTACACATACACACCTCTTATGCCAAATTTAATCCTCATGATGACGAATTAGGATAGTAATGCCATACTATACTATCATAGTATACCCCTGTGAGTTTATCTTAAGAGTAGTGCACAAGTCTAGTTCATAAGATTGCATTATGATCATACCAAAGACATTGTAAATAGTAATTAACTTTGGTGTAACATGTAAACAGTGATTTTCTTATGAATGTGCAAGACCTTCACAATTGGTTCATTCTGCTTCACACAGTTTAGTGAAATGATGCATCATTTGAAATTTTGACGCCAAGAAAAAGGCAGAACATTTTTCTCAGCCACTCACAGATGCTGTATTATAGTAGAGAAAAGACTTGCAGATATATAATAGTGACCAGCGTAATTCATTTATACATTGCATTAGTGAATCTACATAATACTCTAGTTACTGGTAATCTGGACCCAATCATTGCAAATTTATACCCCAAGAACTACTCACGCTAGGGAGAGCCAAAAAGAGTCAAAAATGCATTCCATGTAACCATCCATACATTAGAAATTTATCATGCATGGTATTTTTCATTAATATTATTATAGTACTTACCGGTATGTTGGCATCTAGTGTGAGGAAAGCATCTTCTCTGTCTTCGATTAACAGTGTAGGATTGGCCTCAACTTCACCTTCATTAACTTAAGTTCAAATGAACGCTTTCAACAGTCGTCTCATTGTAAACATATACAAAAATTGAAGTTTTAGGACTCGTTTCATCCAAAATGGCTGTCGATTGTCATGACACAAAACAACAAAACAACACAACACAACTTTATTTACTGAATTGCGGAGTTTAATTCATTGAAGAAACTTACCATCATTACGCTTCATCTGTTCAAAATGTGACAGCAAATGTTTATTTTCAATAATTCATTTTGTCCTTTTTTGTTTTGCAAAAGCAAAATAATTTGACTGTTGTTATTTTGGGACGTGATTTATTTTGAATTTGAATTTGAAGTAAGCGCTTACGAGCCAACGCTACGGCAGTCACCAGTCAGCTGCTATTCGTCATATTGGATGCGCTACACGCTGCACGCTTCAGCATATTTTAAATTTACAATCAAAAATTCATTATTTTACACATTTTGAAGAGTTTTTGAGAAGAAGTAAGCAAATCTTTGGTAAGACATGTCGGTGGATCAAGAAATGAAAGACGCCCAAAACGGTTTGGATGAAAAAAAAGAACGTTCAAAAGAAGAGCTCTCTAAGGCAGAACTTGAAAAACTAGCTCTTGAAGGCAAGTCTTTGTTCATACTTTTAATAGTATTACTAGAAATAGTTGTGGCGCTTTCACCTTCTGTAGTTATATCTTCTCGACTATTCAAGTGGTCGATGCTAGTCTAGTATTAAACTTATCAAATTTTTTGGGGGTTTAATTTAGTAATATTAAGTAAATAATATCTAAAGTAAATAAAGTTAATTTTTATATCAAGTATTAAGTAATATATTTATTTATAATAAATATATATATATATAATACTACAATTCTTTTATTGTTACTAATATGCCAAATGAAATCATCAGGTAACTTAAAGTAGTAACAATAGGAAGATTTGTTTTATTTTGAATAGATAAATAAACATTTGTTGTACTTTTGTATTGAGCACTCTTTTTTTATTCACAGAAAGAATTAATTCATATATATATAATATAAATATATATTGTTAAGCAATTATGCAGTATAACTACAAGATTTTTTTGACATGAATTTACTCGAGATTTTTCTTTTGATCTTCCATTTTTTAGACTTCAAAGAGCATGTGAAACATGTAGAAAAAGGTGTCAATAACAAAGAGCCACATTTCATTTTGAGGGTTTTGAGATCTCTTGCTTCTGCAAGGAAAAAACTGAATCATTTTTTGTTACGAAAACTTATTTCAGGATACTTCATTCAAGGTAGTTTTCCTTGCTCCTATTTCATTCCTTATCTTTGAATACTTATGATGTTTATGCAAATTTCTAATGTTTTTGTACATCTTATTGTATAATTGTATTATCTTTCTGTTATGATTTTGTTTTGTTTGTTTCGATGATGTAAGTAAACATTAAAATAATACGAAGAGTGTTCAATATAAATAAAATAGAGTAAATTGAATTTGTTTTCAGCATCCCATGCAAAGAACGAGCTTCTCAAGTTCTTAGATGAGGTATGCACATTCAAAATTTTCAATTGGTTTAAGGAGTTTAGGCCAACCAGACACTATACTATAGCCTGTTGTATGTTTGATGAGAAGACAAATGTAATTGCTTTGAACTTACAGTATTTGGCCTGCTGTGTTACATAAACTACTTGTCTTGTTCATGCTGTCTTGTACTCATGCTGTTAAACTTATAGATACATTGGTGAATTTTTGGGAAAATATGAGTAAAGTTTGACTTCGTTACCTATTATGACTTCATATTACTATTCTGCCACATCAATTTCATGTTGCTTTTTTGTCTGGATGTTCATTTCATTATTCAAATGCTTTTCGAAAAGCTCCTGCAATATCATTCTCTTAGTCAACTCAGTAAGATTCCAATTTTATTGGATGATTGAAATATGAACTTAGAAACAAACTTTTCTTGCAACACAGCAGAAAAAACTATTGGTGAATTGATAAACTTTAACAGTTTATGCATAGAGCCTCCAGCCAATTGCAGTTGTCATTTATCATGAAAATATTGAACACGCAGTAATGCCATTTTGTTCACAATAATTATGTTTAAGCATGTCATTTTCTACCGTGTAGTTGACTTGTTTCAATTCTACTTTTTAGCCAATGGAAACTAATTTATCTGTGCCTTATCGGCCTCGAACTGGGAAAGCTGCATTGATGCCAGTACTACCAGAAGTGGAATTTTATTTTCATCTTTTAGTTGTGATTCATTTGATTGATACAAAGTCTTATGAACAGGTGAGCAAGGTGACTTCTGTGCAAAGGAAAACAGGGATGGATTTGCAGGATAATTAAGGGCTGTCAGGAGGGTTGCCAACTTCCTTATTTCAACCGATACAGGACAACCAGACATCTTTCTCACAAGAAATAGTCATAAAACACCCTTGCCTCCTAGTCATTACTTAACAAATAAAAGGTGTTTACTATGTTTGCACAGGCTTATGCAAACTGAAGAGACCTTCGGGAGAACTAGAGAGCTGATCAGTACAAGTCCAAGACCGAAGGCTGAGCACCTGCTTAAGAGTTCTCACAAACATCTCTGAAAGCTTGCATAAGCCAGTGCAAACACGAAAAACATCTTTTATGTTTTCTTCTTTTATGAAATAAGAAATGATGAAAACAGACAACTTTAAAACAAATGTTTTAATATTTCCTTCAACATGTATTCATGATTGATTTGCAAATTCTCTTTGATTGATTGATTTGATTGGTTGAGCTCAAATCGTTTTGCACAGGCTAATGCAAACGCACGACCAATCAGCGCACGCGTTTTATTGCTTTTATTTTATAATTACGTATGTTGTACCTGCATGGTTCGGATTAAAAAAGAATTGTTTTTCCTTTCTTGTTTGCCTAAATACTTCGCAAGCTTCACATTCGATGCCCAAATAATTTCTATTCTCAGGCGCTAAAGTGCTCCACATTGCTTTTGAAAAAATCGGAGTTACACAACAGGAGAACGTTAGATCTCATCTTGGCGAAATGTTACTTCTATCACTCGAGAGCGTATGAATTGCTTGACAGATTTGATGATGTCCGCAGGTTTGTAATTTGCGCAATTGCCGACTCACTCTAAGCAGTTCTTGATTCACCTTTACGGACGTGCTTGACGTACGTTTGTTTGACGCAATTCCTTGTTTGCGCCTGCGGGTGTTGTTGGTGATGGTGAGCGGTTCTCCCGCCACGTGTGTGATACGTCAAATTTATCCTGTAATTCTGTTGACTTTCGTGGCTTCATGCGTAGACAATAGCTACTGTTGTTATGGTTTTTCACCGTCCTTTTTAGACATACCAACGCAAATGTGCTACGCTACACGTGATCCATTAAAATGGATCTTTTCTGCGTTTATTTAAAGTGCTACACTTTAGGACCGTATATAGAACGTTAATCGGGGGGTGGGGGTGGGGTGGGGGGAGATTATGTATTCATATATTCATTTGTGCCCGACTGATTTCTTTCGTTATCCCCCCCCCCCTAATTGACGTTCTTCTACGGGCCTACTGCACTCTGTAAACTTTAATATGGCAATGTAATTAAAAACTCGTGTTAATACATCCAATATCCTCCTAATTTAAACTGAAATAGACGTACATAGTTATGACACGTCATACGAGTAGTTCAGAAATGTTTTCGTTCCATCATTTAAGAGAATTATCCTATTGGTGGTTGTGGCGGTAAGCCAAGGATGTATTTTTTTGCGATAAGCAAACTATTAACGGTGTTGAGTGCATGACTTAAGCAACATAGTATATTTATATCTATCCAACAATCGCTTGCTGTTCTTTGACAATCGACTTTCAGTCTTTAACCTTAAACGTTTTCATCCTGTTGCAATCTCAAACTTCAGAAAAAATGGGTCTTATATTGTTGATGGTTACTATATTTGGAATAGCGTGCGCTGATAGTATGAGCCATAAATTACGTAATAGACTTCAAACTTCTACGTGAAGTCTGTTTTGTACGAGGATTTTGCTCAGTTAATTGAGCATTTTTATCACTTCTCGCGAAAAGTAATGTTCGAGCCCGCAATTTACGTTTGTGTTTGTTTTATAGTTTCTTCCACCACAAACTTCGAACGGCGACATTGAGGCACAACATCGAGGGACAGGTTAGCTAGAACTCAGAGGTTTTGGACCGCCTATCTGTTTCCATTTTTTTCCGCACATCGTACCGACTCTCTATTCGTTTATTTAGGCTACCATTCTCAATTTGTTATTGCGAAATTATCTTCACTACAATCTTTATGATCAGGTAAGATTTGCATGTTTACGTGTTTACGTTGTTCTGGCGACGTCATTTCTTATTTAGGCTCTGACAAGAAAAAAGTTTGCTTTTTGTATAAAGTTTTGGAATTATTATTTAAACCTACGTGTACAAAGTTTACACAATAAGCTTTTTGTGACCGCCGCCAAAATGCTTGGATGAATTTCAAAAATAAGGAGCTAGCTATTTGAGAGAACTGAAATTGTGCTCAACTCACGCTTAAAGTTTTGTTAAACGAAGCTTGTAGTCGATGAAATATGTCCTTAAGTTAACTTTAGATGCATAGTTTTTTTGGGTTTTTTCACCTATAGGTGATAGTACGCATGTAGTTGATGCGAACTGTACTGTACATTCCAATGTAGGCTGATAAGCTTGTCTCGAAGTCTTCCTTCCCGGATACTGCATCGAACAGTGAATGGGCAAGATATTTATATTACACAGGCATGTATCATTGTGTATTTTTAATTGATGAAAAAACATTGACACCCGCGAGGCAACCCACTTCCTATGGCTAATACATTTTATTCAATTCTTTGTTCACTAAAGGAATCATAAAAGCAAAACAGCTGGATTATTCTGAGGCACACAAGAATCTAATACAAGCGATAAGAAAAGCGCCACAGTTCTCAGCTGTCGGATTTCGGCAAATTGTAAGAATCATAGCAAGAAATATGCTAGTGTATCTTTAATTCTGTCTTTAAAATATTCCTGGTTAAATTTGAAATCGATACACTAATTGCTACGTACTCTGTTGTGAATTGGCTACCTGTCCATGCAAAGTTGCATGTACGTCTGTAGCTGATGCTAAAAACATGCCAATTTGGTCTGCCGAGTTTGAAATTTAAAAACTGTTGTCTTGAAATCTAAAACAGTGCAAGTTGTCAGTAAAAAGTGAGGCAAATGAGTCATACTGGGATGAAACAGATGCTACTGTTGTTGCTAGGATAAACCTTTCGCAATGTTCGCATGTGTTTAATTGAGATCAAACCATTTTTACTCCAACAGGCGCAGAAGTTTGCGATTGTTGTTGAATTGCTTCTTGGTGAGATTCCAGACCGAGCTACGTTTAGAGATCACGCCCTAAAAAAGACATTATTTCCGTACTTCCGACTGACCAAAGGTTAGCTGTGTTTCATTGTTTGTATTCATATTCAATGCTGGCTTTTGTTTTTGTGGACGACTGTGCAGAAAAACCGCGAAAAACTCTTGTTCATTTCTTACGGCAAACCATTTATTGTCGACTTTTGTATATTGAGTTTTTCTTCACAAGAAAAACATTAGGGTAAAATGTATGGTGAGGTTTCACGTTGGTACCATTTAAAAAATAAAAAAAAGCTTCCGTGCATTAAACCGGAAACTCTCTCCACAAATTCGCACTCTTCAAACAACTTTTTTTCGAAAATTTTTGTATCAACAGGTCAAATCAACAGCTCTCGGGGCCTGTTGCATGATACTCGGATAGTGCTATTTTAAGATCGAGACTTTCAGGCATAAGCTTATGTGAGCTTACAAGCGATTTTGGAAAGATGGAAAGAATTACTGTCGGGTACATAGGTTTAAATATCTGGGGTCGGTTGCACGAAGCCTGGATAGTGTTATCCATTGGATAGCAAAAATTTTCAAACTTGTAAAAAAAGTGTTTGTATTTGTCTTACGACAAAAAAATTCGTGATCTTCGAAGCAATATTTTATTTCAGTGATTGCTGAGTTCGAATCTTATATTTTTGCTTTTTAAAAGGTTCTTTTAAAGTTTTAAAAATTGCTATCCAATGGATAACGCTATCCAATGGATAACGCTATTCAGTCTTCGTGCAACCGCTCCCTGTTCTTCGAGCAGCCAAGCCTAGAGTTGCTGCGTTCTTACATTTTCCTAAGTGACTCAAGTGTTCGAACCATTACTTTATCGCTGTCCGGGTATATTGACAAAATTTTCATAAAGAATTTGTGATGCGCTGTGCCGTGTATTGTGTTATGAATTTTTTGAAAAATATGAAAAGATTCAGCGTTTTTACAAGCGTCGTCCATTTGGGTGTGATTTTGAAGGTTGCTCTCGTTATTTCATTTAGCTGTGCTTGCTGGAGATCTGGGCCAATTTAACGATGTCATCGTAAATTACAAAGAAAAATTCATTGCCGAAAAAACATATACCTTGATAATTAGGTAGGTTTGAATCATCATCTTGTTGCATGTTGAAGATTTTACGGCTGCACTAATTACAGGAAGTAATGATTGAGCTAAGTTTAGGATTTTGGTCTTCGAGTGGTCTTATTCATGATAAGATCGTTGAAGGACTCGAAAAAACGGATTTTCTCCAGTCCAGAGTCCGTCATATCATGAATAAATGAGCTTTCTTGATCTGCCCAATGTACTAGAAATCTGACTCCTCTTAAATACTGTATCTACGAGTTAGGCAAGCCGCCATCTTGAAATGCGGCAAAACTTGCGATATGTGTTTTGCATACTTACGTTTATGTATAGTTTCAAGGATTATCCCCGTATTCTACGTAGGACGTTGATGTATAGTTGCAAGGGTTATCTACGTGGGACGTTGATGTATAGTTGCAAGGGTTATCTACGTAGGACGTTGATGTATAGTTGCAAGGGCTATCAACGTAGTCTACGTAGGTCGTTGATGTATAGTTGCAAGGCTTATCCACGTAGTCTACGTAGGACGTTGATGTATAGTTGCAATGCTTATCCACGTAGTCTACGTAGGACGTTATGTCTAGTTGCAAGGGTTATCCACGTAGTCTACGTAGGACGTTATGTATAGTTGCAAGGCTTATCCACGTAGTCTACGTAGGGCGTTATGTATAGTTGCAAGGCTTATCCACGTAGTCTACGTAGGTTTCGCTTGTAAAATATTCGATAGGATCGGTTTGATTTTGAGTCTCGCTTTTTGCCACCTTACAAGATGGCGTCTTTGCCTCACCTTGACACGGCTGTCATGCACACATCTTTGGATGTGGGTAAAAAATAATTGGCCATGAAATATAAACTTCGTTTGTAATATTAACTATGAATTTCAGATTGCATCACAATGTGATCAAAACTGGCATACGCATGATCAGTCTTTCGTATTCCAAGATATCCCTAGAAGATATTGCCGCGAAACTGCAGCTCGATAGCCCCGAAGATGCCGAATTCATTGTAGCCAAGGTATGGCGTAACACCCCCATCCCTCTTGCATTTTGTATTTAAAGGAGTTGATGAACTGACAAGGAGTACAATACAATCAGAAAAGAAATTTTGAGCCGAAAAGTGTTAGCGCGATTTGTCACATGTCTGTACAAGATGAACGACCTTTCCTGTCGACCTTTCCAAATCATACTCCCGACTACAAAAAGATAACATATACTCGACTCAATTGTGATTGTTTGGTTTCGGTGCATGTAGTGCATGTAATGCATCTAATAGCAGTGCTATCTTAGTAATAGTGCAAAAATAGGTATGACTGTGTAAATTTCCGCGATAAATTTTTTGCTTCATTCTAACTAATAATATGGAAAACATACATGTAGCTGCATTTGGAAAAAAACATGAACTCGTTTATTTAAGCAAAGTTGCAAAAAATAGCACTTATTCTTTCGACTCCACTTGTGATTTAACGTGTTTTTAAAATTGTACTCGAAACGGTACTGTTAACTTAAAAATTTACTGATACAAACGTAAGCCAACTAAGCTGCCAGACCAGTATGCAAGCAAAGAAATTATTGTAGTAGATGAGTACAGTCCTGAAAAAGGGCTGTTGTTGTTAGTGTCGACTGACGTTTCATCATTTTTATGAGGATGACTCTTAGGAGGACCAACGCTTACGATGTCGAAACGTCAGTCTGCATCAACCCGCAAACCATCTTTCTCTGGACTGCACTAACCTGCCCGATAAACAACCACAAACATGTAGCGATACTCCTTGTTTCAAACCATTTGCTTTAAAACAATAAAATGTCCTTGAATTTTTAGATTTGTCGCCCTGAGAAAGTCTCTGTTTTAGTGATGACTTTTCCAAAACAGTGATAGGCACGTGGCCAGAACTATAATTGGCGGTGGGGGGGCATATTCATACGTATATTCATTTTATAATCAGTAAAAAACGATGAATTTCAAAAGAAACTATCATGACATGTCATGCTTATATGAATATGCCCTCCTCCAATCATCTTCCTGGCTACGTGGCTGAACAGTGAGCGTAAATAAAAGGACGTTGCGGAAATCTGTCCTCGTGTTGGTCCTTGGTGTTGCATTTTTTCACGTAACAATTTTGTTATGCTTTTTTCGTGTACAGGCTATAAGAGATGGTGTGATTGAAGCTACCATTGATCACGAACAAGGCTTTGTGCAATCAAAGGTATGGCAATTGTCTGGTCGTTGTGACTATTTTTTCAACTTTGCGTAATACCCTACGTATCCTGTTTTTTTTCATATTGCACTCTAATATTTATCCCAGGAAATTATCGACTTATACTCCACCAACGAACCGCAAGCTGCATTTCATCAAAGAATCGCGTTTTGCTTGGACATATACAACCAATCGGTTAAGGTGACGTATTATGTGCTTTCATTTTGCCATCTCTGTATAACTGTCTTAAAACATCACGTAGCATTCGGAACAAAAAAATTTCGAATTTGCATCAGTGACTACTTTGCATAGTTTCCTGGGTTTTATCCTCAACGCACTCTTCTTTTGAACTTAGGCGATGCGTTTTCCACCGAAGTCCTATAATAAAGATTTAGAATCCTTGGAGGTAAACTGCTAACTTTTTGTGCAATTGATTATGTGTCGTTGTAGTCAAGTTGCCGCTCTCCAAAGCATTGTTTTCACATGGTGTGTCGAGCAATTCGTTCAAAACATTGAATAATGAGTTTCACGTAAATTAGTAGGAGTCGGACATGGGAAACTTCGGCGGCGTCAAGTCGTTGTATGGATGTGCAGATCGATAGATTGTTACTGCTTCGAAACCTACTTTGTCGTTTTTGAGTAGCCCGAACAAGGGCCGAAACGTTGATAGCGTTTTCCTTTTCTCTCTCAAGCTGTCGCTTGTGAATCGTGTGCATTTTAAATTGATAAGTTTTTTCAATCGTCCGTGGTGTTGTATATAGCTACAGTTGAAATGACAAAATGCAGATTAAATGAAACAGCTCTTGTGGCCTACTATTTCATAACAATTGAAAGTCTCGTCTAATTGTGACTTTTTTGCTGTTCCTCAAAAATTGCTCTTCCTGCGCCTTAAGATAGATTTTTTACGAGAATATTTTTGTGGAATATTGAAATCAAATCATTTCAGGAGCAGAGGGAACGAGAGAAACAGGATCTTGAATTGGCAAAAGAAATGGCCGATGATGACGAAGATTCCTTTCCGTGAACGTGGACCATATAATATAGGATCTCTCTCTTACCATTGTTTAACTTTTTATTCTTCTCATTTACAATTTTATCTAAACGAAATCCACTTTGTTACTTTTTTCATTTGTATCGAGCGTTGTTCTTCTGTTAAACAATTATGGAGCATTGAAAAGTGGAGGGTGACATTTGACTTTGTCACCTTTCTTTTTTTGAAGACATGATAAACTAGATAAGGATGTTAACTGGAATGTAGATATTGTTGTTGAAAGCAGATATAACCGAACGTGTTTATTCCCGAGCAAACATGTCGTGTCGCCAGAAACATTAATATGTTTGGCTGGAGTCTACTGTCGTGGAACGACACAGAGCTCTGCCACTTTTCTGTATGATACGATGGGTTAAGAAAAATGATTTCGTAGCATTTTGGTAGGTTTGGTTCTGTTCGTTTTGGTTTGTTGGAACTATTGTTAATTCACAGATGAATTCAATGGTCAGTAAAGTGCCTCTGTCTGACGGATGGGAAGTATGGATTGAATCAATCTTGACGTTGAACTTCTCAAAACATGGCGGTTTCAAGGAGTAATACTCCTCAGTTGTCGGATGTTTTTCTTTTGACGTGGTCAGTAGAAACGAAACACGATGTATTTGAGAGGTGGTCGCAAGGTGAGGATATATCCTAAAATTTAGTCCAACTGCAATATATTTATATGTCTACGATCACGGCATTGTCAATTGAATACTGAAAGTGGACGTTGACGTTTTGCTCTTGTTATTGAAATCGAATTTTTTCTTAGTGAATCGTGATGCACGTAAGTTTTTTCAAAAATCACTAATGCACCGTTAAATGTACTTTAGGATTTTACTTCAGTGATGATGAGCCAACAGCCTTAGTTCAAAATTGTGGTGGTCCTTGCTCGGTGATTGCATCAGTGCAGGTGCGTTGCTCAGAAAAAATCCAAGATTGTTAACTTTTAATGTGGTTTTTGTCATGGGTGATTTGGTGGTTTTGAAAGTGAGCAGAATACTTTTCATCTGGAATGAAGGGATAAATTTCTATTATATTATGAGAGAGGGGATGTAGTTTATTTAAATTGGCTTCTTCCTGTCTGTTTTTGTTTTCACTTTCCATGGCTTAATTAAGGAAGGCAATAATTTGAATGTCATTTTTTGAAATTTTATGATTGACAATAATAATTTTTCGAGACTCTATCATGCATTTATCAGACATCTGTTTTTTAACGGTGGTTATTCACAACATATGCATTGAAATAACATAATGCAATGCTGTCCTTACATGAATGCTTGCAGGTTTCACTTTCGTTATATTGCATATGATGGTGCTGGGCAAATATATTGAAATACCCATGAAAAGATTTCACTTGTCGTACGCTCTACATGTTTTTACATGACAAATGATCAAACATTTGCTTTAAGGCATGTTATATATTTTAGGCATGGGTATTATTTTAGTTTGTCATTTGTTATTTGAGTTATCAAAACTTTTGAAACTGGCAATTTCATACGTACGTAGTTTTGTCTCTTCTTTTTGCAAATAATGCTGTGAGATTGCTGTTGAAGAATTGACAGTTGTGCTAATACGTTTTCTTGATTCTTACACAATTTTTTTTTCAAATAAATATGTCCAGGCATATTTGGTGAGGCGATTGATATTTGAGAGGAAAGGATGTTCGGAAAATGATGATTGGCGAAAAATCAATGGTAAGATTTAAATGAAATCGACATAGGGTCTTGTTGTCAAAATCATTGATAGAGCTGGTCCCAGATCTCAGAACACAAATTTTGCCCCTGATTGTGTTTCATGTGTTAACAATCGTAAGAGAGAGAAAGTGCTCTGAGAAGACAAAATACTTTAACATGTTTCCTTTCTTTCAATGTTGAATCTCTTGTTATTAGACTCTTTCTACTTTGAACAGGTGTTATGCTTGGCATGAAAACTTGCTTTATTCAATTATGCAATAAAGATTTTTTGTATTTGTCAATTAGGCAAAGAGAGAAAGGCTGTGTTATGTCAAACACTTATTGATATCTGGAAACTAGTGGCTGAAAAAGATTACCAAGTCGTTTTGACCAAAAACCATCAGATAAATGAGGGAAACGAAAACCAACCAATGGAAATCGTGCAAACCGTTGGCGAGTCATCCATTCAAGGTTTGTATAAATTTATACAGTTTCACCTAGAGCTTACCTGTATAGCAAAAGACATGTAATTCTACAATTTTTATTTGAAATCATAATTATTGTAAGGTAGCCACGTTTAGCTTTCGTGATGAAGGTAACGGAACCCGGATGAAATTTTCTTAGCATTTCATCATTTTCATATGCAATTGAAAGAGTTTAGGAAAACATTTTTTTTGGAGATAGATGAACACTACGTACGCGCTGTTCTCAAAGCATCGTGGTAAATAACTGGTATGGTATACATTGGAATTTTCTGCCAATGAAGCCCACATAGCGATATCCACATATATAGCTATTGTACGTAACTTTTCCAATCGTGCTAAAAAGGTGGACACTATCACTGTATGATTTCTTTTTTTGCAGGCAGCTGGTAAGAGCGCTGTCTAGAGTCTTAGTGCGAACTAACTGCGCTAGTTCTTTATTCTTTAAATTCAAACCTACACAAATGCTTGAAACTTCCGGTCTGTGTAAATATTTGAAATGTTATGGGAGAAGTTGAATTTGTATACTTAGCGTTAAGTGGAACTATGGCCTTATTTGTCTCTGTCATGCGGAAAGTGTCCCACAAGTTTTAGCTACACAGAATTGGTTTACTTTTTATTAGTTTGCGCGGAGTTAGCTTTGTGTGCTTACGCGGGTAGCGCTGATATCTGAAATCTTAACATCTGACACTTCTGGTGGACATACGTATTTATCTGAGGATATCGAAACTTTGTCATTCTTGAATTAATGTGTCATTCTATTGATTCCCCTGTTTAAATGGTAGCCTTCTGCCTTCTAAAATTTTTTTGACACAATCGGAAAAGTACAATACTTTCCAATGTTCATATTGTGCTATCATAAACTACTATATGTTGGTAATGAGCCTAGTTCTGTGTAAATAGCTTGCTGCCACGATACCCTTCAGATAAAACTATTGATTTGTACTGAACAAATGCTATGATACTTGCTGCAACGGATTTTCCCGTGAAGCTACGTAAACTAGCTACCTACGATGATGATTTGAAAAAATGGCGCATGCATAATGTTCATTGAAAGTTCTCTTGCTTGATAATTTTTGCGAAGGATGACTTTTTGATTTGTAAATAAATATGATCGGGAAACATTTCCTTCAAATGCGTCGTGTGTGTTTTATGCGTGAGGACGACTTGCTTCGATTCAGAATTTATTCCATTTATCCAATCCTTCAATTCGTTGCTCTCTTCAACATTTCACAGTCTCCATTCGTGTACAAGCTTACATGAAAACTGAACTTAACAAAAAATATTACGTGGATATGAAATGCTTCCAAAAAAAATTCACAGGTGAAAAGACAAGTCAATCCACACGCGAAGACTATCATAAAAACATATGTTCCCAAACGACAGCTCAGACTAAAGATGATTTCCATTCTACCTTGAGGTATGTTGTACCCTCGTGCGTACTAATAGCTGCTAATTTGAAATTTAAAATTTAAGAAGCAACTTCAACAGTTCCATTGGTTATGCATTTCTAAAGAATGAAAATTAGCCAATCAAGGAGGTGTTATAATTTTATTTTGCTACGTTGCTGGATCTGCCCCTGAAATATTCGTTGATGTTTAGTGAGGAGAGTGGCGTGTTACTGATATCGAAAAAAACTTTTTCTAAACTATATCTCAAAACGTTATAAGCTCTTTTCCTTCGATATGTTTGTGCTAGAGTTGACCTCTTATTAGCATGATTAGTAACTCGATGAAAAATGCAGGTTTTGCCATGTGATGTACATTTTTCTGACCCCAGTTTTAGCCTTACGAGGCCAAAACTAAGATTGGCTTGTTCGACTGTCGAGTCTTATATTTGCGAGTTGTACCGACAAAAGTTAATTTTATGTATTGATTTTTTCACCAGGCAATTTTCCTGTTGTAAATCGGAGCATTTGGAGAACTTTATCACGAGAAATATTCATCAGTTCGAAGGAACATTTGGGGTTCTGTTGTTCTTATATTCCATATTATTAAGCAAGGTAATCTCACCCGCTTATACGAATGGACATCCATACATTACACACCCATAAACAACCAGGAACCACACACTAATAAGAATCCATAAATATCACACTTACGAACATCCATAAATTACACACACATACATAGACATCCATAGACCACGCGCTTACGAAAAAAATGTCAAGCATATTGATAATAATAATAATAGCTAATCTTTATTGAGGATACCAACATCACTAAAAAGTGGTTTACAGAGGGGTCCTCTAAAAAATGATAAGAAATTACTGTTATTTTATTTGAAAAAAATCAGTAACTTTATGTTTGAAAACAGTTTTATTTTTTTTTACGATAATTTCTTCCGGAATAGCGTTAAAAAGCAGATTTCCTTGGACACGATACATGTTTTTCTTCCATTTTTGCTTTCAACTTTCGGTAGTCTTAGTCTCTGTCGGTCTCCCCATGTGTTTTTTATCATGACCTAAAACTAGAAAATTGTCAATTAAGTTATTTGGCCTGTGACTGTGTATTGATTGGTGAACCTGTTTGACCATTTGTCCGTTTAACCACATTCACTTAATGTTAACATGATCCATCCATCCATACAGGGTATAAAAGAAATTAAGTCAGAAATGGACGAAACCGTTGCAAGTCCACTTATCGACCCAATTCATGGCCACGGTAGGTACGTAACATGTACGAATATTATTTCCTTTGATGCAGCGTCATGTTTTTTAATCTCTTTTTTCTTGTGTTTGAGATAAGGTTGTGTTGTTACAGCTTTGTGCACTGCTGTAGCAGATTTGTGCTGTGTTGTTACAGCTTTGTACACTGCTGTAACAGACTTGTGTTATGTTGGTACAGCTTTGTGCACTGCAGTAACAGATTTGTACTATGTTGTTACAGATTTGTGCACTGTTGTTACAGATTTGTGCACTGTTGTTACAGATGCGCAGTGAAGTATCATTTCCTGCAACGTGATTTCATTATTATGGTCATATGGAAACTGGGCGAAAGAGCTCATTGATACCGAAAACATTTTTTTAACATATCATCCAAATACTTTACAGCCAAAGCATGGTGAATCTAATGTTAACTGGCCACGCGGTATCTCATGTTTGGGACCTGGAACGAGATGTGGGCGGATTAAGTACGTCTTTTGTTTCATTTGGTGTGCCAGCGTTGTGACGACGTATAACCTAGGGCATTACTTTTGATTAGCTTTTGAGATATATTTAGGTCGAGCTTCAGCATTTCATTGCACCGATGGAATTCAACCCTAGGTCTTACAGCATACTGCTCTTGTAGAAAATAACGAAACAAATTTCCTTGTGCAAATTATGCACCCCCACCCCAATCACCATACTTGAAAATATATTGTTTTTACCACAATGCAACGCGAAATGCCTTGTCCGTTAGGTGAAGCGAGACAAACTGCAATACGCTCATTATATATGTTTGTTAAACAGTTAAAGTAACGAAATTTTGATGTTTGGTGAAACTTTTCTCATCCTTCATGTAGAATTAAAGGGAATACCGAAACAATCCAACATTGGTTTTCTCTCGTTATTGGAATCCATGCGATATTGTGAGGTACACGTGAATAGAAAAATATATAGTCTGAAAGCGCAAATACTGCTTTCGCGCATGATCGTCCGAGATTTAATCTCCTACGTAAAATCCATGGGTTTCTTTGAGTCCCATTATGTAACCAATCAGATTTGAGGAGTTTGAAAACGCCCGCGCTCAGCGTAAAAGTATGTCTTCATGTGTTGCATGCGTAGGTTTCTTTTAAGCCTAAAAGTTCTATCGTAAGCATTAATGTTTGACTTTTGTTACTTTTGTGACGTTTTTTCTCGCGATGAGGCCATGTATCGTCGTTCATTCACATTTTGTATTTTAAAGAAAATGGTTTGAACCCGGGAGTATCGTTACATGTTTGTAAATGTAGATCGTCCAGGTTGGTATAGTCCTGAGAAGGACTGTTTTTGTTGTTGTTGACTGACGTTTCGACAACCTTAGCGGTAGTCATCTTTAGAGTCAAATATACCAACCTGGATGATCTACATTTTGTATTTTATAACCATGGGTGAAATAAAGCGTGCATATGAAAGGAGAATATTTCGACTGTCAACAGTCCGAATTTCCTTCATCTACAGTATATAGTATATCAGTCTGATCAAAACGAGTACTTCTGGGGTAGTTTTGCTGTATTTTATTGCTAATTCTTTTGAATCCTTCTCCCTTTTCTCAGTACTAAAAATAATTCGTTATTTTCGAACTTAGCCGCATGAGCAATGGACATTGTGCTTGCGTATAATTGGTGAGATTGTTCTCATTATTCACGTCTAGGTCGGCAGCTTTTTAAAATGTCCGAAACATCCAATCTGGCTGCTGGCCAGCGAAACTCATTTGACTGTTCTTTTAACCAAGGTAAAGATAGTCATTGAAAAAATCGTGGTTCACAGAGTTACTTTAAATATTTTTCCATTAGCCAGTGAATTTGAAAGTGTGGAGTAATGTTTATGATATCAGTTGCTGATGAGCTGGCGTATTTACTTTGTGCAATATCTTTTGTGAAAGTTCCAGGCCTACACTTAATAAAACGAAAAGCAAATTTGGGGTTTTGGCAATTTTACTTATACCTAGTGTAGTTAATCGTGCATTGTCCTAAGTATTTAATGTTTTATTCCACCAGCAAAAAGTTAGAGATTGTTTAGCTGTTTTTCAATGTAATAACTTCACCATTCTATCTTTACTATGAGGCTGCACATCTGATAGTATAGTGAAAAAGCAAGACTGAAGAATTATTATTGTTGCGTGCGCAGATTAACAGAAACGCCTCTCTATGTAGATGACGCTACCCTGCTGTCATTTTAGCACGTGTGTCGAGTATACAGGGATGGACATATTTTCCCATCAACAAACACGCATATTATTAAAATAGACATAAGACGAAGTGAATACACTAGCATCAGAAAAGCGGACCATTGAACTAAACACAGTGTATGTTTTCTCGTCGAGATTGACAAGGAATTGGTTGTCAATAGACACTGTGTAGAGCGAGTAGTTGGGTTGTAAACATTCAGCACTTATGAATAAAAACATTCGACTGCGAGTCATACTTCGATTTTTCATGTCTGATTTGCCTAGTTTCATTTCATTTTAGTCATTTTGAAGTAGATGAAATACCATCGCCTACTGTTTTTTTTTGTATATCTACACGTTTTGCTTTTTATTTTGATTATGAAGTTAAATCTATGAGGTGCCTATTTTTGGACAAAGTGATATTTATTTTTTTTTGTTTCTTGCAGGAAAATATTGACCGAAACAGACCAGTAGACATTGCTAGAAGTGTTTTCAAAACATACGACACTCAAGGTAGCTAATTGCAACTGCCTGTCGCAAAGATTATGCGCCAGAATTTGGAAACAAGTCAGCTGTAGTATTGGCAAATTCTTGTTCCATCATATAAAGCTACACGGCTACGTTTCAGCTTTTCCCTACTTAGAATAGAAAATACCAAAAAGTAAACTTAAATTGTATGTTTGATAACTTTGCAGAAAATGGATTTATTGAAAGAGAAAAACTGAAAGATGTACTTGAAGCTTTGGAACTCGAAACCGAACCAGATTAGTGAGTATCCTTTATTATGTAGAGACTGCATCCAAGCGAATTTTTTAGCATATTTATACAAAGTCAACGACTGATTTTTCTTTCGTCAGTGGAAATAATTATACGACACATCAAGACTGAACCTCTTTCATTCTCTCTTTAACTTTTTTTTTCAGTGTTGGCTTTATGCAAAATTATTTAGATCCAGACTCATCAGGAATTATTTTACTTCATGCGTTTCAAATGTTTTATCCTGAAGAGGTATGTGTGTGATATTTTCATATTTTATGCTGAGTAGAATAGTAGTAATCAGTAGGGAATATTTTTTGTTCATTCCCTGGTAAAACAAATAGTGGAAATTATTTCTAGAAGCAATGAAAATAATTTTTCTAAAAAAAATTTATTGTTGAAGTGGAAATGCGGTTTGGCTTCTCCGCATGCACATGTTGTTTGGGTTAGTGTTTTTTTAAATCATTCAAGAGAAAACTACAAAAATACGATTGAACTGTAGTCCAGGAAAAGATAGAGTGATTATGTTGGCACCGTTCGAAGGAAAAAGTACTCCTGACCTTCACAAACAAATGCTTTGCTACATAATGTGTTCTAATGCAAGCTTCGTCATGTACAAAGCTATGTATATCCGAGAAACTGCCTCTCTAGTCTCTCGACTTCAAACATCACAGGTGACACTCGATTTCCCTCTCCCACAAGATCATTTTGTTTTCAGCCACCTTCCCGGTTGTTGTCCATACCATATTTTGCTTCCTGGAGCAATTGTGCCTTTTTAACGTGCTTTCTCCAGTTCTCGATGTAATTGGTTTTTTAACTTTCTTGCGCATCAGCGTGCAACTCGTGAATTCTACTGATTTTCAATGCATCTCCAGCGTTCTCCTTTACCGTTCTATTTCCTGTCACCAAAATTTCATTCAAAATTTCGTTACAGTCAAACCTGTATAGTAGTGGACACCTTCGGGGGAAACGGGCTAGTGCGTGCTTAATTGAGGTGCCCATCTAATAGCGGTTGTCGTCACCAGGCCCTTCGTAAGGAGATAGCGTAAATATAGATCTTGTTGTATCTGTAAAAAATAGGAAATAGTCGAAAACTTTCGATTGAGGTTTCATCATTACGAATAATATGAGATTAAAATCGGGACTTTACGTGGAGTTTGCCTATATCACTTTAGTTGTGGTACACCATTTGACTTTTATGGCCTTTTTTCGTAATCCAATATCCATTTACTTCATCGTTGTTACTTAGGTGCTATAATTTTATTTTATTTTCGCTTGGCAATGTCTTTAACACTATTTTTAACGTTTTTTGTGTTCTTCTTATATAATGCCTTTAGCTCATTGTCGTCGACATTGTTGACAACCTGCCGTCTTATGTCACAATTCATTTCAAAATGGCTTTACTACGTTTCATTACTCTGAAAGGTCGACTTGTAAATTGCCAGTTGACTATGAACTTTTTTACATTTAGTTAAAGCCGGAAGCAGAATTGTGTGCGTGTAATATATGAACTCTTTTCGTGTATTTTAGTTTAGCTTGATGCTAGAAGAGTCGGACTTTGCAAAAAGTTTTCATGTTTATCATTATAACGGTTTATCAAAAAGTTGTGGAAAGGAAGATGGAAGAAAAAAGGTATCGATATCAATATAATCTTGTGAACTGTTGCTTGCTTACTGCATGAATTGTGACTTGCTTACTGCGTGAACTGTGACGTGTTTACTGCGTGAACTGTGACGTGTTTACTTCGTGACTGTGACGTGTTTACTGCGTGAACTGTAATTTGATTTCTGGGTAAACTGTGACTTGTTTAGGTCACGTAGTGAACTCCCACTTTTTTACTACGTGAACTGTCAACTGTAACTTGTTAACTGCGTGAATTTTTGACGTGTTAACTAAGTTAACGGTGACTTTTAAATTTTTTCTGCGTAAACTGTAACTTGCTTACTGCTTGAGCTGTGACTTGTTTACTGCTTGAACTGTGACGTGCTTACTACGCGAACTCTGACTTGCTTACTACGTAAACTGTGACGTGTTCACTGAGTTAACTGCTACTGTTACTGCTTGATCTTGATCTGTGATTTGTTCTCTACATGAAGTGTGATGTGCTTACTTGATTAACAGTGACTTGTTTACAGCTTAAACTGTGACTTTTTACCGTGCGAACTGTGAAACGTGACTTGTCCGCTGTGTGAAGTGTTTTAAAAGGCCTGTTCACACGATCCGATTTGTCGGATCCGATTATTTCGGTTCCGACTTTTGGTTGCTTCTTCAGACGATCCGATAATTTTGTCGATGCATTTATTCGTTTGGATATTTATAGTTTTGTGAACAGCCATTTGTGTTATCCAGTACATTTATCGATATGTTTATCGTATTTTTGTTCTTGTTTCCCAGTCTTTTTCAAATCTATGTAATTTGACCAGTCGGCCTCCTCTGATCTTGTCGGACGAAAATAGAGCAAGTTCTGTTTCCATCCGATTTTTTAGATTGACGGATCCGACTATCGGAGGCTCACTTTTTAATGTGCTCACACGATCGGTTTTTTAGGATCCGAAAAAATCGGATCGTGCGAACGGGCCTTTATACGTGAACTGTGATTTGTTTACTATTGCATGAGTTTCTATCTGTCTTATATTTTTGCTTATATTTATTTTCGCTGTCGTTTTTTCACGAGAGCTTTTTTGCCACTGACATATTCCACCGCAATCATTTATCCAGCAGTATGAGCATATATTTTACTTTTTCCGTATAGGTTGTGTATTCTGAAGGAACGTGTACGTTATTGTCTGGTGATGTCGTCTGTGTTTCTGATGGGCCTTTTTTAAACTGTCTAAGAACTAAATGGCCTAATGTGATTATTGATTGGAAAAATGAAGCCAAACCATCTCTTAACTAAAGTCTTCGTGCTAAATGTTTTGGGATGCTGCACGTACAGAAAGCATGCGTATCAATGTATTCATTTTAATGAAAGTAACTTGTAACGTTGTGGCATGTTTTATGTCGTATGACGACGTGAAACTGCAACATTTGATAAAATTTTATGAAAGATCACCGCGCTGGAAGAACCATATTCAGCCAAACTTTTTTCACTTTCTTCTCCATGCTAATTGTTTGAAGGCATGTCCTCCTATAACTCCGTGGTAGAATGAGAAACTCAGAACTTTCATTTTCGGAGAAGGGGAGTACAAGATTATTATGTTTTGGTTGAGTGAGGGTATCCCTGGGAACTAGATTATCATTTGGCTGGTCGTTTGCAGTAGCTATCTGTCTGGTCCTCCAGATATTTGTTAGCAACGAACACGGACATTTTTGATAAAATTTGTAGGGAAAGATGATGGTGTCGTTGAAACCATCTGATACGTGAGGTTAACGTCGCTTTGCAAACTTTGCTTGTTACAACAATCAATCAACAAAGTTCGTAAACTCATTTACTTCAACAACTTGTACTCCAAAATTAACAACGCATTGAAGGAAACGGATTATTGCATGCGGGGAGGGAAAGATAATGAATTTGAGGGTGATAAAGAGTCCTTTTGAAAAGTCTCCCTATTGTTTTTGACGATAAGTTAGAGATGCCATTGTAAATAGTGTGGAGTCAGGTTTGAGGTTGTATCGAGAAATATGTCTCGCATGGTCAAATATTCATGAAGTATAACATGAAGTACACCGCCTTGACCTTGTTTGAAAGCATGCCGAAGACCAAGACACAGAAGAAACTCGAAATAATTTCAGTATAAATTATTTTGAAAGTAAAGGAAAGTAAACCAAAAAGTTTTGACAATGCCAGAAGTAGGAAAAGGTAGGTTTTTGTCGTTCCAATATTCCACAGTACAGCCCCATTGTCAACACAAGTGACACCAAACTTATCTCTAAAATTTCAAGACAACAAGGGATGACGTTGATTCGCAATACTTCATGTTTCACAGGGGCAATTTTCTTGGATATGGACTTAGGATAAAATACCCTTTGAAATTGCTTTCCTTTCGAACCATTTCTGGACGTTCGTCTACTGGACCAATAAGTTAATAGTGCTTACCATTCTGTCGGACAGTGAATTACTTAGCATAGTTTGGGGGGGGGGAGCTAAGGTGGCATGCATATTGATATTGTATGCTGTCATGCGTTAGATTTTTAAGAAAACATGTCTTTTGTATCCCAATGTAATTATAATTCCATTTACAATGTTGATCATAGCAGCTGTTGTTTGTAAACACTGTAAGGCATTGAATGGACTTTGGACTGATGATGGCAACCATTCCAACCTTGTAATGCTGTTATAGTGTCTCACAAGGATTGTGGGTATTCCCAAGATCCTTGCTCTCGCAAGATGTATTTCATGTTATGTCATGCACATTTTCCAACAATTGTAATATGTATTGATTATAAGGGTCCCATATCTTGCTTCTATTTTAGTGTTGAACTCACTCTATGGAAATTTCAAATCTAGTGGTTGTAATGTCTTTGTCACAGAACCCATAACAGCAATGGACATATCAGCAAAAGAACCCTCATATGTTGCTGTTGCAGGTAGAAAAAGTAAGTGAGAACTGCTCATGTTATTTTGATTTAAATCAGTGTAGTCGATGTTGTAGTATTGCATGTTTATTGCAAACAAAATATCAATGTCATGTTCTACTTGGTAGTGAAATTGTGTCTGAAAGTGCAAGATAATAGATTTAATTGAAATGTGTTTGTTCATGGTGTATATACTGCTTTGTAAGCTTTTTTAACACATTTTCCAATACCCAGCATTTTGCATACAAGCAAATGTGGTGTATATAGATACATTCATTTCTGCTCTGTATGCTTTCTTAGCACATTCTCCAGTATCCAGCATTTTGCATACAAGCAAATGTGGTGTATATAGGTACATTAATTTCTGCTCTGTATTCTTTCTTAGCACATTTTCCAATACCCAGCATTTTGCATACATGAAAATGTGGTGTATATAGACACATTCATTTCTGCTCAGTATGCTTTCTTAGCACATTTTCCAGTGCCCAGCCTTTTGCATACAAGCAAACATGGTGTATAAAGGTACATTCATTTCTGCTCAGTATGCTTTCTTAGCACATTTTCCAGCGCCCAGCCTTTTGCATACAAGCAAACATGGTGTATAAAGGTACATTCATTTCTGCTCAGTATGCTTTCTTAGCATTTTCCAAGCTATGTGCTCATAGTTAGCTTAATATATTGTCGTATCTTGAGTGATGAAAATGAATCAAGGATGAACACCCATGTTGAACAACTTAATAAGAAAATAGTAAGTTCAAGAAATATTTTGTCAAGATGCTCAACCTGGGTGTCTAGACAATGTAGTGCAGTGCATAGCAGTAGCAATTTCTCCCACCTAATCTAGACAATGTTATGCAGTGCATAGCAGTAGCAATTTCTCCCATCTCCCCTAATACTTTCCTTATTTCATTCACACAAGATTTTATTTGGTTATACGTACATATGCAAGGCTATGAACAAGAGATTTATTACTACATTTGCATCCTATAGTTATAGCTCACTCTGCTTGTTTCGCAAATATCTTTATATCTGTACTTACTATTGGACTATTGGATTTTAAAACAAACTAATACGGCATGTCATGCCTATATGAATATGCCCCCCCCTAATTATCGTTCTGGCTACGTGCCTGGTCTTTGCCTACCACAACCACGTTCTAATAACTTGTTTCTCTGTATGATGGAGCATTCCTTTAAAACTCTCTACCCAGTGAAGTTAAAGAGAGCAAATCTTTTTGTTCCTTTAAAGCAAAAATTGCCGCTCGCATTGATAGGTAAAGAAACTTATATATTCTAAAAAGAATATTTCATGTCTGTAAAAGACTCATGTACACTATGTCAAGTTCTAAAGTAGTATCTTTGAAATACTCCTTCCCGAAGAATATTTGAAATGGTATAACGCTTTTTTTATAATCCTTTTGCGCTTTCTCCAATTTTAAGTCATCGTCATACGTACATATTTAGCTTCAGTGGTTCTTTGAAGAGACGTTTTTTCTCGTCGCTCGTACAAATTGCGTAAGTGTGCTCTTGAAATGGTCGTTTTTTCGATTGTACAATCTCGACCACGTCTTAAAAAATTGTTTGAGGAGAAGAACTTCGCTATCTGTAATCGTTTTGGGGAAAATGAGGATTTAGATATCCGATCTTTTCTTCTTGTTTATCCTTCTCTTTTCAAGGCGCGCGAACGCTATAGGACTTGTAGGCAATGTCTCTACAATTAAAAAATGTGAGGGAGAAGAAGCAGAACAGCAAGAACAAGAGCAATAACAACAACAGCATCCTGAAGAACAAGAACAAGAACAAGAACAACAACGAGAAAACAAGATCCAAAACGAGAAAAAGAAGGAAATAAGAAAAATTTTAATATCTCGAGAAGGAAAAGAGATATCGCATTATCTGTTTCAGAAAGTACACTGTCATTTCAAAAGTTCTGGTCATTGCAAACATAAAAATTTTCGTGTCATAGGCACTTTAACGTCGTCTTTTTTTGACGTGAACACGTCCTGACCTTTTTCTTTATGGTTTTTACAGTGTTAAAAATAATGATGCTGCACAAGAACGGTTTTGTCGAGGTCGCCAATCTTTGTGGAAAGAACAAAAAAGTGAACCTAGACTACAGTATAACGGACGTTCAGTGGGAACCTAATGGAGGTATAAGTCTATTGGGCAATTTTAATGTTTGATTAAAGATTACCAGAGCTTTTGACGTTCCCATGAAGATATTATATATAGCTTGCTGAAAATTTCACTGCCTATTCTCCGTCGATAAAGTCTCTGTTTTATTATTTATCACACAATAATACTTTTGCCTGTAACTACGTATGCCAATTAAACAATATGCTTTTCATGGAGATGAAAGATTAGCTACTGCCGCCGGGAATGGGACGATTTTGGTGTGGAATGTTAATCTCTCGAAAAATAGCCGACAAGTTAATTGTGGGAAACGAGGTACGTATAGTCTTGAACCAATCGATTGAAAGCATCGACAATTTGAGCCAATCGGTGCTGTGTCGCAGTGGCGTGGTGGCAGGGGGGTCAAGGCCCTCCCAGCTGGCGCAAAAATGAGTATGAGTCACGAAGTTTTAAATTTGGGCGAGAAAAATGAATTTGAAGCAGAACAGTTATTTCCACAGTTATAATATACAGTTAATGGAGTTTGCTTTTGGGAAAAAGGAAGACTGATCAAAATGAAACCTTGTAAGGGGGGTCGTTTAACAGTCAATTAAAGAATGAAGTAATTGAGGAGCATTCTTGATGTTTCTTATGTGGCCACAACACCTAACTTTTCAATTGTCACAATGACTGTAGACAACATACAGGGCCAAATTTCCTCATGTCACAATGTCCTCTAAGGGGACGTAACAAGGCCTAAAAAATGTCCAGGTGTTAAGACGGCAATTCACGAATTGACACGACTACATGACGATGATGCGTTACGGAAAATAGTAGAAAGTATAAAATTAAGGAAATTCGTAAAATTTTACTGGCAATAGTTAAAATAAACATGTCAAAATATCATACAGTTATACTAGAGGTCAGTATTAATACTGAACATCAATTATATCTCGCTTGAGCGAATAATACAGGAAACTTAGTACACACTGCATTGTGCTTGTATTTAGTCCAGTTCGGTACTTATATGCATTGTTTATCTCACACTTTGGTCATTGTGCTCTAGTAACAAAAATGTAAAGCAGAAAGTAGGAGGATTTTTTTAAGTTTGGTTATCATTACAAAATGGCTGTCGGAGTTCTCTAGTGATTTCTCATGTAGTTAATTAAATATTAGTCATTTACGCTCTTCGCGTACCTATTTTTAATTTTCTAGTGGTAGCGCAGTCATTGGTAGAGTGTAATCAAAATGCAAAGGCTTACATAAAGTATTGAGACTCAATAGTACTGCGGCATGTACTGCAAATTTCGTTAGTTCAAAGGTGAAGGGGGCGCGAAATTTGCTTTAGCCCCCGCTGTCAAAATTGCGCCACCACGCCACTGCTGTGTTGTCTTATCAACGCCGCCCTCCCACCCCTCCCCCATCCACTCCGTCTCCAATTCACTGTCACGCGGTTAATATTTATTCGTTTGAACGACCTTCGTATTTGAACTGATGCACAACACGTGAAGATTGTTGATGGGTACATTAGAATCTAGTTTGTGCCATGTTATTCATTGGTCCCCATTTCATTCAAGCAACGTAAGTCGGTGTTGTTGTAATAGATAGTGATGTTCTAGCATACTTGCCGTCGCTTTCCAGACTTGACCGAACACCGAAGAACTGTGAACAGAATTTCTTTTCATCCGACGGATCGCGATGTCCTTATCAGTGGCTCACAAGATGGCACCATTCGATATTTCGTAAGCGTTCAATCATTTTATTGTCTGCTAGCTTTGCAATGAATTTTGTCACATTAATATTTAACATTGGATTTTTTTAACAATTGGTTAATTTCTAAAGCTCTGTGTTGGGGGTGGGGTGTGTATGTATATTGCACTTCTTTCCTCCCTCCCTATCTCCCAAATATAATTACATTGGAACCGAACTGTATAAGCCATAATGAATGATATTTCCAGGATCTTCGCCGACCAGATGGAATTGCTCTGTCCATGTCCAAAGGCAAATCGCAGAATACGAGCATCCGTGACGTTAAAGTATGGGACTAGACGATCATCTTGTTTTTTCATTCATACTTCAAATCGTTTGCTTCCTTTAATATCTGCCAATGTTATTGCGTAGTACTAATAAATCGTTTAATGTTTTGACTCGACGTGTTGTATTTGGTTCACAGTTCAAGCCGTCGGACGGCAGGTGTTTTGCCGCTGCTGCGGAGATTGGTGAGGTTCAGGTATGTTGTTGTGACACGTTTTAAAGATTTGGTGACCGTCAACAACGGCCGGTCGGTATTTTTGGGCTCGATTTCAATGTGATTTTAATGTTTGTTTGAAGTTTAAAATGTTTGTTTCAAAGTCGCGAAGCCCCCTTTTGTAAAGAAAAACAAGTTATAGTTATAGTTTGTCAAAGCAAATAAAATTAAGTTAGTAATGAGAAGCAAAGCAGCGTACTTTCGGTTACTTACTCGAAGCTGTTGCTCTTCTGGTTTCCCTTAAGTGTAATCCTAAGCGTGTGACGGCTGTGTGTGTATAAACTTTTACGTTTTAAAAATGCAGTCGAAAATAAACAAGTTAAATTGCATTGAAGCACTTTCCGTATTTAGGCTCGGGATGATTTGTTTTGTGGTCGTTGAGGAATATCAGCTGAATTTATGTAGCGTTTATAATTATAAAATCTAAAGCATGGTTTGTGTGTTTGCATTTTTATCGGAGATATTTTTTGAAAGCGAAAGAAATGTCTAGTTTTTATGCTGTACCTTCCTGTATGGTCGTCAAATTTTTACAATTTCTTGGAACTTTTTCATCTGTGATTATTGCAGCTTTGGGACATCCGCAAATTGGACAACTGTATTCAGCACTTCGTCGCCCATATTGGCCCAACCTTCTCAATAGATTGGCATCCTGATGAAGCGGACTGGCTTGGCACTGCGGGAAGAGATAAGCTCATCAAGGTACGTACAGACGAACTTACTACTGAAGTTTTGGTATGCAAATAAATGCGTAACAATTCCTACACGTTTGTCATTCTTCTTTTGGGTGAACTAGCACGAAGACGTTTCGTACGATCGAATGTACTAGCTATGTTGTCCTAGATGCCCAAACGTGACAATCTTTTTAAATTCAATTTCATATGCAAGTACAACTGACTTATTTAAACGAGTACTTGATTACCAACAACCGACATAATCCACCCTTGGTCAAAAATAACCTATAAACTTCTTTAAATAGTAAAATGGAGACTTCGTCTTGGTGACAAATGTAAAAGATGTTTGAAAGGGAGCGATTGGGTGGCCAAAATAACTTAATCTCTTTAAAACAGCTTTTAAATAACTACAGTGAAATCTATATATAATATTACGTTGACAAAGCTTAAGGATTTTTGCTTAATGCGAGTAGTAATTTAAGGATTCTACTTATAAGAATAAGGTCTTTCGCAAATTACTACTCGCATTAAGCTCAGTCAGGTTACTATATTTCATATAAAACATTTTTTATTGATTTTGTGCTCGAATGCTCAATAATACTTGTAAAAAAAGTTGCTGTTTGTATTGTGTTGCATTTTAAATTTATTGGCTAATCGAGTTGTCTGGTGTTTAAATAACCATCTAACTGAGCTAATTATTGGTCAACGGTGTAATCCACCGAGCCAATTGGTGCTTTCATAGCTAAATACTAGATATATACTGGTCGACTGGAAAACCACTTAACTAGAAATGACTTCCTTACATTCAGAACAGAGTAGCGTTCTGTTATGTGCTTGGTGTCTGTATCTTACAACTTTTGCAACCGGGACCAGTCACAACGTTGAGCCAAATAAATTACTCCAGCTTATTCACTGGTTAAAATTTCTTCTTCAGAAGTTCATAACAAAGGGCACTGTGATAGAGCTATTTTAAATAAGCGGCCATGTTTTCTTGTGCGTAACCATGGATCCCCCACTGTTTGGAACTTGGCACCATCCATTGTGTTGTTGTCAACAAGCTTAACATGTTTGCATAGGTCTGGGATACCCAGCACAAGCCGGTCGAAACTCATCAGATTCGAGCCATTGCCGAGCTTGCCCGTATAAAGTGGAGACCAGGTAGAAGACATCACATCGCAAGGTTTGCCTCTCTTTTTCTTAGAAATTATTTTATGGATCAGCGTGTAAAATCTCGGCTTGTAAAATTTGATAACTATTTTTACAGCAAAGAAATATCTTTGATGTCGTGCTTATGAAAGAATCTCACTCTTTTTGTCTGCATTTGCTGATATACATATGACTCGTTGTTTCTACTATTTCTAGTTGCGCTCTGCTTGTCGACAACTGTGTCAGTGTGTGGGACATTCGCCGACCATACCTTCCGCATGCGCAGTTTTCTTTTCACGAGGATGCCGTAACCGGTATTTTAGATCACTCATATTATTTTTATTTCATTCTCGTATACCTTGTGGTGCATCGTGCACTTCATAGTAAAATACTTCCATCTTTTTCCTATACATCACAATGAGGTTATAAAAAAGCCTAGATTGTTTAGATTAATTGCATTTTGTCCATGCTCATGCAGGAATTGTGTGGCATAAAGATCCTAATATGTTGTGCTCTTGTGGAAAGGACTCGATGATCTACCAAAACTGGTTTGCTGATGCGTATCGCCCTCCTGATCATGTGTCACCTGTGGCTCTTGGATTCAGTTCGACCGGTAACATCGCATTCGCCAAAAGTGACGTTATCGTGCCGGCAGAACCGACGAAACCTAAACAGTGCGTATGTATTGTGTAATACAGTAACTTAAGGAGCATCGACGACTTTCGCGTGATGCCCAATGCATGAGTCAGCAGTTAATTCCCGCTTGAAGTAGGTCCAAATTCAGGTGTAGTCCTATCATCATCAAGGAGCAACGTGACCTTTGAGTGACAAAAAGGTCAATTTTAAGATCAGTACCCAAACCCGAGATAAGTTTACATAAGCATGTATGAGAACTGTCTTTCTGTAACGGTTGATTCGGAACTCGGAAAGTCAAATTTCCGATCATTGTTTTCACTGCATAATCATAGTGTTGCTCGACAATAGCTGGTTACCCCCAGCAAGTCTAGGAAATTGTCATGGAAATTATCGTTTGGGATTGAACGGAAGTTGAACTGCACCGCGGCACCACGCAATGCTTTATTTGTGATTTGTTTGATACTGATAGATTTTTTCCTTCGTCGATTCTTTATCGATGTTTCGACGAAACAGTCGATTCGTACACAGAGAAAAAAGTTTTGTTGAAATGTTTTTACAAAACGACTGATTTCTCGTGTCTTCTTGCTGAGGCCTTTACGTATCCCTATTACAAGCTCTGTAATGCATTTTTAGGAAATTCAATGCTCATCTAACATCATCCCTAGGCGCCATGCGTATTCAGCAACCCAGCAAGGTTGAAGAGGTCACTCCAGTTACAAGTACCATGTACAGTTTCACTACAGACAGTGTCAACGTAAGTCAAATGTGCTGTACTGTTTTCCATAATAATTTTCTATTGCTATGCTTCTTGACATCTGTGGAGATCTTCCTCTCTTTTTTTTCATCGCAATAAGAAGACTAAAATGACTAAAATAACAGGATGGTATTTATATACTTATCCATTTATGACCACAAACAGCCACGTGCAAGGCATAAGCAGGATTTATGATAATTATGGTAATTAGGGGAGTCAGGTAGGACCAGTGGGTAGGACGCGCGGAAAAAAACAACTTATAGCTGTCAATTTTACATTATCATGAAAAAGAGGGGTTAATTGCTTCCTAAGCTTAGCCCCTGACTTGAATATAATAGTTTTTGCATTGATCTCTTTTATTCTTTATTCTTTTTTCCTCCTACCTAAACTCTAGTATCCACTTTACGAAAAATACTCTGCGATTGCTATAAATGGAGCAATCACATAATGTCTATTAGTATTTCAAAATTAGATTATGAGGGAAGTAATCGCGAACGAGTAATCTTAATTGCTTCCATAGAATCGTACAACTTTTTTGTTAATTTTTTGCTTCCATGCATTTGTTGACGTCGTCATTAAAACGGGAACGACTCTTCCTCGATGCATGTTTGGTTGGTTAGTTTCATTCAATTTTACTTTATTTTCTCATAAAATATCTTAACGCCGAGCAAGATTAACCTTTTCTTGTATTGCCACGGCCATGTTTTCAAAAATGTGCCATCAATATGACTGCTTTGCCACTCGTTATCTATTGGGAATTAGTTGGCGAGTGCATTAGCCAATCAAATTAAAGCATTTGCACCAGAATACTAGCTGAATTCTACTAATTGAATCACTACATCAATTTTTGTATATAAAGTTTACACTATTACGACTTGTGACACTCACGTCAAATTTGCAACAAAGCTTTTGTCATTTTTGATCTACTCTGGAAATCTCCTTGTATGAAATTAAGCCTTGGAAATGTTGACAAAGGAACGTGTCCAATCGAAATCGAAGCAATTTTTCTTATTTGAGCTCGAGATATCAATATCTTTACTTACTCTCTTCAGAAAGTTTATCTTCATATCAGAAATGACAACCTGTACTGGTAAGGCGTGTGAATGGTGGTGTATCTACACAGTAGTAGCCTGTATATCATGGTGTCATATTTGGCTTCTTTCACGGCCTGAGTTTTGACGTAAATTTACACTTGCATGGGCTTACTTTTTGCTCGTAGTCAGATAACACTTTAAACTACTCCTCCTCCACCCCCACCCCACACACACACACACAATTTTTTGTCTTTTCTTCAATTTTTGCTAAAAAGGGTACTGTTTTAGCTCAGTTTTTACAATTGAGTTCACAGGTTGTCCCAGTAATATTAGGTCTGTTTTTCGACTAATGGTTTATTCGACAATTGTTGCTTTCTTTATTCTTTTTAGGATCTTGAGCGTTTTAAGATCTTGGCTAGAAATTATCAGCTCAGCGGTGGTACCCTTGGTGAACTTTGCGATCATAATGCTAAGGTAATGATTGAGTGTGTATATTACATAATAAAAATCATTGATCGTTTAAAAGTTGCAATGAACTAATTTTAATTTTGTTCTCGAATTGGGAAAAACAGAGATGTTGACATGATTATGAAGTTGTCGCATGAACATTCTCACAGATTGTTCCTCCTATCGAGCAATTTGCTTAGGCCATATAAGTTCACCGGATATTTTTTCTTATTAATTTTTGATAGTTATTCCTGCTTTGTTTCAAAACAATCAAAGCGAATGTTTACAATGGCATATTGACGCTCTGTGCAATTGACTTCAGGCCTACAAAACTCGTTGGACATTTTTGCTTTAAGTAAGGTACTAGCTAGCCATGACGCTATGGAGCAAATTTTATCTAAACTAGTTGCGTACTTAGCCAGCTCGTAGGTTTTGTTGAGCTTTGTAGAATTCAGATCATTGACATTATTTATTTATTTAGAAATGTGTTGTTTATACAGTTAAGTTAGCACTAAGGTATTTATGTACATAGCCGGACCAAACTTGCTGCCTGGTAGGTCACTTGTAGTTTGGCAAACTCGAAACATTCACGAGCAAGTCTGTGCGGTTATAGACGAGCGTTGTTTTTGTATGGTGATTGTGGCGCTTTTGAATGGCCTGTATTTCGTTTACGAAAACAGTGTGTTGAGGATTCTCCATTGAATGCAGTTAGCTATGTTGTCTATTAAACCCAGTACTCAAGAGTAGTTTCTTATTTTACCTTGTTTCAGCAATGCAGTAAACTCGGACTTCATTATGAAGCACAGACGTGGAAAATTATCAAAGTAATGTACTCTTGCGACTATTCTGAACTGACATCCACAGCTGGCGCTGCAACATGCGGGATTGCTAAAACAAACCAAGGTGTTTCTACTCCAGCCAGTCCGACTGTCGCAGAACCAATCAACGTGCAGAACAGTAAGAAATCAAGAAATATACGTTGGCTTGCTCTTAAAGTCAGGTTTCTCTACATTCTCCTCACATGGCTCTGTGTCTTTTTATGAAGTCTTGAGCGCTTCTTCTGGCAAATTTAATGTAAATGTTACGTCATCGCAATCATAATTTTGTTGAACGTGGGCACGGCATCCATAGGGTAGCGCGCCTGTAGATTTTTTCCTACTTTTGGCCCCGTGAATCATTATATTTATTTAAACAACCAATATTTAACTGGTCATGTCATTAAAAAAGTTTGTCATTGGTTATATTGACCAATTCTGCCATGGTTCAATTACCCATTTGTCGGTGTCTCCTATACTTGTAGGTTGAAGGTTCTCAACCTACAGCGTTATAAGTTGTAGCTTGTGGACTGTACCTCGTAGGTTGTACTCAGTTATCTCAACTACTCATACATATGAGTATACACGACATTACATGATGGTTGCTATCATGTAACTATGCTGAAAATGGTTTACTTCCCAGCATTGCATGAGCAAGTAAATAGTGGATGTGATCCTATCAGTGTAGAAGTCGCCTTTGTTTTATGGTTTATCTCGTCTTTTCTTTTTCGAGGTGCTGAAGAGACGCTCGCCGCAGACGACCAAGAGGTTCAAAATATTTTGAGCAAAAAGGAAAATGAGAGTGTCGTCGAGCACGGTAATGTTTACCAGCTAGCAATGTTATACTATATTTGATTTCGCGTGTATCCAAGGACACACATTTCGAAAAAAATATTGGGGTTGTTCAACGTTCTTCGACCTGGAACCGACTATTTAGTGACTATTTCAGAGCAAAAGCCCACAATTTCAGCTGGACCGACCTTTTTCGCCCACAGTGTATGGACCCACTTTTATGACTTATTTCAATGAGGATGGAAGGTCACACGCACGCGCCCTCCCTGGAAATGTGCGCCCTTGCATACATCTGTATGTATTTAATTCAGATTTGACTTGGTGTCGTCTGCGTCAAAGTTTCAATCCCATACTTCTTCTTTATTCTCGTCAATACATTTCGTGTTTTATTTTCGTTGATACATACAGATGAGTCGTCGGAAAGTAGTGATGATATAACCGAAAGTGAGACATTCTTCAATCCTGATAAAGGTACGATTTACGACAGCTACAGTGTTTCCGATCTGTGTAACTGAAGATATGTTCAAGGAAAGCGCGTTCTTAGCATGATTTCGAGGATGAAAATGCTTTAGCAGTGATCAAGTTGCTTTTAACCATGGATTTTCCTTTTTTTACATTCAAATTAGTAGCGATCAGAAAAATAGATTATGCAATTCACGGTTTTTCTATTAGATTTCATATTTGGAGAGGAGCAGGAATTTCAGTTTGATTCAGCTGATATTGACGCTCAGCTGGAAATCGAATACACATTGGCTCATGTAAGGTCATAACTTGTACGTATAGTGCTTATAAAATGACAAGGATTGGTTGGCATTACACAAAGTACCTGAGTTTGGCTCACTGTAAATCCTAATCGTCAAGTGGCGTAATATTTATGTTGGTTGAAATCCATCACATGTCGTTGCATGGACATCTTTTATTGCATGGACATATTATTTTATTGCATGGACATATTATTTTATTGCATGGACATATTATTTTATTGCATGGACATATTATTTTATTGCATAGACATGGTATTTTATTGCATAGACATATTATTTTATTGCATGGACATATTATTTTATTGCATGGACATAGTATTTTTATGCATGGACACATTATTTTATTGCATGGACATATTATTTTATTGCATGGACATAGTATTTTATTGCATGGACATATTATTTTATTGCATGGACATGGTATTTTATTGCATGGACATCTTTTATTGCATGGACATGGTATTTTATTGCATGGACATGGTATTTTATTGCATGGACATATTATTTTATTGCATGGACATATTATTTTATTGCATAGACATTATTTTATTGCATGGACATGGTATTTTATTGCACGGACATCTTTTATTGCATGGACATGGTATTTTATTGCATGGACATGGTATTTTATTGCATGGACATATTATTTTATTGCATGGACATATTATTTTATTGCATGGACATATTATTTTATTGCATGGACATATTATTTTATTGCATGGACATAGTATTTTATTGCATGGACACATTATTTTATTGCATGGGCATATTATTTTATTGCATGGACACATTATTTTTTTGCATGGACATGGTATTTTATTGCATAGACATTATTTTATTGCATGGACATGGTATTTTATTGCACGGACATCTTTTATTGCATGGACATGGTATTTTATTGCATGGACATGGTATTTTATTGCATGGACATATTATTTTATTGCATGGACATATTATTTTATTGCATAGACATTATTTTATTGCATGGACATGGTATTTTATTGGACATCTTTTATTGCATGGACATGGTATTTTATTGCATGGACATGGTATTTTATTGCATGGACATATTATTTTATTGCATGGACATAGTATTTTATTGCATGGACACATTATTTTATTGCATGGACATATTATTTTATTGCATGGACATATTATTTTATTGCATGGGCATATTATTTTATTGCATGGACACATTATTTTTTGCATGGACACATTATTTTATTGCATGGACACATTATTTTTTTGCATGGACATAGTATTTTATTGCATGGACATGGTATTTTCTTGTATGGGTACTAGAAGATTAACTATTTTTGCCAAGATAGATGTATCTCCCATGGATATAGCGTGTCTCTATAATTTTATGTTGAGAGTTCAATGAAAATGGGCATTTTCGCCCTTAAACGTTAAAGGAGCCTCTTTGTATCGACCTGTTCTATTTTATGCAAGCTTGAAGAAGAATCTTCAATCATTTTATGTGCAGATTTCTAATTTCTGTCATTTTTTAATTTCTGTCTGTTTATATTTAGGAAGCGTTTGAGCCTAGACAAGACATCGAAGACAGGTGAGAAAGTGAGGAATATGACACATAAAATATGACTGCATGTTGTAGAACTCGGGGTTAGCATTCAATCAGATATGTTTGTCTAGACTGAAATTTTTTCATTTCAATATCGATTTATTACGCGATTTGTCGATTTCTATTGCATGTGGAAAGGACTCTTGACATGGAAGGTTTATTATTAGATCGATTTTCCACTTCTTTCATTTCAACGTTATTCTCCTTCGATAGTTTCTATGTTTGTCACAAGCGTTTCACCAATACATGCACAACATTTAAATGTTATTGGAATGATTTTTCGAATGGTTTAAATCTGGTTACATTGATTTTCACTTCAGTCAAATTTATAATTATTCAAGTTTGTAGTATTTACAAGTATTTTGCGTAGTGCTGGAAGGAGCTGGTTTTACTTGAAACTTAGGATGAGACCTTGGGCGTATGGAAAATTTATAAAATTGATTATCGACAAAAAGAGTATTTAGAAACATCTCTCTGCAAAAGGCAATGTTAAAACAGATTCAGAAAAGATTGAGAGATGATTAAATCGTCAAACAATATCTGATTGTAATAAATAATACTTAAATTGTACCCGCTGGTGAAATATGTTCCAGTTGGATACCTTATTCGACCTCGTTGTGACCTATCGAATGACTTGAATCATTTGTTCGTATCGTATAAGTGCATACTTGGCCTGTAATCTCTGCTTTGGCGTATTCAATTGCAGCGTTTTTTCTTTTCTGCCTCATTTTGTATTTCCTTCGATCTGTCCAGGATGTCTACGTTTCCTTAGTCACTCCACAATAAAATCTTTGTTTTTTCTTCTCTACCTGGGTCCCCACTTTGCAACTGAAGCATCTACACTGTAATATTGATTGTATATGTAAATCTGACACTGCTCTATTCATCTTCTCCGTCTGTTCTACCAGCACGTTTTGATCTATCCTTTGATACACGATAGTACCGATACACGATCATGCACCTGACCTTTTACCACATTTTCCTACACATTTGCCAATCTTTAATGTAAGGAATATATTAACAAAATACAAAAGGACGGTAACTCCGAATAGCAGTTTGTAAATGTAGTGAATTTTCTTGTGTTATGAATCAACGATCCCTTTTGTCAGGATTAGAACTTTGGTGACCAGGACTGGAAAACTGTTAAACTGCAGAACTTCTGAAGTGTAAATTTTGCACTATCGTTGATCAATGTAAATTTACACTCTCAAATCGTAGACATCGTCATCGTACTGTATGATTTTTTTTCTATTGTCTTTTGTTGGCTATCTGTTGATAATATCTGTTTTGTTACTTTCCAGGCCTCTGCCAACATTGCACTCCGAACGAGAAAGATATTCAACACCTTACAGGTAGGAGAAAAGTAGCAAGTGTAAGTACTTTAGATGCATTCATTTTTGAGTCCACCGAAATGGCATCAAGACGGATGTTGAAAGCATACCTAGAGAACCGGGTTTCCTTCGAATGAAATTATTCGTCAAATGAAATATCGTGCATGCAAACTTCTTGTTTGATATAAACACCACACAAAATGAAAGTTCTCTGGCCCGAGATATGTTGTTATATATATATATAACTATGAATAAACAAAGCCCAGATAATTAAACGCAGCACTACTTCAAACGATAATTTGCTAACTGCCATATGAAAAATGAAGTCACTCGTGATTCAGAAAAGGAGGTATCGTTTCTTTAGTTCAAAAATACACAATTTCAAAATTAACATGAAGAAGTAATGTCATCAGTTTCACTCACTATTCAGTATTGTTATTCCTTGGTAACAATAATCATGTGAAGCAGTTACAAGGTTGCCCAGATTATTTTATCAATAAAACAGGGGTAATCTCGATTTCATGGGTTTTTACGAGCAAGTTAGCACCTTTAATAATTTTATTCACCCGGGGGGAGGGCTGTCTTTTTGTGTCGTGTTTATTTAAGTTGTCGTTGAAGTGTTATTCAATATTGGTTGCCAACATATAAATTTTCTCCTACTGAGGTGCAAAACCTTTGTTTCCTGGAATTCAGCTCGATTTCTATATAAATCGTCGAAAAATTGGAACAAGCGATGGTTAGACATATTTTACTGTACAAATAAACCCTCCTCAATGTATTTTCTTTTTGCGACCAAATGAACCTTCAGAAGAGAAGAATACATGCAAAATTCATTTCTCAGCTATTGGTCTCAGAACCATTGTCTTTGCAACACGTGAGTGGAATTCTTTTTACCGTTGTAGCGGTGGAGATTCGGACGTTGCTACTGCGCAAAATCACCGAAGTTCAATCGTGGACTTGACGTTAAAGGACGACGAAAGAATGAGATCACTCGTATGTATTACTGCATCACTTTTGCTTTTTTTGTGGGGAGGGGTGGGGGGTGTGGAAAGATGTTTGCAAAATTGATCCACTAAAAAGTACGTTCAACCTTGTATTCATTAATGTGTGCGAACTCTATAATTGTTATAGCTCTTCCCAAAGTTGGACTTCACGGATATTGTCGTCGAATGCTTGGAGTATTACGCCAAACAGGTAGATACACTTCGTTTCGTTTCTTTCATCGCGTTCATTGCTCATAATGCTTGAAAGTGCCAATGAAAAGAAAAATTTTGCTGTTTAAATTATAGCCTTATTGAAGAGAAATTTTAAAAGGACTGTAGAAATTACAATACAGTTTATGATTATCTCTTGTTGTTCTCGTAATGAGACGTTATAACGAGTTGCTGAAAAGTTTCAAATCACAATACCACCAGGGTGTACTTGCAAATCGTTGGGTCAGAGGGAAGCTGCGCACAAATTTGTTTAGGGTGGTTGTGGTAGTTGAGTTATGCGACGATTGGCCATTACGTACCACATTCAGAGGCGTAACTAAAACGTTAATTGGGGGTGCGTATTAGGTATGAGGGGAAAGCAATTTTAATTTCAAAAGAAACAGTAGGGCGCATCTGAATATATGAATATACACCCAACCCCACCCCCAATTAACGTTCTAGTTACGCCTCTAACCACATTGACTCAGAATCGAAATTATAGAAATCTTTATTAGATTGTACAATTGAGTCTACTAAACACTGGTGTGCTCCAAGCAAGCTACGGCTTTTTTGACACACTGTGCTGTTTCCATAGCAGCCGAGATAATTTAACATAAACACGAAAACACTGACAAACGTACATATTACATTGAAAAATAGAATCTTTCAGACATGCTAAGCATGAACAGTATGTGGACTGTAATGTAGCATGAATGGGAATAAATTGCTAGGTATTTAAGAAAAATGATTTTCGTTCAAATTATATTGACAATTTTCTTGCGCAAATATTCGAAAGTTTAGTACAGATTACTTATCATTTTTATCACTAATGCATGTATGAAATGCTTAGGCAGAGTTTTATACCACTAACATTTTTAAACTAAGGCACCTTTGCCCGGTTAGAGTAGAATATTATCAATGGTAGTTGATAGTTCACGCATTCTCATTATGCAATATGACATCCAGGTTGTACAAAATGGGACATTTTCAACAAAAACAAAAACTTTACTATCTTAAGAATGCAAATAGATACAGGTACAAGAAACACAGTGAAATCAGTTGACATTAAAGTTCACTCATACATTGAAGAGCATAAAATATCTTCTTACTAAACATCTTCTTTTCCAATGCATCCTTCGAAAGAACTAAATTTTTTTGTTTGCAAAAAAACCAGCTAATGTGTGCCATTGGAGAGAATGGCTAGTGAAAGTACTTGTTGACGTTGAAAAAGTTACACATGATGTTTCTCGTTGTTGTTTTGCAAAAGTTACACTTGGGACCTAGAGGATTTAGGGATAGAGGTAACAATATCTTGAAAAATTTTCCTTTGGTAAGAATCGTTTTTTGCCAAGTCCATCGATTAAGAGTATGAAGTTGAGAATGTTAGGTGATGCAATGTTCGCTCAAAATTATGTTTATATTTTACGGCCTTACGTTTGTGAAGCTAGAACTGTTTGTTAATCATTAGTATATGTTTGGCGATAGTGGAGCCAGCCTGCGAATTCACTACCGCTATTTAAACTCTGAAGGACAACGATTTTTCAAAATCTATTGTTCTCGAGGTTTTAATGATTCGAGGGGGTCGGCGCAGGATAAATCAATAGTAGTTATCGTTACTGTTCATCGACCTTCCAAAGCTAGTACTGTCATATTAACGTATGTTTGTTTGCTTGTATTGGCTTCTCATACACGGGCTTTGTTGCCCATCGTTGTTAATTGTTGCGAACTAAGTGCTGGTCTATTTTGTTTTCCTAAGGGAGATGTTCAGATGAGCGTTTCTGTACTCCTTGTTCTTGGTGACAAAATCAGATCCGCTATAGAGGAGCATGTCCAGGAACAATGGCTACTGTCCTACGTTGGTAAGATTACAGTTATGCCATCATTTTTCGAACGAGAAACTTCGCACAAACGCGGGAGAGATGGGAGGATAATGATGATGCTGATTAACTTTATCTTAAAATATTAGTCTTTTCACAAATTCTGTTCAAAAGTCTCATGCGATATAGTGAACTCTTTTCATCAACTCTAACTTTAACGCATGCTCGCTAAAGACCTTGCGCCTCATTGATATGTGGTTAGGAAAACGCACTTTTTCAATTAACGGCCTTCCTGTGAGCAAGGATATATTTATAGTGTATTCATTTTAACCAACTGCTCGTGCCTTGTTGCTTCCTGATTATTTTTTCCCGAAAAATGACTGTTGTGTAGCCTGCCCTAGAGTCGTGCATAGTAAATTTCACCATAGAGATTATAAATAATACTAGAGGTGGCATCGTAATATAATCTATACTTCAAAATTTGGTACGCGTTTTTTGGGGGGCAAAATCGATTCCCCGATGTTAAGCTACAGTGGCCGACTATGATATTTTTGGCTTTTTTGTATAGATTATGCGTAAATATTATAGTTAAAGTTAAAGTGCCTGTATCATGTTTTTGCAATTGGCTTTGTAGATAGTTTAGAAGATTTTAAACATATTGTCATTATATTTTATAATTCAAAAATTTTATCTTCGTGCATTTTTTAGAGCTCAAATGGGTGATTATTTGCCTGACCGTGATATTAAAAAACTGGGGCGAGAGCTTAGATCTGACGTCATATTGGGAACACGTTTTAAGACAACACTGTATTATACACATAAATTTCCTCAAAAGTATAACTATATTGTCGCATTACACACATCACATGTATGGCATCTTGTCGTGGATGTTCAAAAACATCCCATTTTAAACAAAATGCGACAGACGAATTCCCGATGTGACGTCAAAAATAACATTAGTTACCCCCTTTTTTTTCACTGCGGTCAAACAACGAAAATGGTCAATTTTTCAACTTGGAGTGCAAAAATATCCAGCAAAATCATTTTTTCGAACTATATAATATATTACAAAAGTTTTTTAAGTAACCTGAACTATCTAAATGTCAGAAATGCAAAAACATGATATAAGCACTTTAAAATGTTTCGGCATGCTTATGCCATCTTCAATACAGAGGAATGAGATGATGATTCCTTTTAAATGAATATAAATACATCTGTATTGAGAAGGCATTGTTTTTGCAGTCAGTGAGCCGAGAAAAAATTACATATAGCAGGTTTATATATGCAGCCTGGCTGCACCATGCACTAATAAAAAATACTTCGTCTGATAATATGTTTGCAAGGGTAATTTTCCTTGTTAGGGAAAGCTAAAGTAAGCTGTTTTTCTTGCCGAACCCCATCGGGCAAAATCGTGTTTTTGTTATGGCTATAACATAAAGTTTCAAAAATGTGATCATTGTAATATGTTGTTTCAGACTTGCTGAGTCGTTTGCAAATGTGGACAGTTTCTACCGAGATCATTAATCTTTCTAATCTACCTGCTTTGACCCATATCAATCAGGTAAGCGACGGTTTTAGTCCCTGAAGCGATGACCCCGTCCAATTGTCCACGGGCTCAATTGCTTTGCTAGATCTTCAACTAGCTCAAAAATGGACGTGTTTTCGGGAGTGGTGTAGCCATGGCGCTTATTTTGTCCTGCTTTGCAATCTCTTCTTTCTTTACTCATTGTGAAAACAATTGATCTCTAATGAAATGGATGATAACGTTCTGGATCGTGTGAATACGTATAAAGTGAGCACCCGATGAAATCCCACCCGTAAAACCTAGGCTACTAGATACCTGACTCAGGCGAAATTAAATGTTTATGAGTGAGGCAAGCTGCCATCTTGATAGGTGGCGAAACTCAACGACTTAGAGGCTGATTACATGAGCCCGTGTAGCCGAGATTCAGCGAAGCGATGAATGATTTTGACAAATGGAAAAGATTCAATACTTATCATCAGATAAATCTTCTTGAGCATTTTCACAATATTCTTACTTTAATGAAAACAACTAATTTGGCCTGATTTGAGAATTACAACAGGAATGACTTGTGGCGCTTAAAAAACAGTTGAAATTTTTTGCTTCAAGTTTAATGCCTCGAAAGCCTTTCACGCTTTGCCAAATCTCGGTTAGCCGGGATCATGTAAACAGCCTCTTAGGGATTGTTTACATGATCCCGGCTAACCAGGATTGTGCAAACTTAACATCTTAGCGTAAATGCCCAAATCTGATTTAAGTAAAATGCTTCCTCGTGACTTCATGCCTTCAGAACGAAAACAACGATCTTTACTAAGAATATTATTGCCCAACACCTAATTGTTCAAAGGGCTTTTCGCACTAAAGATGATATTCCTCTCTTTAGACGTCTACAACCGTGCACACGTTATGCAGCAACGTGAAATGTAGGAAGCTGTTACCGCCTGACAAACCCGGTTGGTCTTGTGATAAATGCAAGATTCTCACTCCAGCTTGTTCTGTATGGTATGTATATCATCGGCCAATTGAATTACATTGCGCAAACAAACAAACATGGTGGTTGTTTCACATTGTTATTGAAATTCCGAAAAAATATTTCAATTAAAAGAAAATCTTGTTAAAGTCTGCTATCCGAGTGTTCTAGTGAAAATATTTTTACCATTGACCACTGCTATGTCTCGTCAAAGGCTCCTTTTCAGAGTACAGTTTCGAAGAAAACTTGTTAGGAACTTCGCACCCTATTTCTCATCCCCCAAAACACTTGAATGTTATCTTGTCTCCAAGAAATCTATTTCAAAAGTCATAAGTTATTTCGAGACTTCAGAATGTCAACGCAAGTACAAACGACAATGGGAAATTGTTCAAAATATTGACCAAAACCTCGTGCCATTCTTATAAACCGTTTTAATGCCCTCGAGTACTTGCCCTCTCAAAACTCTATTCGACTGCGAGGAATCCGCTTCCTTACATGATTTATATACAACTCGCGCGTTGTGGGCATCCCTGTATTAAGGATATTTTGTAGATCCCCAGCTGAATCTTCCAAGAAATGCATGTATTTAGATTGCTGTCTCCATTTGCGGTCTCTTGTTTCTCTGCGGACGCTTCAAGTGGCCCCCAACCAACATCTTCATTGTTCATCTCTCGTTACAGCGGACACCAAGGACGTATTTTTCACCAAACTCGATGCATATTTTTTATTAGATTTGAGAGAAACATATTCTTTAATAAGTTTTGCTTACACGTTGAGGTGGACTAAATAGTAAAGAAGAAACGCAGTGCCATAGCATTTTACAACCAAACTTCGGATATGTCCATCAAACTGATATCCCCGCTATTACGGGCACTAATTCGCGGTCTTTAGTCTGTCCACTAAAACGGAGTGACTGAATACCGTGTCTGGGCGTTTATCTGTTTGCTTTCATCCATCGTGATCGAAGCTCTTCACTGATCCGTGATTGCATGACGTGGAGACGTGATTCATCATTTACCATTGCCAAGCTGATAAAACTCTCTCCTTCTTTTTTATCATGTCCAGTAACATGACTGTGCGTGGTTTGTTTGCTTGGTGCCAAGGTTGCGGTCACGGAGGCCATATTCTACATATAAAGGAGTGGTTCAAGAAATATCGTAGCTGTCCGAAGGGTTGTGGGCATAACTGTGAGTACAGATAACATCCTTACTGCAGGTGATGCTTTGAAGTCCGAGGCCGTGCACCTCTCCCGCGGGGTATCTTTGCGAAAGGTTTCGTGCCATATTCATACTTATGAGTACGTTTATTTCGATCTGCAAGACTTTAAATGCCTTAAAATGCCTTAGCATTATGTGTTTATGGTACTTGAAACGCTTTTTGGGGGGATCGCGAAGAATGGGCTAATATTCATGTATGCATATTCTAGTTAATTAATTTCTATTTAAATCCATTGAGATTATGGCTCAAAACGGACTTCGTGTTAGGGGAAGAGAGGCGAACTCGCAAGTCACCTCTCCCTCTCCCTAAGTAACGTTTTTGCCACGTCTCTTTTAGCCATACATGTTGTACGACTGTAGATAATTTAAACCTGGACTGTCTCAGGTACCCGCTCTAAAGGTAGATCTTTAACGATGTCGAACGCAATAAAAGCAGTGAAGTCAAAAGATAACGAGTTGAGATTCCGTATCGCCTTTTCTTTCTAATGTTTTTGTAATGCAAAAAGTTTGACGTTGAAAGCGATCCTTAGAGGCGACTATTAGAGAGTTTTATTTTGACGTTAACGGCAAACCCGCAAAATGTCACGTGATCATTGCTTTGCGGTCTTCGTTGCGGTTCAGGTTTTAACGGCAAGAGGCCCTTCTTGCGTTAGGTGATGTACCGCAAGTTTTTTAGAACTTTTAATACAACCAAGTAACGTTTATGGCTTAATTGTGCGTTTTTATGTTAGTATACAACATGAATATGCCTTCAGGCAAAAAGGATAAGGTTTAAAATACATGTTGTGCCAAAAGTGATAACGTAGAAAGCATCTCATCATCCATACTTTGTTATTTCTTCGAATGCTTTGAATGCGGTTGTAATGTTCATAATTTTTCATTCACGATTGTAATATTTACGAAAATTAGGTTTGTCTGACGTGCCTTGACCATCATCAAAGAAACGACTATCGTCTTTGAAACGTGACACAATTACATTCGTTTCTTGCGAATATTACAGTCTGATAATTATTGCACAATGATGATGTAATACCTATTGTGATTGTCTAAGAGCCTCTATAGATAATTCACAATCTCTTGCCACCCTCGAGACGTGGAAAAATGTCTTTAGGTGAAGTAATTTTCAATGTGACGACTGACAACCCAAAACGTATTACAGCAGAATTGTTCTGGAGATTAGCTCGCGTTAATTAATTTTGAAGCTCGGAAAACTTTATGTGTTCCGTACAAAATGGTTTAAAGGCTTCCGCATTTATGATTGTATAATATAACAATTAGTGAATTCTGCTTTTGCTCGTGCATATTAAGCTGCGTGTGCTTTCACACATCTGAGAATCTGATAGAGTTAATAGCGTGGTAAATAACTTCCTGATTGGGCAAATACTCAATAACATAGTCAATGGAATTCGCTTTAGAAGTATCACAACGCAGGGTTGGCTTGGTTTTCTTCCTGGGAATTTCATTGTGTACATGGAGTTAAAATACTAATTGAAATTCCTAGAAATGTCACAATTCAGATTTGCAAAAAAGGGGGTCGGATTTCGATAAACGTACAAAACTTATGCAAGCTCTGTGATTACACCCTTTGATTACAAACTTATGCAAGCTCTCTTGTCTGTAATCACAGGTGTATAACTGCGGTCTATGAACAAAGAGGTAATTTCTATGGAGTGTGTTATAAGGACACCCTGAAATTACGTGCTTTTAATGAAATGTTTTTTCTTTCTGCGTGAGATTCTCTTGTATAAACATTTACAGCGTGTTTCTTTCGATAGCGTGCATTAGATAGAACGATAAGATGAAATGAAAACGATAAACATTTACAGCGTGTTTCTTTCAAATAGCATGCATTAGATAGAACGATAAGATGAAATGAAAACGTAGTTTGTACGCGAAGGCCTCTTATCAACCGAAGACGGTGTGCCGTGTCCATCTTTTCCACGAGACCGATGAAAGCCGGTTGCTTTTTATCCACGCATAAATATTGCCACCTGACGACCGAATATACATAATCTTTTCAAAATCTTACAGTTTCTGTTACTTAGACTCACCTCTGATCAATCTACATCGTACACATTGATGACACGTTCTGCCAGTTACCCTGCTTCATCAAATGAAATCTGATTTTTGAAGCTCATTTTCTCAAAACGATCAAACGCGATCATTTATTGCAATAGAACTCATTTACTATTGTTTACGCTCTATAGATAACGTTAAAAGTGATGAAATATAAATCCTGCTGTCTGCCGGGAAGTTTTATGTAGACATAACAACGTTATACAAGAAAATAACACGGCAAGGGTGATACGAAGTATTTAAATTTGATGAAGTCCATTTCGTCTTTTTAGCTCTTACTTACGTTCGAGAGCACGTAAGTAAGAGCTAAAAGGATTGCACATTTAAACATTACTTCTTTACCCAAGTATATTGAACAATTAAGAATATATCTTGAGAATAAACCGTTAGATATACTAACCATTAATGAAACAAGATTGCATGATTCTATTAACAACATAACGGTTGATATTCTAGGATATAACCTTTTCAGAAAAGACAGATTTAGACAAGGTGGTAGAGTTGCCATTTATACTAGGAATATCTTAAATGTTAGAGATATGTCACAATGTGTACCTGAAAATATTGAAGCTGTCTGTGCTAGAATTATTAAGCCTAAAACCAAACCAATTTTGTTGACAACCGTTTATAGACTCCAAATTCTAACGTTAAATTTATGGACGATTTAGAGAGCTTTTTTCTTGTATTGGATGAACAAGACAATGAATTAATTCTTACAGTGGATTTAAATTGCGATCTCTCTCTCACAGTATTACAATCTCAATCTCGTAGACTCATTGATATACTAAACCTATTCCAAATGAAACAAATTATCACTGAACCTACACGCATTACAAATAACACATCCTCGTTGATTGATATAATAGCAACAAATCGGCCCGACAAAATTAAGGAAAGTGGTGTCTTACATTTGGGAATTAGCGATCATTGTTTGGTATACGCATGTCTTAAAATATCTTTGCAGCGTGAAAAACCTAAGATTGTTGAAACTAGAAATCTAAAAAATTACAACATTGATCATTTCAATAACCATATTTTTTACTTATTGAAAGACTCTACTTGGAATCATCATGATACAGATATTTTATGGGCACAATTTAAAATCATTTTTAATTACGTATCAGACATTTATGCTCCAATAAAAACTAGGAAAGTCTGAAGCACTTATGCTCCTTGGCTAACAACTCAGATTAGATGTGAGATGAACAAGCTGTGATTACTTGAAAAAGCGAGCCGTTAAAACAAACTCAGAAAATGTTTACCGAGCTTATCAAGCTATGCGTAACGTTAATAAGTTGATTATGTCTACAAAATCTCGATATTGTAAGGAAAATATTGAAATGAACAAAAGTAATCCAAAAGAAATCTGGAAAAATATAAATCAAGTCATTAGTGGAAATGGTCGATGTTCCAAAACTACCACCATTAGAACAATCAAAGATTAAATGGGCAATAACATTTATGATGAAAAATCAATAGCTAGGCAATTGAATAAATATTTCGTAGAAATCGGCCCTAAATTATCAAATAATTTTCCAGAAAGTCCTAAAGACTTCTCTGATTACTTAAATCCGTTATTTCAATTTCTTACAATTTCTGATGAAACAGTTTACCAAAAAATATCAAAACTTAAAAGCAATAAAGATGCTGGATTAGACAAAATATCTTCCAAACTTTTAAAAGATTCTGCTATTGTCATCACTCCATACCTGACCCACATTTTTAATCTGTCGTTACATGAAGGAAAATATCCTAACGACTGGAAACAAGATAGAGTTTCTCCAATATTTAAATCCGGAAATAGAGAAGAGTGTAATAATTATAGAGCCATTAGCATTCTATCTACTGTTTCCAAAATCTTTGAAAATTTTATTTTTGACCAATCAAATCATTACCTTACTCAAAACAAGATTTTATCGAACTATCAGTCGGGATTTAGGAAAGGATATTCTACTTGTTCCTCCTTGTTGCGAACAACAAATGAATGGTTATTTAACATGGACAAGGGGTTGATAAATGGCGTAGTTTTCTTAGATTTACAAAAGGCTTTTGATACCGTAGATCACAGCATCTTGATAAAAAAAACTAGAACTTTATGGCATAAATAATGCGCTTAGCTGGTTCATCTCATATCTAAGTAACAGAAGACAAGTATGTAAAGTAGGAATATCTATTTCAAACAGTAAAAATATAACGAAGGGTTAGGGGTCACCACAGGGGTCAAGTCTTGGTCCTATTCTTTTCTTACTTTGTATAACTGATTTGGCGAATTGTCTTAGTTCCTCCGTACCAACACTTTTTGCAGATGATACAAATCTCACAGTTTGTGGCTTTACATCAAATGAGATTCAAAAAAAATTGGAAATTGAATTAAATAAAGTCCATATGTGGCTTTTAAGTAATGAGCTGACCTTAAATGTCAAAAAAACTGAGTATATGTTAATTGGAACAAGACAAAAGTTGTCCCAAGTTAGTGCTGATCCAATTTTATCGATAGGGACTGAGGCTATTAAACGTGTTTCATCCACCAAGACACTTGCTGTAGTTGTGGATGAGTGCATCACTTGGAAAAATCATATTGAAAATGTGGCTAAAAATGCTGCCAAGGGAATTAGAGTACTGCGTAGATAAAAAAAAATACTTGACAAAGACACGCTTAAAATCATGTATAATGCTTTTGTATTGCCATATTTTGATTACTGTGCTTTGGTATGGAACAACTGCTCCAATAGTATACAGATTAAATTACAAAAACTTCAAAATAAAGCTGGCCGAATAATTACAGGTGATTGCTATAAATCTGCCTCAGACTCTGTAAGAGCTAAACTCTCTTGGGACACCTTAGAGGCAAGGAGAAAAGCGCAATTAGAGAATTTTATGATATAAATAATGCGAGGCAATTCTACAGATTATCTTCGACAGTTTTTCTCAATACGTACTAATGAAATGTATGAATTACGAAATAACAATCACGTTCTCAACTTGCCAAAACCAAAAACAAATGCCTTAAAACGTAGCTTTGCATATAAAGGTGCAGAGTCTTGGAATAACATTGAAGACAAAAGAAAATATCCATTGCATGCATAAACTTTATAGATTTGATATTTTATTTTTATATAGCCCATACTTTGTTTGTTTTTTTTTGTTTATTTTTTTTTTATACCTAGATGTAGTATCCTTTTTAATTTTATTTTATCACACGGCTATCTGAAAATCAACTTTTTTATTTTTATATGTAGTTGTATTTTAGGATCCAAGTTGAAATACTACCGTGTTTAAATAAATGTAAATAAATAAATAAACAAGTAGCGTTGACGGCTAATTAGTTAATTGTAGCTTCTTTTAGTGTCTAATTTTGATATCTAGTATAATGCAACATGTACTTTGCTTCTTGTGCATGTGACCACACCATAGTCTTATTTCGTAATTGATGGTTTTTGCACTGCCTCACACCATATGGTGCTTTCGTATGTTCCCAAAATATGTGACTATAATGGTGTTTTAAATAGCACGAGAGAGCTTGAATCCGCCTTCACATCACAAACGCGGCAGGAGATGACTTGAAGGCAAACATCCCGACCCAGAATAGGACTGGTGTTCAAAAAATTCTGGACGTGTTATTTTAGTGAAAATAGTCTTACTGATACTATTATTAGCCAGTTCTGAAATGTTGATACTGTAGCAAAAAAACGAGAATTTCTGATTCTGAAAAGGACAACTGCGTGCTTTACTGCTATCGTAACTTAAATCTTCTTATCGTTGATGAGGGAAGCTTGAACATAAGTGTGTTAAACATGATCGCTCTTATCAAAAATCCCAATCGTTTCTTGGTGCCCAGCACTGTACATATTCATAACCAAATTCTTAGTTTGGTTAAAAATGGGAATTGGAAATATTTCCGATGCGCAGTAGGTTAAACAGTTGAGTGCAACGGCAAAAAGGATCGATGTTGTCCACGATGTGTTCGAGCCAACCATTGACAACAATTTCAGTGTTGATTGTGTTGTTGAAGCGAATACGTATAAGCCATGGACGTATTTTCTTAGTTTTTACAGAGGTGGAGCAAAAAATTTTAGGGGAGGGAGTTTTGAAAAGTGACGCAGGCCAAACTAGATTTTTGGGGCGATCCGGTAGTTAAGTCAGCAAAGGGTTGAAACCTTGCCTGGATAAACGTAATTCAACTGCAATACTAAATCCTTTCTTGGATAGGTGAACAATTTGTTAAGTGGGGGTGGGGGGAGGGCGATATTTGAAGGAGTGGCACTCCAATGCTATATGCAGTCGTGTTGATAAAATCATAAAAATTGTGCAGATTGTTCTCTTTCCCGCACACGAATTGTCATTCTTCCAAACCTTCACCCTGTCAAAAAGTTTTGTACGACGGTGGACACGTTTAATCTGAATATTTTGCGTGTGTACAACGTTTTGCCTTCATGTCAAGCAACACAGTTCCACTCTCAGTAAGTTTTTGTTCTTCTCCTTGTCGCTTGATTTTGCTTCGGCAAACTTTTGCAAAGAAATATGTACATGTGAACTGCTTCTTCCAAATGGCACGTTATTTAAGAAATAAAAGATGTTTACTGTGGTCGCACAGGCTTATGCAAACTGAGGAGACCTTTGGAAGAATTCGAGAGCACATCAATGCAAACCCGAGACCGAAGGTCGAGGGTTGCACATGCTCGAGATTTGGGTCAATTTCAACATAATCTCAACAGTCTGTGAGAGTACCCATCCAATGTAAATCTTAGAGGAACTTTTTGGAGTTTTCGTAGGTGACGATTAGATACCTTGAAGAAAGCAAGCTCTCCCAAAACAAGCTAAGATAAAGGCAGCGCAATCTAAACTTTAACGTTTTTGTTAAAATCGTGATTTTCGTTATACCTAAAAATACACACGTCACATTAAATTTTCCGTGTTGATTTTTGACATTCAATTTTGTCTATTTGTGGATCTTGCCGAAGCTATTTGACAGGCTTTCGTTTTTGCTATTCGAGTGCGCTTTCGGCAAGGTCACGTCACTGGCTGCAGTTCCAAAAAAATGCGAGGAATTTAGAAATATCGGTCTGCGTTGGTTGTCATCGCGGAGGCAAAGAAGCCTGTTTGGTTTATGCGATACGATCTTTCATCGTGTTGTTGCAACCTCTCCCCGATCATGGCATCATTTATACAGCTGGAGTACTTCTTTGTTTTTCGCCACCATGCTTTTTCGGTGTTTTCTTAAAGATTTTCAAAGAAATGTCCGAAAGCAAACCGTATAAAAATGAATCGGAAAAGTCTGTTTCTCATTTAGCTGAAGGATTCGCTACAGCAACTGTGCTCCAAAACTTGGTAAGTACTTCTTTAGCAATTAGCTAAACCTCGTTTGACGTCTTTTTTTGGAGGGGGGGCGGGAGGGTTTATGCTAACTTGCATGAAGGTATGCCGTTTCGACAATGAATTTAAGTCAAAAAGAAACCGAGGAAATTTGATGTTTCAATTTGAAAATGCTTTTTCGCAATCGGCAGAATCGCTTAAACTCATTTGAATCATTGCATGCCATCGCCATCCTACGGAGATGGAAAACGATATTCTTTGCTCACGGCATTTATTTTAGGTCTGAATTTCCTTTGGTTAATTCAACCAGCTGCGACTAAACGTCTTCGCAGGGCACGCGTTTTCAATAAATATCTGAACTTTTCGATCGCTTTTGTCCCTTCAAAAGAAGGCGTTGAGATTTTGAAGAAAGCGCCTTTTTCACAGTTGCATGTACTCGGCCGGCGTTTTGTAGACTTTATTGTGTTCAAAAGAATTGTTTGAACAGTGCAATATATGGCTTTATTTTTGCTTGTTTAAGCTGTACTCGAACGTATAAAAAGGATAGCATGTTTCAGCAGATGATTTTTAATGGGTTCTTCATCACTTAAACACGACTGTACAGAAAGACGTGAACTGCTATAGCTACGTGTGTTTGATTTACTCGTAATTTGATTTTGATTGCTCTCTTTTTTATGTTAATCGTTTATTTTTTCTTTTCACTTTCACTTTGATTTATTTTGGTCTAAGACTGACGAAGGATGCTTACGAGATCAACAATGTGTAATTAATTCCCGAGTATGTTCGTGCATAGTTCGTGACGGGGTTTTTTGCATGAGCGTGCGACCAGCAGTAATTCGATGCTTTTGGACAATTGAAACGATCCTATATTTGTAATCTTGAAAATTCACTTATATAGCTAAGCATATGACAACACAAGCTTACACGCATCAACTAAAAAAATCATCAGACGAATCAGAATGGCGTTTTGTATAAAATGCTCTGATTCTTGTAATGCATTAATTAAAAAAAAACAACTCGATCTGGTCGTTTGTTTTGCCAGTATTTTCCCCTTGTAATATCGTTCTAGTACGTTTTTATTACTATATTTATCGTTTTCCTATTTGGCAGATGCAGCGCTAGACAAAATAAACCATGGAGAAGCAGAGAAGCCATCCCAAATCAATTTATTAACCACAAAAATATTGGCGTTGTAAGAGTAAAAAAACTGGGCTGGCTTCGCTATTGACCATGGAAGCTCAATTCAAATTCATTATACCTTAAAAGAAACGATTTTGAAATAGATTTTAAGTTTGAGTTATAGATATATAAGAAAAACAGTTACACAAATCAAATTGCTTTTAAGGTATTTTGAAATGTAAATACATCCAAGAACAATAAGCTCTTTTTTGGCGCATCTAGTAAACACACTTCTGGTCGTTTTTGAATGACCGAACGCTCCCTATTTGTTTTACGTGTCGTAGATTTTATGACTGACAGACATTTTCTCACAGACCTTGCAGTAAACCATATGTGCACTACGCAATAACCAATAACCATGTACAGACAGTTGTATGTACCCAACGACGAAAGTTCTCAAATTAACAATACGCTAAAACAAAATGTACGACAGATTTTCACAAAGCTCATGTCTAAGAAATTTTCGAACTTTGCGAATGCACTTTAAAGACAGGACTGTGATTTTAAGTCTTTTTTTCCCTTTTGCTCTTCTCCAAAATATGCTTACAGGTTTGTGTACTTTTGCCGTTTCTTTATGTTTTTTTGAGGTCGCTCTTTTTTTCAAATAACGAGAAAACGCTAAAACTTTATATCCATTGAAAAGGAGCTATAGGTCCGTGAATCATCCCCTTTCCAGGACCTCATTTCTAGGAGGAATACGTCGGCATTTGTCACGTGACTTGCAAATATGATCAATTTTCGGGAGAGACAATAGAAACGTTGTTGAAACTCGCCTTCTTCATATGAAGCAGTTTTCTATGTTTTATGTCATCTGCTGTTGATCGTACTCGCAAATATGCAGTTTTAGTTTGTTGTTACTAGTAGACCCCAGCCAGTGAATAATGGTTTTAGACTTGATGGTTAATCACCAAGAGACATTGTTTTTGAAGTTAATGAACCATTTTCTTTTATGCCAAGTCGATCATTTCGAGAAAGAGAAAGCTCGTATATTTTGTGATCTATGTTGCTGGTAGACTGCGCATTTATCAGTTGACTAAATATCTACAAACCGACACCTGATCACATGAAGTTCCCGCGCGAAACATTTGGCGTGCAAAAGAAACAGATAACTGACCCTTGCATCAACTAGACAACGACCTAGCGAAATACTGATTGTGAAACGAAAAGTTCTGAAAAAATGACATGGCAAGTGGTTGAGTCAAAGCAGGTCGATTGTCGCTTATTTTGTATTTATTCGTGTCGTTAAGGCTTTCAAAATGAGCAAAGTATGAAAATTCCACGCATACCCATAATATAAAGAATAAAAAGGCTCGAGGCTTCCTTTGGCATTGCTCTGTCCTCTTGTTTCGGGTAAAGAAATACTTCATTTACGACGGCTGCAAAATACTGTATTTTGTACGTGCCAAAGATCTTTTTACTTTCCATGTCGACATTGTGCGTTAAAACTATCCCATGTCACAACCTAAACTCACAAAATCATTCTTTGTGAAGTAAAAAATTGTACAAATTCTGTTGTCCCAAACACGAGTTTTTACGATTTTTACAGGTTGATCTTACGCCCTTATTCGAAGCTTGGAAGCTTCAATTTTCATTATCTTTAGTCAAAAAGGTGAGGGTTTTTAGCTTGCGCTCATTCCACTGCTTGTAAAGTGCATTTTTGGTCTCCAGCAGATCGACCCTCTCAAATTGTTTATGCTGTATGTAGACGTTGATTTTGTTTCAATACACTCCCATGCCCATTTTAATTGCTTCGTCTGCTTTGTTGTCCCCTCCTAGATGCTTTATGCGTTACTAAATAATTCTTATACGGAAAATGACCGACGAATGATGTTTTGTTATTTGAAGCAGAAAGAACAAGGCAGAGATGATCAATGCAACTTACTTTTTGCCCAAGTTCTGAGGCGCTGGTATCATACTATTGTCCAGGAACTTGTTGGTTAAAGACGTATTTTAAGAGTGTTTGCAGTTACGATTGACGAAGCGTATTACATGGTCAGTAACTTTAATTGTTTTCGTAAACCAACCCTGTTCACGATGGTTCCATTACTAATATACCAAGAATTGGAAAATAGAAGGACCGTGATTGTAATTGTCACCACTGACGAGATAGCCTGAAGCTACCGGTCATTATATCTTTGTATAATGATTGATGACCCCTGTATCCCCCACCATCGTCCCACAACACCCCCCATATCCAAAGTAAGCCGTTAAACAAATACTTGGGTAAATGACTTAATCCTAGTACGATTTTCAGATCACCAATTTGCCGTGCAATTTTTTTACGAAGCAAGCACTGAAGCCAAAGTAGGTTGACTCTTACTTATGTCTGATCGATTTCGATTATCCTTTTTGATGCAAAAAAAACCCTACTTTCTAAAATATTTGCCCAGTCTTTATGAAATTGATTTTAAGAAGAGGTTTGGTTTTCGTTGCGCGAAAATTTCCGTCGCAACTGAACGATTGACGTTGCTTTTCCTCGCTTGAAGCAAGGACAAAAAAAGTTGAAAGATGGTCGATGCAAATCACTTTCCCTATAGAACCAAGAGTACCTCATTGAAGGTACTGTTCTTTTAAATCCCACTTTCATACTAAAAATTTTAAGTTCCATAAAAACCTTCCCCAAATAAACCTCAACGTGCGTCCACACGTCATATTTTTATGCAATAATATAACGCAGACCAAACTACCGGAAAATACTTCAATTTTGCCACAACCGTTTTTCTACTTTTAAAAGTGCTCAAGTTGCTCCGGATCGATGCGAATGTGCCCAACGCATTGTTTGTTTAACCCTACAAATAGTATTGTTAGAATTGTTGCAGGAACTCTGTTGAAAAAGAATGGGGTGTCATAATCGTACAAAATTTTGTCCGATTGATTCATCATTCGACGCATCGACCAGGAACAGTTTATGCATTTGCAAACACACCCGAAGCTCTTTCATCGAAAGGCTGTCATATACTTATGTACTTTAGAGCCTTACGAATATTGTTGCAAGCAGCGCGCAAGTTGTCTTTTTTTAAGACAGGTTGCTTATGGTCATGCTGATTTCTCTGGATATCAAGCAGATATCTAGCTTGAAATCTGTTCAATGGTGTTGTATAAAAGAAAGTTTAAATGCACTAACATCACATTGGGGGGCTAGTAAAGGAAAAGGGAAATATTTTTGATGAAGGAAAGGGAAGATTGGTGAAGATGATTCGAAAAGATCGTGATAATCAAGGTAAATCAATTCATGAACCTGCATGATGGGGGATAGTTAACCTTTTTAAAGAACCTTATAAAAGAAACTCGCATCACCGCTCGGTGATAATTCTTCGGCATCAAGCCACCACCCCCAACACACCTTCACCTCTGATACACCCACCTCCCGTCGTCAATGCGTCATGCAGCAGCTCGCTTAAGATAAACATGAGAATTGATCTGTCGAAAGAACTTGTGAAGTTTAATTGAATTTTTGAGTTTTTTCTTCCGTCGATTTTTCAACTTATCATACCATTTCTTAATCTGCTTCATGACACTTAGGTTACCCACGTTTGAGATTTTTAAAGTGCTGTCTTTCTAGCTCTTTTGTACTCAGTTGCTCTTATCGTTCCATCTTTTTCCTCTACCACTGAGATTACCCACGTTTGAGATTTTTAAAGTGCTGTCTTTCTAGCTCTCTTGTACTAAATGGTTCTTATAGTTCCCGTCTTTTTCTTCTACCACTGAGGTTACCCACGTTTGAGATTATGAAAGTGCTGTCTTTCTAGCTCTCTCGTACTCAATAGTTTTTATCATTCCCATCTTTTTTTCTACCACTGAGATTAACCACGTTTGAGATTTTTAAAGGGCTGTCTTTCTAGCTCTCTTGTACTCAATTTTTCTTATCATTCCTACCTTTTCTTCTACCACTGAGGTTACCTACGTTTGAGATTTTTAAAGTGCTGTCTTTCTAGCTCTCTTGTACTCAATTTTTCTTATCATTCCTACCTTTTTCTTCTACCACTGAGGTTACCCACGTTTGAGATTTTTAAAATGCTGTCTTTCTAGCTCTCTTGTACTCAATTTTCTTATCATTCCTACCTTTTTCTTCTACCACTGAGGTTACCTACGTTTGAGATTTTTAAAGTGCTGTCTTTCTAGCTCTCTTGTACTCAATTTTTCTTATCATTCCTACCTTTTTCTCCTACCACTGAGGTTACCTACGTTTGAGATTATGAAAGTGCTGTCTTTCTAGCTCTCTCGTACTCAATAGTTTTTATCGTTCCCATCTTTTTTTCTACCACTGAGATTAACCACGTTTGAGATTTTTAAAGTGCTGTCTTTCTAGCTCTCTTGTACTCAATTGTTCTTATCATTCCTACCTTTTTCTCCTACCACTGAGGTTACCTACGTTTGAGATTTTTAAAGTGCTGTCTTTCTAGCTCTCTTGTACTCAATTTTTCTTATCATTCCCACCTTTTTCCACAACTGATTTTTTCATCCTTCTTATTTTACTCCTTCTTCTTCCTTTCTCAAATTTTCTTATCATTCCCACCTTTTCTCCACCACTGAGGTTACCTACGTTTGAGATTTTAAAGTGTTGTCTTTCTAGCTCTCTTGTACTCAATTTTCTTATCATTCCTTTTTCTCCACCACTGAGGTTACGTTTGAGATTTTAAAGTCTTTCTCTAGCTCTCTGTACTCAATTTTCTTATCATTCCACCTTTTTCTCCACTGAGGTTACCTACGTTTGAGATTTTAAAGTGCTGTCTTTCTATTCTCTTGTACTCAATTTTTCTTATCATTCCCCTTTTTCTCCCACCACTGAGGTTACCCACTTTTGATTATTGCTGTCTTTCTTATCTTGTACTAATTTCTTATCATTCCACCTTTTCCTACCACTGAGGTTACCTACGTTTGATTTTTAAAGTGCTGTCTTTCTAGCTCTCTTGTACTCAATTGTTCTTATCATTCCCATCTTTTTCTCCTACCACTGAGGTTACCCACTTTTGAAATTATGAAAGTGCTGTCTTTCTAGCTCTCTTGTACTCAATTTTTCTTATCATTCCCACCTTTTTCTCCTACCACTGAGGTTACCTTTGTGATTTTAAAGTGCTGTCTTTCTAGCCTCTTGTACTCAATTTTTCCTATCATTCCACCTTTTCTCCTACCACTGAGGTTACCCACTTTGATTATGAGTGCTGTCTTTGTAGCTCTCTTGTACTCAATTTTCTTATCATTCCCACCTTTTCTCCCACTGAGCTCACTCAATTTTCTTATTCCTCCACTGAGGTTACCTACGTT